GAGAGAGGAGAAAATCAAGCTCCACTCTGGATTCAGATCTGAAAACATCCACAGGAGTTTCTGTCCATCCTTCCACTGTGAGACACTCAGCACTATGAGTCTGAAAGGATGTGTAGCTGTTAAGAAGCTCTTACTGAGAAAAGGAGACACAAAAGAAGAAATTGTGCACTAGAACAGCAAAATTGCACATCTGGGATGTGGAGTACAATTTAGGGGCTGATGAGTCTAAATTTGTCATTTGGATGAATTGGATTGGAGAAAGGAGAAAATTTAAATAACAAATTTCTAAATAACCCATTTCTAAGATTGGAGGTGTAGAAAAATATCCCTGCAGGTTTCTCTGAAACACTGAAAGCAAGTCTCCTAAAAAGAATGGAAGCTGTTTTGACTGGAAATTAAAGAAATGAAGGGTGGTCTCTGACTTTCGCACAGTATTTTAGCAATTGACATGAGTACAGCCAGGTATTTATCTATATACATATATCAATCGGCCACTCCATTAAGTACATCTCCTTGTTTCTACGCTCATTGTCCATTTTATCAGCTCCACTTACTATATAGGAGCACTTTGTAGTTCTACAGTTACAGACTGTAGTCCATCTGTTTCTCTGCATACTTTGTTAGCCCCCTTTTACCCTGTTCTTCAGTGGTCAGGACCCCCATGGACCCTCACAGAGCAGGTACTATTTGGGTGGTGGATCATTCTCAGCACTGCTGTAACACTGACGTGGTGGTGGTGTGTTAGTGTGTGTTGTGCTGGTCTCAGTGGATCAGACACAGCAGTGCTGCTGGAGTTTTTAAACACCTCAGTGTCACTGCTGGACTGAGAATAGCCCACAGGCCAACAGCGTCCTGTGGGCAGCGTCCTGTGACCACTGATGAAGGACTGGAGGATGACCAACACAAACTGTGCAGCAGCAGATGAGCTATCGTCTCTGACTTTACATCTACAAGGTGGACCGACAAGGTAGGAGTGTCTAATAGAGTGGACAGTGAGTGGACACAGTGTTTAGAAACTCCAGCAGCACTGCTGTGTCTGATCCACTCGCACCAGCACAACACACACTAACACACCACCACCACGTCAGTGTTACTGTGGCTCTGTGGGGGTCCTGACCACTGAAGAACAGGGTAACAAAGTATGCAGAGAAACAGATGGTCTACAGTCTGTAACTGTAGAACTACAACGTGCACCTATATAGTAAGTGGAGCTGATAAAATGGACAATGAGCGTAGAAACAAGCAGGTGTAGTTAATGAAGTGGCCAGTCAGGGTACGTACACTGCTGCCAAATGTTTGGGGACGCCCAGCTTTTCAAAAGGTTTTTTCATCTGGAAAAACATATTTAACTATAAGCTGTTCAGATTTTGAGATTTTTCTTGCTAATTAAGGGAACAACTGACGAAAGTCCTTATAGAAAAGAGCCAAAGGCCTCATATTACATCCCCACCTTTGAGATGTTTAAACCAACACTGGGTCAAAATAGTGCTTTCAACAATAATTTGGAAAAAAAATGGTCAAATCATCACCTGCCCTTCATACCAAGACACTTTGATGGATGTGAAGCTGAGTGTTGAAGATAAATATAGGATCAGCACATAAGTCACTTTATACTAAGTGGACCTCTGTTTTTCTTACTTGGTCAAAATAAACTGAACAAGACACATTATTAACGAATGCAGGTGTCCCCAAACTTTTGACACACAGTGTATATACGTCAAAGAAAGGTGTGTGTTCTGATCTAAGATCAGTTTTGGCATTTCATCACCTATCAAACACAGTTACATCAACTCTACTGACTCTAATCAGATCAGCTTTCTGGGTCCTGAAATCTACAATGGTACAAAAATCCCAGAATCCCAGAGAATGACCTCTCGGAGCTACAATAACTCAACCATCCTTCTTAAAATCATACATAAAAGCAACAAAAAGGAAAAAAGTGCAAACATGGCCAACTTCTGACCTGCTGTGGAAGACTCTCCTCTGCTCTCTGGGCCCTACAGGCTGCTACATACAACAAAAATAACAACAACAACAACAACTAACGACATGGAATTGCATAATCGAGGATACAATGCTGCCCTACAAAGGTAAAGAGCCGTAACCACAGCAACAGCCAAACTAAACACAGCTTCAGTATGTTGGAAGTGATGTGCACTGTGATATAAAGTGGTACTGTAAACATATATGAGTTAATATAATTGAGCTTAGAGTTGTGCGCAAAAGTTTAGGCGCTGTGGTCAAATTTCATGATTTGTTCATTTTCCAAGTGACATTAAGTGACAAAATTGCACATTTTAATGCACAGTTACTGTCTATTTGCTGAATTTAACATAAAATAAAGCATAAAATATGACTTGTTATATTGTATTTTTTCCAGTATGTTAAATTCAGCACATAAATCAAAACTGTGCAGTAAAATTTGTACAACTAGGTCACATTTAAGTTTGTTCGCTGTCGAGGACGTGTTTTCACTTTGAAAATCAACATATTCTACGACAATAAATATAAGCCTAAATCTGTAACTGGCGCCATAAGAAGCAGAAAACTTCTAAGGCCCGATCCCATTTCACCCCTCGCCCCTACCACCTAACCCTTACCCCTCGGTTTTCCGTGTTCACGTCTAGGGGTAGTGGAAAATCAACCTCTACCCCTTGTACCTCAGTTCTAAGGGGCAAGGTGGTAGGGGTAGAAGTATAAAATGGGATTGGGCCTAAGACTGGTCTTTGTAAAACTAGTTTAACTGGATCGTTCAAACAAGCTTTACATGATTTAAGTCCAACGGTTGCGCACGAGCAAACATATCAACACAGCTGCCATTTTTCAGCTCACTTACTTTGGCAAGAACTGTGTTGATCTAACACGATTTATTCCTGTAAGTTCAAAGCTTTTTTCGGTGCGCTTGGCAATGACAGAACTTTGAAGATGCCTTTCCGTGTTCCACTGTTGCCATAGTTACTGCTCTTTCCCTCAGCAGGGTTCAATGGAAGTGTATGTAAACATGGTTCAGGACACTGTGGCTGTAGTGATTCATGTTCTCTGCAGATCTCTAGAGTGGATGGATGGCACTGAGGGGCTGTAATACGGTCATGTGATTCAGTCCTGATGATCTGTGGTGATTCTGGCACTTCTACATGTCCAGAACAGCTGAAGTGAGTTGCAGTTCTCGGTGCAGTCCGGTTTGTTCACTTGCGCTGTGGATGGCTGTGGTCGCATGGGCAGAACCACTCATGGATTGTGGAACATGAAGGCAAAAGGCATATGTGTGACTGTTTGTGTGTATGTGTGTGTCCTGGAGAGAAGCGGCTGTATTAGGGCCTGACCGATATGAACATTTTATTGCCGATACCGATTTTAAAGATCTGAAAATTACGATAATCAATAATATCAGCAGATGTGATTTAATATGGTGAAAATTTAAACAGATTTCAACTGTTTTAGTTAAACTGTGCCAATCGTCACATGTCAGTTCAGTGTTGGGTAGAACACTTGTAATGTATGTAATACTGTACTGGTACTGGTACTGACTTTAAGGCTTAAAAAGTGTCATCTAGTCTTCCTTTTGGACTATTTCTGATTTAGTTGATGTATTTGGCTTCATAAATAGTCAAGTTCAAATCAGCTGAAGATTCAGCCTCTCCTTTGATTAAACTTGCGAGAACCTACATTTCACAGTATGTTCTAAGAGGGGGATGAAGGAATAATGTGCTGTGTGTCATATTACATTCAGTGCTGTGTGTTGTATCATGGATGCGTTTGCTGTGAGGCTGTAATGAGGACATTCAGGACGTTCTGTTCAGCTGTTTCTCTTTGTCCCTACATGGTCACGTCTGTCACAGCTGTGCTTTGTTGTTCCTATTATAGGCAACTGTCCAAGCAGCGATGCACCTGAGCCTACATAACCATGACTATGGTTGCAGTGAAACTGCAAGGCTGAAGAAATAAAGATCGATCCTCCAGACACAAGGCTGGCCTCCTGATTCACTGAGGGTATGATTCAGCATCTTGATGCACCCAAAACGACGCGCAACTGTTGTCAGTTATAGTGACTGAACTGTTGTGTGGCTTAGGAGCACGCTCAGTAAATCAGAGGTGCACAGCTGGAATCGGCACATATCGAAATCTTTAAATGTTTGAAGGTTTGATTTTGTCTGATTTAAAATGCCACATTAGGCTGTTAAAGAGCTAATGTGTTATTAATTCAGCAAGTTTGGCTAAAAAAAGGTACTGAAATAAGTGTGTTTTGTGTGTTCGTGTTGCCCACGCCTTGTGAAAAAAGGCGAATAATCACTGGCCAAAAATCCGGCAGAAAATGTGTGCTGGAAAAAATTATTATTATTATTATTATTAATTTATTTAATTTTCCCCCAATTTTCTCCCCACTTTAGTCTTATCCAATTCCACCCACTAGTTAGGACCCCCCCAATCACGATACCACCAGTGCTAGGAGGGCGAAGGCTAACACAGGCTTCCTCCGAGAAGCTCACGCAACGTCGTTCGACAGCCCAACACGTGTGGGCGTCAGCTAACAGACGCCTGCACTGACTAGCATCGCATTGGGTGATGGGGGGAGAAGGAGGGGCCATCCTACCCACCCAGAGAGCGAGGCCAGTTCAGTTGTGTTCTCTTGGAAAAAAAGTATTAACAGAAATAGAATGGGATGTAAAAATTCATGATAAATTAAGAATTAATGAAGGCAGAAATCCTAAAATCAGCAAAAGAGTAACTGTCATCTGAATATATGTGTATTAGCAATGGAATCCCACTCTGATCACAAATACCTTATTTTTGTAATCCAGATTACATGCACTGTTCATACCCAGCACGCTCTAGCATCATCCGAATGTGTATGTGAGTTTTTAACGCTTCTCAGTGCCCGACAGCAGGTTTCACAGCTGTTGTTAGCAGTATTACATTGATTGATTTACATTGATTGGTGATTTATCAGCCAATTTAGTGACCAAACGATAAATCGGTCAGGCCCTCGGCTGTGCGCGTGCGTTTGAGTGTGTGTGTGCGCGCGTGTGTGCGCATCATCGTCCACTGCTGCTGGTGGTGCTGCTGCCTGAGCTGGACCCACTGGAGCCTCTGTCCTCATAGATACTGATCTCAATCTGACACAGCAGTCAAGGCAATGACTTTTTAAACCTTGTTATTTCATGTCTCTGGTCACACTTTACCTGAAAATATGAACTTACATCATCTAGAAAATGAAGAATATTTAAATCCTTCATTTCGTCAAGCATGTAGTCGGTTTCAGCGTTGCTCCAAAAGTGTTTCGCTGCGTCTCGCAGCAGCGCTGCTTGCTTATTTCTGGTACCACCGTCTGTTTTTGCACATGCTCAGACTGAGATATCCGAAAGAAATCAGAGTAAGAGTTCACATGCACTGAGAAATCTGATTCCTGAGCTAAAATCCAGCTCTCTTTATCGGATTTCTTAATCAGATTTTCAGACTTTACCCCGACTCTCAGAAATCAGAGTGTGCTGTTTACATGACCATTTGAATAATCAGATAACTTCAGAAATCTGATTATGATCGGATTATTGAGTGAATGTAAACACACTTAATGACGTAACAGTGCCATCAACATGTTATGGAGTTTGTCATATACTGTCATGACACATTATGTCCATAAGTGTCCCGTTCCTATTACCGGTAGTTGTCATGACAGACATCATAATGTTTGATATCATGAAGGCTAACTACAGTCCTCTTAGTTACATTAGCAGTTGACATAAGCTATCATGATAATTCCAGTGTGATGAAAATAAGTGATGCTGTGAAAAGTGGTGCATTAAGCTTAAACCCGAATGTGCAGTGTACATATGACTAAACTAGCAGAAAAAGTTGACGCTCGTCTGTGTAGCGGTGCGGCTAAACACGCAGTGTTTAGACTGGAAAGGAACACACTGTCCTGTGGAAAGAATTTAGCTGACACGGAACAAAAAACTAGTCTATTAGCTTCTTCAGGTACAGCCTACATTCTGAATGCTGACCATTTCGCAGTAACATCACTTTGTAGGTCATCTATCCAACAGGGCTCTACAACAACTTGAGTAGCACAAAGGAAGCAGGAGTACATTTACAAACATTCATTTTTCATGAGCAAACTGCAGCGGCCATTCAAAAGTGAAAGGAAATCTTTTGCTGGGATAAATCAGCACATGAGCTAACACTAGTGCTAACTGAGAGTGAACTAACTTCAGCCATCATTTAGTCACAGTCACTTCAGACTTCAGTCATGTCTGTGGCACGTTAAGGCTCTCGTGTTTCGCAGTAATGTTAACAAAGTATTATACATGTTGGCCATTCTACAGAATCGTCCACTTTTCTATCTGTCCATAGGAGTCACTGGTGTTACTGATCGTCATCGGTGTTACACATAAGAAAGGTAACACCAGAGACATTTTAATGAAAAATGCATTTTACTAAATGAGCATCAAACCACATGATGTCAATCATGGAATATCCACTAAAATATGTAATTTAATCCATTTGTGTTCTATTTTTTCACAATTACCTCAGAACAAAGTCGGTCACACCAGTGACTTCAGCTAAAAGCTTCATATGAAATCATGAGCTAAATGAGAAAATCTCTGATAACTGAAAGACACAGTGGACTCACCATGTGCTTTTCTTCATAGAGCCTCAGAAAACAGGGAAAAGGAAGTCAAGTGATGTCATCAGTGTGATTTTTATTTCAAAATAAGAGACTTTTTGATATGCAGTAACACCAGTGACACGACTCCTGTGGACTTTCATTATATATTTTATAATATTTATTTGGCATGTTTTCTTTATGTCATTTAATTCATATATTTATAGTCATGTATAGATTTTTGCAGTTAAAATGGCAGAAAAACATGTTTTTTACCTCAAATTATGGCCTCACCACATGACTGTGAGGACAAGCTCTTCTGTGGTGTTTGGAATTCTATATGATTGATTTAAAAACCAATATTGCTGAATTGAGGCTCAATAAGGTGTTACTGTTAAAATAACTTATTGTTTTATTTTAAAATATAAATAAATTGTAACCCAAACATGTTTTTCAAGTGTAATATATCTGTAAACACTAGGGACACAAAAATGGACGTTTCTGTAGAATGACCCAAATATAATATACGGTAGTAAGACTTCACTCAAAGAGAAGACACTGAGCTGCCGGTTTATTAGGTACCTACCTTGTACCACTCAGTGCTGACTTAAATACCAGTGGCCGGTTGCACCAGCTGTACGTAAGTTCAAACGTACGTTAGCTGTAACGTGAGTGTTTACTAAGTTCAGGTTAATGCATTACTAAATCAGAACGGTTTGCACCACAAACTAGTTTTAATGTTGGGCTTAGTAGTTACTAAATATTTACACCCCCCTCAGCAGGTGTAAGTGTTGGGGAAACCATCAGAAACCATGTAGAAAGCATAAAAAAGACCAAAAACCCGACTTTGTTGGTTAACTAAGCTAAAAATTCTAAACCCTTTACTTACAGCTCTAATCATCGCCCTGGTTTTAACTCAGAACATGAAGCTAAACACCCACAGCTCTGGCTTAGAGACTCAGCAGCTGCACAAACAGCTAAACTGATCTGCCGCTGTGTCGGTCAGTGAGAAACCGGAGTTCAAAAAGCTGCATATTTGGTTTTCTCATGAAAATATTAAAGAATAATCCGACAGTGACTGTAGATAATTAGTTTTATTCAACTTGTACACACTGTTCTCTTCTATGCCGTTTTTTTTTTTTCATTGAAAAAGTCAGAGCAGCTGCCGTTGCGTTTCCATGGCAGCAGGTTTACTGATTGGTTCTGAACATGTTATCATCCTGTTAAAGCAACGTTCACATTAGTTAGTTGTTACTAGTTAAGACACAATTTACGGATTTGTGGTGCAACCAAGTTTAGTAACAGCATAGTTTGAAACTAACTAGTATAACTAAGGACTCGGTAAAGACTTTATACACCAGGTCCAGGTTGCCAGGCTAAATGTTTGTGCGGTGTAAATGTTTATCAGCGTCAGCTTTTGACACATATATATCTACATGTGAGAAGCTGATTCGTGTTCCCCTTTACAACAACATCAACTATTTTCGTTACACCTGTAATGGTAGCATGACATGGTTATATACCCGAACAAAATCTGTCATGACAGCGATATAACATCGTCCATGTTATGTACAGTAAAGTATTACTGACTTTTGCTCCACCTAAAAAGACTAAAAACGTCTTCAGATTTTTGCATCAGCAGGCTGGAAAAAATATTAACCAATAATATCATGTTTCACCTTCCCCTCCCAACACCCCCACCTATCATGGAGAGCATCATCTTACCTGAACCTCAAAAGTGCAATTACAATCACAAATCACAAGTACAAGCTCACACAAACGCACACATTGTGTGGAAGGATACGACCCTCATGCCCCTCTCTATAGGGTCGGTAATGAGCAGACCTCTGGGAGCGTAAATCTTCTCATTCTGCTCCTGAATGTACCGCGAGATCTTCTTCAGGACCTACACAGACACATGTACACACACAGCATTTCACCCAAGTTAATAAGATCATCCGGACACATCATAATAACATCAGTAGTTGACGTCTAAGGCAGGGGTCGCAACCCAAATGTTAAGAAGAAGAAGAGCCATTTTGTCCATTCAACAAAAGCTGAACCACTTTGGGAGCCACAACATTTTAGGTCCATTTTACTGAAGTAACGTTTTACCATCTTTTCTGTAAGTATGTCTCAGTATGTGCTGATGTGCTAGTATAGACTAAAAAATATAACATAAATGAAAATGCAGACTGACTTTACTCTGCTTTAAGCTGTAGCTCAGCTATAGCCGCTTTTCTCACATCTCTGGCAGGAAACTTTTCCAAAAAAGTAGTTTCTTGTAAAATGTCTCTCAACGTTCGACTTTTTACGAGGCTGTAGTCGCTCCTCATTCGCCAGCTTCTTGTTCAAATTTTCCCGTTTCACCTTACACAGTGCCTGAAGCGGCAGAATGTAACTGCTGCACCATTTAAGGTGGAACGGAAAAATTCGAAGAAGAAGCTGACTTCAGCTTCGTGAATTTTTAGTGTTTGTCAATTTCTTGTTGCAGATTAAACGTATCAGGAAACCAGCTGGAATGATTATAAATGCAAATAAGTCCATTCATCTCCAAATTGTACTCTTAAATCTCTCTCTGTGCTTTTCTTTAGCTACTAACTAGGTGAGATTGTTGTCTGTGTTGCTATGTGACCAGCAGTCTGTGTGCCAACCTGCAGGGTTAAAGGGTGAATTAGCAGTTCTACATTAACTCCAGCGTTTAAGACCATTTATTAAGATTTAGTGTTAAAACTGTGTTGAACAATCAGCAGAGCTTTATTTTAATGCAAAGGAGGATTATTTTATATCCTCATTCTCATTCCGCTTGCGGGCGCCCTCCGCTGTTCAGCAGTGATGTTTTTGATATAATGGGGGAAATAGGAAGTGGCTCCTCATAAACCTCATAAATCTGGCAACATGTCAGTGTTGTCCTTTGCGTATCCAGACGCAGCATCACACACATCTACCTTTTCATAGCGCGTCTCCATGCAGAGGAAGATGAGGTAGGCGGTGATGCAGGCCAGGCAGCCCTCCAGGTAGGAATGGCCTCCGATCTTCTCCGCCTCCGCATAGTAATTATTCAGCGTCTTCACCGTGTCCTCAAACAGAGTCTTCTCAATCTGTCCAATCAGTCGGCAGATAGCAGATCAGCCAGCCAATCAACATGATGCATCACAATGGAAAAATGATGAAGGAGCAAACTGTCGCTGAAAACCTCACATCTCCACAATGAAACTCTCTAGATACTGTAAAACTGTTCTTACGTTAGGTTAAAAAGCTTAATAGGTTTGATTTTCAAAATTTCTACTGATGCATTCATAGTAAAACGAAAAAGAAGAAATGGAGTTGTTGTCCGAAATGGAAACCTCACAGAAGAAACAGATTCGACCTTTAATGCAGGTTAATGTAATGAGATTTTATTCCAGGTTATGTTGGATCATTTCTATCAGTCCATTCATCATAAAAATGCTCACATAATGTAAAGAGCAGCTGTGTTTTCAAACATCTCTAATGCAGGTTTAATATAACAGGTCATCACTGAAACAACATGACTGACAGTCTAATTAGTCTAATGACTGGTCAATTCTCCTTGAAGGACCATCCAATTCAGATAAACCTCTCTCTGCTTCTCTTGCTCCGTTTCTCTCTCTTTGCTTGTCTCTGCCTTTTTCATCTCTCTCTATCTTTCTCCCTCTCCTTCTCTCTCTCTCACTTTCTTTCAGCAGGTCTATTGTTTCTCTCTCTCTCTCTCTCTGTGTCTCTCTCAGCAGGTCTACTGTATCTCTGCGTCTCTCTCAGCTGGTCTCCTGTATCTCTGTGTCTCTCTCAGCAGGTCTACTGTATCTGTGTCTCTCTCAGCAGGTCTACTGTATCTCTCAGTGCCTCTCTCAGCAAGTCTATTGTATCTCTCTCTGTGTCTCTCTCAGCAGGTCTACTGTATCTCTGTGTCTCTCTCAGCAGTCTGTCTTTGTGTCTCTCTCAGCAGGTATACTGCATCTCTGTGTATCTCTCAACAGTTCTATTGTATCTCTCTGTGTCTCTCTCAGCAGGTTTATTGTATCTCTATCTCTGTGTCTCTCTCAGCAGGTCTATTGAATCTCTCTCTGTGTCTCTCTTAGCAGGTCTACTGTATCTCTTTGTGTCTCTCTCAGCAGGTTTATTGTATCTCTATCTCTGTGTCTCTCATCAGGTCTATTGTATCTCTGTGTCTCTAAGCAGGTCTATTGGATCTCTCTGTGTCTCTCTCAGCAGGTCTAGTGTATCTCTCTCTGTGTCTCTCTCAGCAGGTCTGTTGTATCTCTCTCTGTGTCTCTCTCAACAAATGTTTTGTTTCTCTCTCTCTCGCACTGCAAGTCTTTGGTATCTCTCTCTGTCTCTCAGCAGGTCTTTTGTTTCTCTCTCTCTCTGTTTCTCTCTCAGCAGGTCTTTTGTTTCTCTCTCTCTCTGTTTCTCTCTCAGCAGGTCTTTTGTTTCTCTCTCTCTCTGTTTCTCTCTCAGCAGGTCTATTGTTTCTCTCTGTAATTGTATCTGTCTGTGCTCAAAAGTGTTTAAATGACTTGTTACAGATAACACACTCTTAATTTAATACCCCAACGATCATTTACCTCTCGCTCTCTCTCTCAGCAGGTATTTTTTATCTCTTTCTCTCTCTCTGGCTCTCTCAGCAGGTCTATTGTATCCCTCCCTCTTTCTCTCTCTCTCTGTAATTGTATCCCTTTGTGCTCAAAAGCATGTAAATGCCTCATTGCAGATAACACACTGTTAATTTGATACCCTAGGATCATTTACCTCTCTCTATCTCTGTCTCTGTCTCTCTCTCTCTCTCTCTCTGTCTCTCTCTCTCTGTGAGAGTGTGTGTTCAGCACTGCTGACACTGTAGGGGGGATCATAAACCCTCCAAAAGCAAAAAAAACAGCAGACCAACAAGCCATTTAAAATGCTTAAAGGGCTCATTTCATGGTAATCTGAATTTCTCTCACTTTTAAAACAAAGAAGTTGGAAGTAAAATGTAAATATTGTTAAAGTTTCAAAATGTTCCATCACTCCTGAGTCCATACAATCCATATACAGACAATAAGATGCAAAACTACCTGTTTTGGATTCATTGTAACTGTGCTGTCATGACAACCAACTCATTCACATGAAATGCACTCGGAAAGTCTTCAGACCCTTTTACTTTTTTCACATTTTGTTATGTTGTGGCCTTGTGCTAAAATAAAAAAAACAAGTTTTACCCCATCATTCTGCACTCAATACCCCTTCATGACTAAGTGAAATTTTAGAAATTAATTTAAAAGGAAAAACTAAAATTTCACATGGACATAAGCACTCAGACCCTTTGCTATGACACCTAAAATCTAGCTCTGAGGGCCTCTCATTTCTCTTGATCATCTTTGACACCTTGACTGGTGTCCACATGTGGTAAATTCAGTTGATTGGACATAAATTGGAAAGACACAAACCTATAAAAAATTTCTGCTGTGCTAAAACTTCCCAAGAGCACAGTGGCTTCCATAGTTCTTAAACAGAAGCAGGTTGGAACAACCAGGACTCTTCCTACAGTTGGCCACCCCACCAAACTAAGTAACTGGGGGAGAAGGACCTTGGTAAGAGAGGTGACCAAGAACCCAATGGTCACTTTGGCTGAGCTCCAAAGATCCTGTGTGCAGATGGGAGAAACTTCCAGAAGGATAACCATCACTGCAGCACTCCAACAATCTGGGCTTTATGGCAGAGTGGCCAGACAGAAGCCTCTCCTCAGTAAAAGACACATGAAAGCCCACCTGGAGTTTGCAAAAAAGCATCTAAAGGACTCTCAGAAACAAGATTCTCTGATCTGATGAACTTTTTGGCCTCAATTCTAAGCATCATGTCTGGAGGAAATCAGGCACTGCTCATCACCTGCCCAAAACCATCCCTACAGTGAAGCATGGTGGTGGCAGCACTATGCTGTGGGGTTGTTTTTCAGCAGCTGGGACAGGGAGACTGGGAAAGCTGAATGGAGCCAGGTACAGAGATATTCTAAATCCAGGTGTGCAAACCCTGTTGGCATCATACCCAAGAAGACTGGAGGCTGTAATCGCTGCCAAAGGTGCTTCAACTAAGTACTGAGTAAAGGGTCTGAATACTCATCAATACAATATTTTAGTTTTTCCTTTTCTATAAATTTGCAAAAAAAATGTAAATTCTGTTTTCACTTTGTCAGAGTGCAGAATGATGCAGAAAAACTTGATCTTTTTAATCAAGCAAGACTGCAACATAACAAAATGTGAAAAAAGTGAAAGGGTCCGAAGACTTTCCCAAATGCATTGTATATCCACCTGTTCAGCCAACAGAAGTTTAGCCCCGCTCATCCACACTTAAGAAATGTTTCAGCTCTGAGTGCTTTTTGAACAAGGCACAATACAGGGCAGCCAATCAGAACACAGCTCATTTACATATATCAGTCTTAAAGGCACAGTAACAAAAACAGCCTGTTGAATTCTAAGGGATGAAGAGAGGTTGGAAAATGGTTATGGAGAAAAAGAATTATGACCATTTTTGGTGCATAAAACTGCACAAATGTTACAGGCGGAAACAATAAAATACAAGAAAAATGTAGGATACAGGGCCTTTGATACCACCCTGCATCTCTCTCTTACCCTGCTGTCCAGTTCGGAGGGGAATTTGGTCTGGAATTTGCAGACGGTTCCCTCTGAGTAATCTCTCTGGATGAAGACTTTATTGGCCAGAGAGGCGCTGTGTCTCAGCTCCTGCAGGTTGTGGAACTGTAACAGAGGATATAAAACACAGAGTCATTGAAATGAAAGGACACAGCAGGACACTGACGATGAACTCGACTATAATGGATATTTGGAACACAGCATATACATATATATACACCGATCAGGCATAACATTATGACCACCTCCTTGTTTCTACACTCATTGTCCATTTTATCAGCTCTACTTACTATATAGGTGCACTTTGTAGTTCTACAATTACAGACTGTAGTCCATCTGTTTCTCTGCATACTTTGTTACCCTGTTCTTCAGTGGTCAGGACCCCCATGGACCCTCACAGAGCAGGTACTATTTGGGTGGAGGATCATTCTCAGCACTGCAGTAACACTGAGGTGGTGGTGGTGTGTTAGTGTGTGTTGTGCTGGTCTGAGTGGATCAGACACAGCAGTGCTGCTGGAGTTTTTAAACACTGTGTCCACTCACTGTCCACTCTATTAGACACTCCTACCTTGTCGGTCCACCTTGTAGATGTAAAGTCAGAGACGATAGCTCATCTGCTGCTGCACAGTTTGTGTTGGTCATCCTATAGTCCTTCATCAGTGGTCACAGGACGCTGCCCACAGGACGCTGCTGGCTGGATATTTTTGGTTGGTGGACTATTCTCAGTTCAGCAGCGACACTGAGGTGTTTAAAAACTCCAGCAGCACTGCTGTGTCTGATCCACTCGTACCAGAGCAGGTGTTTCTAAACGGCTATTCAACGTAGTTGCTAAGGTGTTGCTAGGCGGTTGCTATGGCATATTAGGTAGTCAGTAGGGTGCTGCTAGGTGGCTGCCACAGTATTGCAGGTGGCTGCTTGGGTGTGGCTGTGCAGTTGATAGAGTATTTCAGGTGGTTACTAGGGCATTGACAGATGGTTAGTAGGTGGCTTGTCAAGCCAGCTTAATGAGTTTAAGGGGCCATTCTCAGAATGAAACCCCCACGGTTTGACATATTAATGACATTTTCATTTCTTTAACAGTTACAGTAAAAATGCCTTAAAGTTCAGTCTGATGTGATTTTGCTCTATTGTGGACATCATCTTGGCAGTCACATGAACACACAGATACGTCATGTGTCACTGCCAATAAAATGGGACGCTCTGAAGCAGCCGCATGTGAGCCTGAGATCACCAGGCCCAATGCCGGCTGTCAAATATAGGGTTATAAAGACCCCAGCATTGGACTGCAGAACAGTGGAACTGTGTTCTTCAGCGTGATGGAGCTCCATCCAATACCTTGGTGATGAGTTGGAGTGATCCAGAACTAATCATCCAACATCAGTACTTGACCTCACTAATGCTCTCGTGGCTGAATGCAATCAAATCCTCACAGCAATGTTTCAACATCTAGTGTCTTCTCAGAAGGTTTGAGGCTGCTACTGCAGCAAAGGAGGAACAGACTCCTCCATAATACCCCTGATTTCAGAAGAAACACTGAATGAGCAGGTGTCCACATACTTTTGGACACATAGTGTATGAACATGCACACAGCCCCACGTGTAAACGTGCATTCATCAGCAGATGCTGGACGCACATGCCCTCACACCACTTTCACAATCACTATTACATTGACCTTGACTTCCATGTGATGCAGTGAACACTGAATGGGCCTGACAGACGAAGGTTTTGTAATTAACTGGTAAAGTCAGGCCTCTGGAAACTTAAAAATAATCAATCAAGTCAATTACATAGCTATTACAATTAAAAGCAATTCTGCCAAGGCATCTATTACCGAGGCTACATCAGTCCTAAGATCTGAGTGAACTCTCTGAACTCTCGTTCCTACTGACACATCACAGTTCTGCAGTTTCAGCGCACGCCGCAATTTGCTTACTGTAACATAGAACCTTTGGTTTTAAACCACAGTGCCTTGTACTGAACAGGCCGTTAATCTGCACATCACTATAATTAAACCACAATTACAGAGCAATGCTAATCAGTTCAGTTGCAAATGTCCTTCGATTGTTGCCGCGTCATGCAGCAAAGTCAGCTGCAAATTTTCCCCATAGGCACCTACATTACAGACTGAAAGCCTGCAGTACTTAATGAACACCTGCAGCAGTAAATGAACGCCTACAGTTCTGAACAAACGTCTACAGTACTGAATGGACACTTACAGTATTTAACATCACATAAAGAAATGGTCAATGAATGCATACAGTACTAAATAAACCATTACAGTGCTGAATAAGCACCTAAAGCACCTAAATACAGTACTGAAAGAACATCTGCATTTCTGAATGAATGGCTACAGTACTGATTAAAGTCCTACAGTGCCGAATAAACACCTGCTGTACTGAAAGATTGTCTAAAGTACTGAATAAACACGTACAGCACTGAAATATTGCCGAAAGGAATGAATAAACACCAACAGTACTGAAGGAATGCTTAAAGTACTGAATAAACACCTACATTACTGAATGATTGCCTAAAGTACTGAATAAACACCTACAGTACTGAATGATTGCCTAAAGTACTGAATAAACACCTATCGTACTGAATGAATGCCTACAGTACTGAATAAACACCTACAGTACTGAATGATTGGCTAAAGTACTGAATAAACACCTATCGTACTGAATGAATGCCTACAGTACTGAATAAACACCTACAGTACTGAATGATTGGCTTAAGTACTGAATAAACACCTAAAAAGGTGAGATGTGTTGCTTTTCCACCGTTTACAGGATTTAATTTCAGTTCGGCGCTGCTGCCATGGTAACGCTGAATGAGTGCAGTGGGACAAAAACACATGAATTCTGATCCGAGTGTTCACATTAAGATCGGATATGTACCCGATCTAGGACCACATAAGAACATATGTTTTTTGCCCTAATGTGACTCAGATCTGATGATTTCAGGGCTGTGTGGACACAAATCTCATCTGACAAATCCGACCAGTACCCGATTTGTGGTCATGCGTCCTTAATGTGAACACATCATTCAGCGTTACCATGGCAGCAGCGCCAAACAGAAGTTAAAGCCTGTAAACGGTGGAAAAGCAGCTCATCTCACCTTTTTCTCCTTCGTCTCGCTCTAATAATGAAGCTGAGAGCTGATCAGAGTTAATTATCTTCTCAGTGAAGCTCGTTCTGCTCGTTAGTTTGTGCTGATGATGAACGTGACGTTACTGAGTAGGATGAGCTCATGCGGCTCATTTCAGGACGCCGGTTCGTCACATTAATGACAAATTTGAATCACTTACCTAAACGAGTGTGAACCATCGTGTCAGAGAGATCGGATTTGGGCAAAAAATCAGATTTTGAGCAGCAAGGCTTGTAATGCGAACACAGCTAAAGTGGCTCAGGTCGGATTTGAAAAGATCAGATTTGCGTGTCCACACAGTCCTGAAAACATCAGATCTGAGTCACATTAGGGCAAAAAAATCAGATTTGTGCCTCTTCAACCTGGTAATGTGAACGCAGCCGAAGAGCGAATTAAATGCTGTATTCAATAGCTGTCCAATCAATACTGTGTGTTAATTTAACCCCTTAAAATTACACACTATAATTACATACTATGGCTTATTATTCAGTAAGTACAGGGACTTCAATGCAAACTGGCTGAGCTTCTCAGGTTATAGAAGTGTTAGAAGGCCTGCTGGGGTCAACTGTAAGGTTTTTACTGTGAGACTGTGTTGATATGTTTTATCTATGGATATTTAATGTAAGCATTTCGTGAGTTAATGTAATGCATGTAAGTTAGTTCAACGCAGGCCACTGTCTATAGTGTACAGCTACTGTGGCTCATTAAGGCCGAATATCAGGCTTGTTATAACTGATAAATGTGTGTGTGCCAGTACAGCGGACCGTGTGAGCCTCCCATGCTGCTGCTGATCTCTCTGTTTTGTCTCACTGGCCAGACTGAGCCTCCTTGTCATGGCGTGACTAAATGCTCTGGGCTGTTGACGCCGCACGCTTCATTAATAATGGACGCGCGAGCTCAGTGGCAGTGCTGCCGTCAGCCAGCCCCTCTACAGGACACAGCAGATCGATGGAGCAAAGGCGTTCCGTGTTTCTGACACACACACACAGCGCAGAAGTCAGATACCTCGCTTCATTATCGAATTTCCAGACAAAACAACTTATTCATTTTTCAGGAGGTATTTCTGAGGACATCGGGAGAAGATGAGGAAGGGGAAGTCAACAGAAAATAAGTGGAAGAACAGGAGCTTCCAAAACCGGAGTACAAAAAATGAATAAAGCTACAGAGAAAATGAGATTCCTAACAACCACCTGAAACACCTGGCAGACACCAAAACTGACAACACCAGTGAGTGCATCTAAGACTGCCTCAGATCTGAAATGATCTGTCCATCCTTCCACTGTGAGACACTCAGCACTATGGGTCTGAAAGGATGTGTAGCTGTTAAGAAGCTCTTACTGAGTAAAGGAGACACATCAAACAAAGGAGCTGAACAGTGGACTGACCACCCCAGAGTCCAGACCTCAACATCACTGAATGTGTTTGGGATTATTTGGATTGTGAGAAGCAAAAAATGTTAAACCAGCTTCTAAGACTGAACTTCGGAGGTGTGAAAAACATCCCTGCAGATTTTTCTGAAAAACTGAATGTGAATCCATTTAAAGGATTGAAGCTGTAATAAAGTGTGGACACACTAAATACAGATATATCACTTCTGTCACAACAAAACCTTGTTATATATTAAATCATCCTTGTTAAAAAAAAATATATATATATATATAGATAGATAGATAGATAGATTTTGCTGTTGTCGGAAGAAAACCTCGTATCTCCATTTTTGTTGTTTTTCAGTTTTTGACATCATTTGAAAATACCTGTTGTCCTTTACATTGTGTGTAAATTTCATGGTGAATGGACAAAAAGAAACGGCCAAAAATGACTTGGGAAAACGTTTGGTTCCATTGACTTACATTAAAAGTAAAGTAGGCTTTTTTCTTCTCCTGTAAAGTTACCATTTTGGAGATACGAGGTTTTGTTAGAACAACAGCAATATATACATATATATATATATATATATATATATATATATATATATATATATACATATATATATATATGTGTGTGTGTGTGTGTGTGTATAAATCTATATAAAACCACTGTCTTTACTAAAGAACCCTCAAAGAACCATGCATTTCAGAGTCTAGTACAGTAATAGTTATTATTATTATTAATAGTGTTACTAGTAGTATTACTGTTGTTATTATTAATATTTATTATTATTATTATTACCCCGGGAACCAAAATCTAATATTTGCTCTCTCTCTCTCTCTCTCTCTCTCTCTCTCCTCTCTCACACACACACTGTCTCTCACACACACACACACTGAACACACACACACACACACACAAACACACACACACACTCTCTCTCACACACACACACACACTCTCACACACACACACACACACACAGAGGAGCAGTGACAGAGGGTCTCTATGAAAACCTCATCTGTGAATCGCAGCATCACGAGACACCAGCGCGCTCAAGGTTACTCCTCGTGACGTCTCGTGACGTCCCATAAACAACATTAGCCAAACAAGTTAAAGTAAACACAGAGGCGCGTGCTAGGCGCGATCGGGTCACTTGTCCGCGTGTGAGTGGGAGGAGAAGCGGAGCTCGCTCACAGACTGGTGACAGAGGGGCAGCGCGGCTCTGCCGGCCGCTGTCCGCGGTGCTGAAGTCATCTCCGCTCGCGGGTCTGGCGGGAAATGTTTGCTGTGTTTTGTTTCTTCCGACGAGAATTAAAAACAAACAAACAAACAAACAAACAAACGGAGAAGCCAAAGAGCCGCAGGACACAGCGCGCCGCTCCGACCGCTTTGATGTCGTCCACGCGGCTGCTACGTCACCCCTGCGCGCGCCCACTCTGACCGACTGCACGCGTTCCATTCGATTTTTAAAAAAGCTTAACGGTTTCGTTTTGTTTTAAATCTTAACGGTTTTGTTTTGTTTTAAATCCTAACGGTTTCGTTTTGTTTAAAATCTTAACGGTTTTGTTTTGTTTTAAATCTTAACGGTTTCATTTTGTTTTAAATCGTAACGTTTTTTTTTTTAAAACCCCTGATCGCGCGCCATGTTTCTTGGTTATTTTAAAGGGCAACTCCACCATTTTTTCAAAATTTCCGCATAATTAAATGTTCGAGACGTAAACAGACTCATTCAGAGCGGTTTGGCGCGAAAGGCTCCGTTCTAGACAAACTTAAAAGTCAGAACTGTTCACAGTGGTGGTGATGGGAACCAGACGTCTGAAGAGCTGAACGCCTTTAAAGCTCCCTCACAGAACGTGATTAGATGCTGTGATGTCAGATATGGGCTGCCCGGTGTCTGAGACACGGTTTTATGGTAGTTTTCTGGCCTGAAATGCATTTTAACCTATTTATTTTAATCCAGTCATGGCGGAGGGATACATTGTGAGGCAAAATAGTCCCCAAAGACTTATTACAGCTTAACTTTTTCAGGTTTATCACTATTTTACCATCATTAACATCACATATAAACACTCAGAAGACTCGTGTAGCTTCACTGGTGGATTTGGATAGTAAATAAATTGAATGTATTTGTGTTGTAGACATCGTTCCTATCACCACCACTGTACTCGGTTTACTTCTTAAGTACTGAATTATGCAAATTTTGGTGGAATTCTCCTTTAAGCTCTTGGCTGGTGTGGTGTGATACGGCTGAACGTGTGTCTCACGGTATAATTAATATGTCTGAGTCTCTAATTAAGCATTTTTAACCAAATTTTGAAACGTTGGTGGAGTTCTCCTTTCACCCTGACCTCAGAATCTCTGAAAGACGCCCTGCGGCCGAACCTGCAGCCTTTTCACCCGGACTACTGGAAACTCACGGCGGGACTGTTAGACCACACTCTTAAAAAGAGGGTTCTTTAGAGAACACAGTGGTTCTATCGTCATTATACATCATTACCTATCACACCAACATCATTCACGGTGATGGATAGCCATGGTTCTATATAGAACGATTGTATGGGGCACCAAAAGGGTTCTGCTGTTGTGTACGATGTCAAGCCTGTAACAGTAGCAGAACCCTTTTTGGTGCTCCAGAGAACCATTTTCAAAAAAAAAAAAGGTTCTATACAGAACCATATCCAACATTCTCAGTCTATCTGAAGAACCATTTCACCACGCAAAGAACCATTTAAGCATGAAATCGTGGTCCTAAATAGAACGTTCCGTTTACTAAAGAACCCTTGGAGAACCATCGTACTGAGAGTGTATCATACTGTATGATACACTGGATGGATGCCGGTTTGCTCTGATCGATAGAATACATTAGGTTAGATCTCCAGCCTAGACTGGAGCTCTCAGTGAGAGATGGTGCTGCTGCTCGGGTTCTACCACCAAAAAAAGAACCAGAACAGAACATTCAGCCGTTATAAAGAGAGCAGGTTCTCACCTCTGTCGCCATGTTGTTGGCTCGTTGGCCGTAATCGCTTTAACAGGACGCGAAAGAGAGAGACGGATTACAGGCGGGATTGATGGACGTTCGTTCCCCACCCGTTTTCGGGAAGCCACGCCCTCCTGTTTGGATTGACTTAGCTTCTTGTAGTATCCCGCTGATTGGCGGACCGCTTGTTGCCAGCCCATCAGAGCGCGGGAGGAGGGACACGGCTAGCCAATCCTAGCGCTGGAAGGGCGGGGCTTGCCAGAATACGGGTGGGGATAAAAATAAATGGGAACGGTTTGGTGGGGGAGGCTGTGATGACATTTAAAGGGCCCACACCCTACATTTCTCCCGTGTTGTAATGCTTCCCCTTTTAGGTTCATTTGTAATGTTTGTCTGTTCTTGTGTATCAAAAATGGTCGTAATTCTTTTCTTTTTAAACCATGACCATTTTCCCAACCTCTCTTCAGCTCTCAGAGTTACTGTTACTGTGCCTAAATGAGCTCTGTTCTGATTGGCTGTCCTGTATTGCACCTCATTAAAAAGCAGTCCTGGCTGAAACACTCCTTATAACTTCAGTGTGAAAGTAAGCTGAACAGGTGGATAGAGGGTCCTATCCCATTTCACCCCTCGCCCCCACCACTCAGCCCTTATCCCTTTGTTTTGCGCGTTCATGTCTAGGGGTAGGGTGTCCCGATCTTTGTTGAGATAGAGGGGTAGGGCGAAGTGTTAGGACTACACGGCCCTCCAAACGGAGGTTTTTCAGACTCCAAACAGAGTAATATGGGGAAAAAAATGAAAAAAACAGCAAGATGGCTGAACAAGCGACCAAAGAAACCCACAAATGTGAAAATTTTCTCTGTTTAAAAATTATAACCATCATATTACCTTAGTGTGATGTCGTTTCAGTGTATTATGGTCCTTTTCTTCAAAACAAGCATAAAAAAAATCGCTAGTAGTAGCTGATGTCTCGGTAGCTAGCTGGCTAAATTTCCCGTCAGAACAGGAAAATTAGAATGAGAATCTGGCAAATATCCGACTTCATATCACTGAAGCATTAGGGGTGGGTGATAATAAATAATTGTCCCCCTCTTTAAAAGCATATGAAGCACTGAATGTAACTAAAGCCAGCAGTGAGGAGCTGAACTTCACCCTCCTCTGCTGTCACTGCAGACTGGCAGGGTCGCCTACAGAGCAGCGCTAGTAGCTGTTAATGAAGTAATGCTCTTTTTATTTGAGGGTCCCATTTCAGAGGGAAGATTTCAACCACTACCCCAAGTAACTCAGTTCCAAGGGGTTAGAGTGACACTCGAAAACAAAGGGGTAGGGGTAAAAATAAGAAACGGGATTGGGCCAAAGTAAATTACATCACAGAAGCAACAAATTCATAACGAGCTGTTTGCGGCATAGTTTCCATATAAGCGTGTATGGACTGGAGTAGTGAATGATGCACTTTGAAGCTTTGATCATGTTTACATATTACTTCAAACTCCGTTCTCCATCACAGGGGCCCTTTAAGGGGCGTAAACAGGCTGTGATGGGCATGTATTTACATTTAGTCATACAAATTAGGCAAAGAACTGAATTTTCTGAGAAGTGACTTCATTATTCTAAACACCGAAGTGGATGTCAGTCTGATTTCTGAAATCTTTTTGGATGGCGAACGTTTATCTACACATTCAGAGTAAACAAAGTTTCCACAGTAAAGAGGTTTATTACTGTAAATGTTTACAGAACCGATGACACAGCACACAAGCTACAGCTGCAGAATCGGACCACAGATCTGCCGAACCCGGAAATCACTTGATTCGCGGTTGTAGATGGTTTTAATACAGTTGCATTACAGTACAGTGGTCACACCAAAACAATGACAGGTAAAATATGTGAAGTCTTACATTCAGCTCCTGCTTAAAACAACAAACAGGACGTTAAATTAGACAGACGCAAAATAAAACCAAACAAAGAAGGTAAAATATGAGAAAACACAACTATTCCCCCATTTGTGTGCATCTAAATAAAACATGTTGATATGAGTGATCAGAACAAAGAGAGCAGCTTTAGAAGGAAGAATTCATTGAGAGTGACTGAATGAATATTGATAAGATCAACCTTACACAAGGACCTGATTTCACCAAAATCATGATGACTCTAAAGTGCCAGGCTTGGTGATGAGCCATGATCTTCACAGGCAGCCCTGATTGGCTGCAATAATAACCACCAATCAACAGCCAGTCATATGATCAGTACAGTACAGAGTACATCTAATAAAAATGATATCTTGGGTTGCGATTTCTCACCGTAAGATCAATGACGTAGAACCGCCTCATTTGAAAATAAAGGCTGTATTTTAGACGCTCTGTAAATATGATTACAGGACAAGCAGGAGGCCAATCCGAGAGTATTCAAAATCTCAAATCTGTTAGAAGGAGAATCTTTGTAACAGACACAGTGTCTCTTACAACTTCTCTCCCTCCAAGTTCTGCTTCAGAACTGTGTCAAACGTAGACCTTCAAATAAATACAGTGCAGCTGCTTGAACAGTTAAGACCCTGGTTTGAGGAACAGTCCTTGGAATCCTCACAGCAGATGACGTCACAATGGTTCTGACAGGCAATGATGTCATAACTGCTGCAGATCACGGAACACCGTGTCACAATGGCGGCTGATGATCCTGGAAGGTGATGTCACAGTAGTAGCTGATGATTCCACAAACATGACGTCACATAGACGATGATGTAGATGATGTAGATGATGTGATAAGAGTAAGTAATGCGGGTTTTGGTCTTCGGGATGAATTAAAAGGGCTTTTGAAGTGTCCAGTAGGTCCAGTCGTCACCAAACCAGAGTCCAGTTTGAGGCCACCTGCTTTGAGAAGCCTTATACTCCTATTGGGCTTCACCCTAAACTAAAAGTCCAGTTCAAGTACTGCTAAAACAGCAGCGTAACCGCCCCAAGATGATACCTGGATTCACCAAAGAGAGCATACTAACCGTCATGTTTTCACAGGGCCTGATGGAGTGACTCGCTGAAGCTTCTGCTGCCACAATAGCGAAAGCAGCCATGGCAGTAATGTTGGTGAACTTTCTGAGGAATATATAAGGAAGAGGGGAGACGGGGCATGTTGGAGGCAGGAAGCAAAAAAGCTCAGTTTTAGCAACTTGGGACTAAAAGACATTAACCTCCGGAACTGGAGCACGTCAGGCTCCACCCGCAGCTCCTGTTGCTGAGGAGATTTTTGCCGAGGTACGATGGAGGGAATGGGTTATTATTATGGGACGCAGGTCCTACTTGCTGCTGAGTGCGGCGTTACACATAGCACACACAAACACTGTCTCTCTCTGTGCCTCTGGAGCTAAAGAGAGAGAAAAACACAACATACACAACAAATATTGATATACACACCGATCAGGCATAACATTATGACCACCTCCTTGTTTCTATGCTCATTGTCCATTTTGTCAGCTCCACTTACTATATAGGTGTACTTTGTAGTTCTACAGTTACAGACTACAGTCCATCTGTTTCTCTGTATACTTTGTTAGCCCCCTTTTACCCTGTTCTTCAGTGGTCAGGACCCCCATGGACCCTCACAGAACAGGTACTATTTGGGTGGTGGATCATTCTCAGCACTGCAGTAACACTGACGTGGTGGTGGTGTGTTAATGTGTGTTGTGCTGGTACGAGTGGATCAGACACAGCAGTGCTGCTGGAGTTTTTAAACACTGTGTCCACTCACTGTCCACTCTATTAGACACTCCTACCTTGTCAGTCCACCTTGTAGATGTGAAGTCAGAGACGATAGCTCATCTGCTGCTGCACAGTTTGTGTTGGTCATCCTCTAGTCCTTCATCAGTGGTCACAGGACGCTGCCCACAGGACGCTGTTGGCTGGATGTTTTTGGTTGGTGGACTATTCTCAGTCCAGCAGTGACACTGAGGTGTTTCAAACTCCAGCAGCACTGCTGTGTCTGATCCGCTCAGACCAGCACAACACACACTAACACACCACCATCACATCAGCAGACCAGTTTCTGCTCCGCCATGTTGAACGCTATAAACTTTGCTATGACGTGACGCACATGATCAGAACATACTTAAACTTTCTGATTGGAAATGTAATCAGATACAGGCATTTACATGGTTATTATTCTTCTGTTTAATGGATTATTTACAGGATTACCCACCTCGTCCAATTGGATAGAAATTGTATTACGAATGGCCTCAATCAGACTAGACTACTCCGACTGAGGTGTCTACATGGATGTATTCTATTCCGATTGAGCTATTAGTTGCACTATTAACAGATTACCAGGCTGCATGTAAACGCGGCTACTGAGGGCTTCTTAACAGCTACACACCCTTTCAGACTCATAGTGCTGAGTGTCTCACAGTGGAAGGATGGACAGAAACTCCTGTGGATTTTTTCAGATCTGAATCCAGAGTGGAGCTTGATTTTCTCCTCTCTCTCAGAGATGAAAGCTTTAAGTGCTGTTTATCTGATGGGGACAGTTTTGGTGTCTATCAGGTCTTGCAGGTGGTTGTTAGGAGTCTCATTTTCTTTTTAATCTATAACTCCAGTTTTGTAAACTCCTGTTTTTTTTTTTACTATTTTATTTTGACTTTCTCCTTCCTGATGTAAGTGGACTATTTTATATCTAATCCCCACAGAAACCATGTCTGAAAATGAATAACTTGGAACAGCTGCTTTACTGGAACTGAAATAAATGAAGAGTGCTCTCTGACTTCTACCCAGTACTGAATAACTAATGGTAGAACAGGAGCAACATATTATTGATGCTGGTCTCACCTGTGGCTCCCATACTGGACTTGAACACTTTGTAGGAGCAGCAGCGAGAACAGAAGCTAACGCCACAGTTAGTGCAGTACCTCTGAAAAACATGCAAACAACACGTTAACAATGTTAGAGCAACATTAATATGACAGCAGCATCCATACGGCCATTCATATTCATATGAAGGCTTACCCTCTTCTTCAACACAGAGAACGCTGCAGCACAGCTCGAGCAGTTACCTACACAGAGAGAGAGAGAGAGAGAGAGAGAGAGATAGGGAGAGGGAGAGAGAGAGAGAGAGATATTAAGATGGAACAGTAGAAAAGCATAAAATGTTTCAGACTGATACGGTATGATGAGTGAAGAATGTACTCTCACTCATTCAACAAGGGAATCAACTTAATTCAATTAATTCAATTAGTGAATCAACACATCTGTAATTTTTTTACCATTTTAAACCAATTTAAGCAATTTTAGTCATGGCTAATTCACGCATTACATCTACATGTCATTTCAGATGTATTATGGTCATTTTCTCCATAACAAGCATAGAAAATTGCTAATAGTATGCTAATGTCTCAGTAGCTAGTTAGCTAAATTTCCCGTTCCGTCTTAAATAGTCCAGCAGTTCTGATGCCTGAAGCGCCAGAATGTAACTCCTGCACCATTTAAGGTGGAACAAGAAAATTCGAACTTGGTACATGAGTGTCCAAGTGTCCGTAGTCTTATCTACTTCTGTCAGTGGTTTCATAGATATCCCATCCACTTTGAGCCCTGTGGGTCTTTCCGTTGTGTTGTGACTGTCTTTGCAGCGTTTCTGAAGTTGCCTGTGTTTTCTTTATGCGTTTGTAAAATGTAGTTCAGGTTTCGTCATTTTGATGAAAGTGTCTGCAGCACATTTACGAATTTGCAAAGTGTTTTAATTGTTCTACGAATAGAGTCTTGTCGGCCACCGTATCATCCCCTACATTTCATTTTTTACCCACATATGATGCGTCATAGCCGGGGAGTGAAAGGCACTTTTTGAAACTCATTCGTAACAATGTTTACACACTTCATCAAACTCTTTTATTTCAAAAAAGCAGGAGGAATTCTGACCGGTGGGGTTGGTGGGCACACGCTTGCGGAGCTTCTCTGTTAGTTTGGATACTTTGCTGCGTATGGGCTCGTTCCTGCTCAACAAGCCGTTATCAGATACGGAGTCATAGTCAGCACTGCCCACAGACACCTCCTCATCATCCTAGAGTGAGAGAGAGCGAGAGAGAGAGAGAGCGAGAGAGAGAGAGAGAGAGAGAGAGATGGAGGCACAGAAAGAATTAATTCACTATCTCAGGCAGTGCAGTTCACACTAGAGGGCCATTTTCACCATTTATAATGAAAAAAGTCAAACTGCACCCACATCCAGACTAGCTCTCCAAACAATAAACGCGGTCCGCTTTGGAGCAGTCTTTGGTTAGTCTTTAGTACCGAGAAACCCACACACTGACCTCTTAGTGGCTCGAGAATAAAGTCTACAGGCGAATGTCCAACGACTTTAAGTTAACGGCTAATTTTGTCAACAAGTAAGTGATCGTTTGGTGAAAATCACACGTTTTACCATAGTGGGTCATGTTTGGTGTGCGAAGCTTGCTTTTTTGGTCTTGGACATGGGGCTATGAGGCTAAGATAGCTAACAAGTAAAGGAGGATTATACGCCAACATAATGGTACTTATTAGCTACACGAGCCTTGCAGCTCCGGTGCAAAACTAAAGAACAAAATTCAGACACCAAACATGTGTTGATCGATCAACTACGTAGATGTTTTTCTGCCAAACTACTCCTTTAATACCGTTTGCACAAACAACATGCACCCAAATTAGAAGGTTCAACCAAAGACTGTGTGGAGGTTCCTCTTACTGAGAGATTGAGTCAAATCAAGCGTTTTTCAACCAAAGCTCTGTCTGATGTATCTGTATTGTGCGTGTGACAATAACTTTCACGTTTTCCTGTACTTCGTAAGAGAACCCATAAACCACACAGCTACAATGCAAGCTAAGAGGCAGCTGCTTCAGCATCTGCCCACTGGCTTCTATCATTACTGTGTTTCTGTTCTTTTTCTAAGCACAGGGAAACATTCTGACGCTACTGTCTGCAGTATTTTATTGCACAATACAGACACAAAAATAGAGATTAGGTTGAAAAATGCTTTTCAAAAACACCTCAGCCCATCAAATATGGTACCACTGGCTGTTAGGATTGACTTAGTTTACTATACAAACCCATGTAACAGTACAACCCCTGGAATTAACTCAACCCCGAAGAGGGAGAACGTGGGAATCAATTAGAACCCAGTACTGACGGGTCACCAGGCCACCACCACTGTGACATCATTGTGAGTTTTAGCCAATAAGGGAACGAGGAAAGGTTAGAAGAGGCGTGGTTAGAACACCCGGAACAAATGACTGACGGAGTGGGAGGGGCACCTTATGAGCCATGCGTCTCCACAGGGCTTTGGTCAGCCCGATTACTGCAGGCAACACCTATATTCAAAATGGGGCAGTTACACATGACATTGATCTATCCAGGCTCCGCCCACAAATGTGTTCTTGCTCAACAACTGCTGGTGGGTTGGAGAAGCTTTACAAAACATCTTTATACACATGAAAGGTGTTCAGACAAACAAAAACACATGCACATGACAGACAACTCGCACGCTGGATAACAACCGCAAACATGGGCATTCTAGTCACATTTCCTGTATATAAAGGAGAGGACATGCACAGAACAGTCATAATACTCACGTGCAGGTGAGAACACACACACACACACACACACACACACACACACACACACACACACTTAAGGCCTATTCACACCAAGTCTGACTTTCATGGACGAGAAAAACCTTCACATCAAAAAAAAAGACCACATAAACATGAACTAAACTTAATCGAATTTAATGAGGTGCAGTACGGACCAAAAAAAGACCAAACTGCACCAGAGGGGGCGCCCAAAAGGGACGAATTTCCTTTGCTGAGTTGAACAGCTGCCCATCCTGTGTGTCTGATGCTGTTGTTTCTTCTGCCTTGATCAGGTGCCCACCACTCGCCAGCCTTCTGGACCGGTTTGACCACCATGGAGCTTCCTGCTGTACAACGCTGGGCAAACCTCACCAGCATGAACTGATCCCATTGATGATACTGCTGCATTTTTAATCATAGACATTGCTACTCCTGCTTTTCCCCCTTTTTTGTATGTTACTAATGATCAAATCTCATTCTCTGCTGTCATTGTATGCTATCTGGTGTGGACCAGAGAAGGATGGGTTCCCCTTTTGAGTCTTGGTTCTCCTCAAGGTTTCTTCCTCCTGCTTCTAGGGAGTTTTTCCTTGTCACTCATGGGGGCTTGGACCCGGATTTTTCTGTAAAGCTGCTTTGTGACAACACCTGCTCTAAAAAGTGCTATATAAATAATCCTTGACTTGACAAATCTTGTAGAGCCCACAAGCTTTATCACTGGGGAGAGAGGCTGAACCTCATCTCTCTGAAGCGAATCTTGACGAATGGTGGCGATAATATAAAACATTATTAGGCCACTCATACGTTCTAAGGGCAGTAGCTCAAGTCCCTCCTGTGCTCATGGCTGGTTGTACCGGAATTGTTAAATTCAGACCGACCAGTCAGAGCTCCACTGTCTTGGTTGCTGTCCAATCAAATATGCATCATGATGGCAGCAGAACAGCTCATTTTGCTTCTAGCAGAGCACTAAAACTTAACTAAGACGAGCAATGCGCCGACTATAGAAGTGCAGAGGTTAATGAAATGATACAGTGGACCACAGTGGAAAGTCTGCCAGTGAATACCTAAAACCTGTTTTCAGCATTTCTCTCCTTCTTCCCAGATTCTCAAAGTGGGAAACGCACTTGATGTGAAGCTTCCACTGCAGTAAAATCGCATCTTTGTTTTTTTGGTCAGACTTGGTGTGATTAGGCCTTTACACAAGCTCCCACCATGCGAGAGTGCAGGGTTTTCTTGCTCATTTACGTGAATGGAAGTGACCGTTAACTCAGTTCACTCAAATCTCGTCTGCTACTCACCACAAAAGCCAGCTGAGTTTCCTTTGAGAGCAAAGCAAAGAGGTGAGCTACTTAAACACACACACACTCACTCATCCAGACCTAAACTAATCATCTAATCTACGGCCGTCACTATCAATCACATTAGCAATCCGGGAATCTACTGATTGTTTTCATGATTAATAATTATTAGAGATTAGTAAAAAAGGCCAAACAATAAAAATAAATGTAACTGAACCTTGCAGAGCCCCTCAAGGACAAAATAGAACACATTACTGGACTAGGAAGCCTTGCAGAAGATCTCAATAATAATATTAAAAATACTGCTGAAGCTTTTTATATCACTGATTCAGCAGGTTACACTGGACAGTGCTCGCAGGAGAACTATGGATACAACATGAGCAGAAAACTAACAAAAGCAACAGCAAAAAGGAAAGTTTCCCTTGATACAACATAACAGTACAAGAGCGAGAGGCTATAATCAAACAGGAGTTGGTATATGACGTGTACACTCAGTGGAACATGCAGATGCTGATGCTCTCACTGCGAAATCTGAAAACTGTGTTCACCTATTTGTTTACCTAATTTATGCAATGTTACTGAATTAAACTGTAACAAAATCCACTTTTTTATTATGAAAAAATACTCTTTATCGTCAAATATGGTCAATTTAATTGCGACTAACAGCATAAAGAATAAAATCAGTTGCATTATTTGACTTCTTTGACAGGCCAAAAATATACAGTGGGGTCTAAAAGTCTGAGACTACTGGTGAAAATGCTTTTATTTTGCATCCCTTTTTAATTTAATACATTTTTCATTACAAATAATATAAACACATAACAATCTGATTTAATGTTTATATTAATTTCGGTATTTCTTAGTATTTGATTATCCACATAAAAATCGTCTGAAAACAAATTTGCTTCAATTTGAAAAGTGACCTAGAAATAGCGCAGATATTTATTCTTCAGTTAAACTGTTAATTAAATTGACACTTCTTTGTTAAAAATTTTCAAGATTCTGTAGTTTATTTTCAGATATAATTAAATTAATGTGGTCTCGTTTGCGGATGTTTGGACTCACCAAATAAACATGACATGAATTAAAATGCATATAAAGGCTCATAGCAAATGAGCGATAAAGGCAAAACTGGAACGCTCTTATTAAAATCAACAAAGCTGCCCAAACCGACTGCGAACGTCAGAGAATATCATATTAAACTATCCAATAAAACCTAAAAAACTGGATTTACACTGAAAGCAAGTGATGTAGCCACTCATTTTGCAGTTGAAGACTTTTATCTGATAGATTCCTAGTTTGTTTATGTTCTCACTGGTTACACTGATACTGCATTTAAAGACTCGAATGCTTATTGTTATTATCATCATACAAACTACTGACTGCTGATTTATTTAGAAGGCACATTTTATTCAATTATTTTGAAAATGGAGATTTTCCTACACTCTCCATACTTCATTAGGACCTCGGTGGGATGGTGGTTAGTAGCTACTTATCTATTGGTGATTGGTGGTGAGAAGCGATTGATCAGAGCTACCTATAATCTATAAATGCATTACTCTTTGTTGTTAAACATTAGATGGTTGTGTAAACCGAATCACTAAAACACAGGTTGTAGTGCTCCTCCAGTCCTCCAGAGGGAGCTACTCACCTGCAGTGCCAACTGGTTTTCCTTATGCAGCCAGACAGCAGAGACAGGAGAACAAGTCAGATACAGTAAAAACAGAGCAAAACGAGAGAGAGAGAGACAGAGACAGAGATAGAGAGATAGAGAGAGAGAGAGAGACAGAGAGAGAGAGAGAGAGAGACAGAGAGAGAGAGAGACAGAGATAGAGAGACAGAGAGAGACAGAAAGAGAGAGAGATGGAGATAGAGAGAGACAGAGAGAGAGAGATAGAGAGATAGATAGACAGAGAGAGAGATAGAGAGATAGAGAGAGAGATAGACAGAGAGAGATAGAGAGACAGAGAGAGAGAGACAGAGAGAGAGAGAGATAGAGAGAGAGACAGAGAGAGAGAGAGAGAAGAGAAGAGAGAGAGAGAGATAGAGAGAGAGAGAGAGAGAGGCGGATCAGTCTTTACCTCTATGGCGTCTTTAAACTCCTCGTCAGGCTCCGCCTCCTCAGCCTCCTCTACACTACCTGGTGAGAGATCCTGCAGAGAGAACAGAACAGACTCACTCACTCGTTCTCTCTCCCTCTATCTTCTCTTTCCTTCTCCCTCTCTCTCTGCTCCTTCATTCTCATTCTCTTTCTTCTCTTCTCCTCTTTCTCTCTCTCCTTTCTTTTTTCCCCTTTCTTGTTTCTTTCTTTCACCTTCTGCCTCTTCCCATTCTTTTCTCCTACCTCCCTTCTTCTCCCTTTCTTTCTTTTTCTTCTTTCTTTCTCCATCTCCCTCTCCTTTCTTTCCTTCTTTCCCGCCATTTCCCTCTCGCTCCTTTCTCTTTTTCTCCATTTCTTTCTTCTTCCTTTCTCCATCTCTCTCCTTTCTTTCCTTTGTTCCCTTCTTTCTCCTTCTCTCGCCTTTCTGTTTTTCTCCATTTATTTCTGTTTCTTTTTCTTTCTTTCCTTCTTTCTTTCTTTCTGTCCTCCTTTCCCTTCTTTCTCCCTCCCTCGCCTTTCCCTTTTTCTCCATTTCTTTTTTTCTTTCTTTCACATTCCCCCTCTCTCCTTATTCTTTTTTCCTTCCTCCCTTTCTTTATTTTTTCTTTCTTTCTTTCATTCTCCATCTCTCTCTCTCCTTTCTTTCCTTCTTTCCCTACTTTCTCTCTCTTCTCTCTTTCTCCATTTTTTTCTTTCGCCCTCCCCCTTTCCCCATTCTTTTTTCCTACCTCCCTCTTTTTCTCCCTTTCTTTCTTCCTTTCTTCTACCTTTCTCTCTCTCTGTCTCTCTTTTCTCTCTCTTACCCTCTCTCGATTTTCTATCTGTATTCCTCCCTTTGTCTTTCTCCTTTCTCTCCCTACCTCTCTCTCTCTTTTTTCTGTTCTCTGCCTCTTTCTCGCTTATCTCGGTCTCTGTACTTTTTTCTGCTCTCTGTCTCTCTCTCTGTCTCTCTCTCTCTCTAACCTCCAGGCTGGTGGGAGTCGGGGTCCGGTCCAGTAAGTTTCCCAGTTCTGTTTCACTCTTTTCGGTCTCTCCGTCTGCCGGCTGTGATGGAGTCGGGTGGAAAAACTCCTTCAGCTGCAGAACAACTGCAGAGGGAGAACGAGAGAACAGTCAGTGCTGAATGTAATGGTATCAGTAAAGCACAGAAGAATGAAAATGAACGTGTGAAACAGAGACTCGGAAACGTAAATCCACAGTAAATCCCTCTGGATAAAGTGGCTCTGCGGAACACTCAAACGAAAACTGTGTGCCTGTGCTGACTGACCTCTGCAGAAGTCTCTGTTCCACAGGAAGAGGGCGCTGTTGATCACAGACAGACTCCAACCCACAGGAGCGGTGTACAGCAAACACACAGTCATCAACAGGAAACCGTAAAACCTGTGCACGCACGCACACACACACGCACGCGCACACACGCACACACGCACACACACACACGCACGCACGCACACACACGCACACACACACACGCACGCACGCACACACGCACACACACACACGCACGCACACACACATGCGCACACACACATGCGCACACACACATGCGCACACACACACATACACACACACGCGCACACACACACACACACACACACACACGCGCACACACACACGCACACACACACGCACGCACACACACACGTGCACGCGCACACACACACACACACACAAACACACATTAGTGGTGGGCTAAAAAGTTTTTTCCTGAGACTTTAGAATGGCACAGCATAGTTTTGCCTGACTGGCATCCAAACACTGCAGCTGTGTCAGAGAGCACCCTTGATCTATTCAATTTCCAGTCAAAATGACCACTGAGTTCAAGTTATTCATTTTCCAGGAAATACGTCTGAGAAAATCAGCAAGGAGAACATCAAAAGGTGAAAACACGAGAGCTTCCAAAACTGGAGTACAAAAATGTATAAAAGGCTACAGAGAATATGTGCCTCCTAACAACCACCTGGAAGAGCTGAGGGACACCAAAACTGTCCCCATCAGATAAACAGCACTTAAAGCTTTCATCTCTGAGAGAGAGGAGAAAATCAAGCTCCACTCTGGATTCAGATCTGAAAACATCCACAGGAGTTTCTGTCCATCCTTCCACTGTGAGACACTCAGCACTATGAGTCTGAAAGGATGTGTAGCTGTAGAGAGCAGAAGCTCTTACTGAGAAAAGGAGACAGAGTCCAGACCTCAATCACTGAATGTGTTTAGGATCACTTTAGATCGTGAGGAGCAGAGGATTGAACTTTGGAGTTGTGAAAAATAATAAAAGTAAATAATGGACTAATAACAAAATAATGGACACTCTAAATATTGAAAATTTTGATATTTAGTTGTTGAGGCATTTTGGTAATTTTCTGTTAAATAGTTTTTCTTATATATTGGTTTTCTGCATTTTTACTTGTCACTGAAAAATTAGTTAACTTATACACTTCATGGCCATTTGGAATTCCAGCCATATTTTGCCAGCTTGTGTTATCAAACGAACAACTCTGAATTTTGCACAGTATTGTGCAGATTACATTTTAGACTTAAAGGGGAACTCCACTAATTTTTATGTATAACTGAATCGTTGAGATGTAACCTGATTCAGCGTGGTTTGATCTGAAATGGTTCATTATGGAGAAACTTACTACCCAGGGTCACAACATCTACAACAGAAATACAGCCATTTTATTTACTATCCAGAACCACCAGTGACACTACACACGTCTTCTGAGTGTTTAGAGGTGATGCTGATGATGGTAAAATAGTGGTAAATCTAATAAAGTAAGTTTTTTTTGAGGACTATTTTGCCTTGTAACGCCCTGCATGTATCCCTCCCCCATGAATGGATTTTGAAAAATACATTTAGGGCTAAAAATCTTCTCAAAACTATCATAAAACAGTGTCTTGGACATCAGGCAGCGTATTCGCAATAATGTAATGTAAAAACTTCCTTTAAGGGAGCTTTTAGAGGTGGACGCCTGGCTCCTATCACCACCACTGTGAACAATTCTGACTCAGTACGATTCTCCAGAACGGAGCATTTCACACCAAACCACTCTGAATGACATTATTTTTTGATTTAATTATGCAGGATTTGTAAAAAATGGGTGAAATTTTCCTTTAACAATATTAGATGAGTGACTATCAGAAGCTGGATGTGTTACTCACACAGAAGAAGACGCGTGACTCTCCCAGTATAAGATCTTATAGGCAGATTCTGCATAAACGCATGCCTGGGTCAGGAGGTCGTCCAGTCGCTTCAGCCTGCAACACAAGCACACCCAGCTCACCTAAAGCTCCCTTTATTTTCTAACATCAGTGTCTGTCACATGACCATTAGCTGACTCTCGTTTGAAGTAGTATGTAAACACGGTCAAAGTGTCAAAATGTACCCTTCGCTAGTCAGTCAATACAGTCCATATGTGGAAATAATACGGCAAACAACAAACAACCTGTTTTGAATTCATTGCTTCTGTGACGCCACAAGAGCCAATTCAGTTCAATACATCCACTTAGCCTCCATTCAGCCTCCTAATTACTATTAAAGTTAAAGAAGTAACAGAAACACCTGTACATAAAATCTCTCCAGCTAAAAATTACATAAAATATTAAAATAAACAAATAAAAATAAAAATGAAATAATATTTAAACATAACATTGAAACGACTTTTGTAGTAACTATCTAGAGACAGTCAATCACTTATTCTGGCTTTGTCAATATGTAAAAGACGACATCTCAGTGCCTTTATTGTTCATTATATTGATGTGAAGTATTGTTTATTGTGGAAAGATGTATTATTTGGTCTTTTGGAAAATCATAGAGCTAAATACACATGCATACATGACAGAGCTCGTTAGTCTGTCTGCTGATGATGCACGCGATTCATTCACGTGACATTACTGAGTAGGATGTGCTCATGAGGGTCATTTCAGGATGCTGGTTTGTTCACATTATTGACAGATTTGAGTCACTCACCTAAAGGAGTGTGAACTATTGAGTCAGAGAGATCGGATTTGAGCAAAAAATCAGATTTGAGCAATGAGGCTTGTAATGTGAACGTAGGCTATCTTTCCAGTTAATTAGTGCACCTTTTTCGGACAGCAACGATCTATCAGTCTTAAAGGCTCAGTAACAAAAACAGCCTGTTTAATTCTGAGGGATAACAAAAGGAAAATGTTAATGTAAAAATGAACCACGACCCATTTTGGTAGATAAAATCACTTAAAATGTTAAAGGGCAAAACTAAAATAGAAGAGAAATGTAGGATACGGGCCCTTTAAAGTAACAAAACACAAGGAAAGAGAAGAAAATCGACAGAAAAGCAAAGTAGAAGAAAGAAAGTGAGGGGTGCTCCAGTAAAGGTGGGAGATAAGTCTGCGAAAAAACCCAAACGATAAATACGTGACGTCCGAACGCTGACGTGAATAGTCTGAAACGTCTCGCGCTCTACTCACAGGCCCTTGACCTCCAGCATGGCCTCCTGGCGGCTCATGTGGACGGTCTGCAGTTCTCTGCGCTGAACCGCGAAATGCTTCTTCTTCTGCACAGCCGTCTCACTAGCAACACCCTGGCAACGGTCGCCAAGGTAACCCAGAACAGCGGGGACAGTAACCACCATCAGGAACAGGGAGAACCAAGCCACTGAAAAGTGAGAGAGAGAGAGTGAGAGAGAGAGAGAGAGAGAGAGAGAGAGAGAGAAGAGAGAGAGAGAGAGGAGAGAGAGAGAGAGAGCTACTTATGCATTTGCTCGTTCACTCACTGCCATCTGATTATAGACCAGAGCAACATAATCAGTGTTCATTGTTGTTAGTATTAGCATTCAGCTATCAATCACTGCTCGGTCTCCTTCTTTATCTGTATGCCTCTCACCTTCAGTCAGAGTGATGAAGAGGATGTTCAGGAGGAGGCAGCACAGCAGAGAACAGAGAGGCATTCTCCATCTATAATACACACACACACACACACACACACACACACACACACACACACACACATATAACATATCCTCTACAGGAAACAGTTTTAAATATGCCATTTTAGTGCACAATGTCTATTTATTTGCTGAGTCTAGCAAATCTAAAAATTAAAAATATAAAACATGATACAAAATGTGTCAAAACTTTTGCACAGGCCACATTTTAGATTTGATCTTTTTTCCACAATTTGCTATATTCAACAAATAAACAGTCATTTGCTTCAAAATGTGCAGGTGTGTGTTCTCCAAAGATGTTTCAACTTATTTTCAATCAGAAAATCAACAAAACGTGATCTGACCAGGTGCAGCCAAACTTTAGCTACATCATAAACAATTTAGTATCATCTATTATCCATGATAATATTATAAGTCTCAGTGTTAAAAAAACTCTTGTCCAAAAAAGGCTATAAAGAATATTAAATGATTATTTAGACAAATTATAAAACTATTCCTTTTTTCCTTCATGAATTCTCCTTTTCACTCTGTTATTTCTTATTTTTCATTATTCTGTCAGTGTTGTTATTGATACTGTTAAACATCCTAAATCCAAACACTGGTTAACACTGCGTCAAACAAACGTTAGGAATTCTGTCGTAAACATTCCAAATCTAATTGTTGCATATTCTGTTGTTCCACATTCCAATTCTTATTACTGCATGTTCTGTTGTTCTGTTTGATGTTCCAATTCCAATGTATACTGATAAACATTCCGATTCCAAAGTATACTGTTAAACATTCCGATTCCAAAGTATACTGTTCAACATTCTGATTCCAAAGTATACTATTCAACATTCCGATTCCAAAGTATACTGTTAAACATTCCGATTCCAAAATATACTGTTAAACATTCCATTTCCAAAATATACTGTTAAACATTCCAATTCCAATGAATACTGTTAAACACTCCAATTCCAATATACAGTTGAACAATCCAATATCAGTATATTGTTAAACATTTTAATTCCAATATACTTCTAAACATTCCAATTTATAATTTTAAACATTCCAAAATTCAATATACTGGTCAAAGCGTCTTCTTCACTTACCCCAGCAGGTAGCGCAACACCTCCAGCGCGTCCGTTACCGGCTCCAAAAAAATGGCCATCCGCTTGTAGGAGACCACCATGTTGAGAAGGTCAAAGGTCACCACTCGGGGACCTACTGGCTCGGTGCTGATATCCAAGGTAGGGCCATCTTTCGCAGGCGGCTGGGCCACATCGCCTCGATCCCCACCCCCCTGCACAGCCTCCTGCATCCTCACCTACAGGACAGATTCACCTTCACCTGGAGGACAAATTAAGATAAACACACACACGTGACTCCACTAATAATAATAACTCTAACAGTAATAATAACAATAATTACAGTGTTGTATCTGTATAATATAGGTTTACCGTTATCGGTTAGAATGAGTTTTTTTTAAAGGCCAAACAATAAAAATTAATTGGATAAAAAAAATAACCAAACGACCTAAAAAATAACCACAGAAATACAATGAAAAAACAAAACAAAATGAAAGCAAAGGTGTAGATTAAGATCAGACACAGTTACCGCTCACTTCATAATCAGCTCCATTAATGTCGCTGACAAGAAAACTACTGAATTGATGCAAATATGGTATTAAATATCAAAGTAAAGTGCATGTAAATGTAAAACTATCACTGATACCTCCCTCGTGCTCTTCTGAACACCACCGAAACCACTGCCAGCGATTTAAACTAGGCACCTGGGTGCCGCCCATCAGAGTAAAGTGGACAGGAGGATAGATTAAGCTTAAGGGTAGGGCCTTGTGTTATGGCCACACCTTTTTCTATGGACTGTGGTTTTTGTTTTGTTTTTTTTTGTTTTTCTTTGTTGAGAGAGTGAAATAATGGCGTCTACTCTATATGTCGATTTATAGCCATCTGGGAGTTTTATTGTGTGGTTATAAAAAACTGCATGGCTGTTTTTTTTTTAAACACTGCACTATCATTACTTGCAAAACCATTCCTAACTACTATTGACATTCTGACAACACAATCTTGCTGAGCACTTCAATAGTGCGGACAGAAACATCTCAATCCTCCTGTTATCCTCAAATTTACTAACATCTGTCGTCCTTGGGGTCAGTTTGACCCCAGCAATCCAAACCTCTGGGAAATATCTAAGCAGTCACGTTAGATTAGGGTCATGAAGTAAAGCAGAGGGGTGTTTTCTGAAGATAATAAAAGTGCATATTATGTGACCACAGTATCATCCAAAACAATCAAAACAAATGTGTGCAAAATATTGATATTTCCTACGTTTATGCAGCTAAAACACCCTGAGATCAAACTGACCCCAAAGGACACATGTGCACTAAATTCGTACAGAACATTCGTGGTATTCTATGTTTACCTAGTTGCACCCATTAAATTATGAAGGAAGCAAAAAATTACGCCAATCTTTTATTTAGAGTCGTTTAACATCGAAATGGGGTCAAACTGACCACAAAGACAATAGGAGTGTTGAGCAGGTTGAACAGCAGGCACTGAGTTGTTACACCAAACTACAGCATGATCAGCTACATTATCATGTCTTTAACCTCTTCAGCTCCTTGAAACCACCGGTGGTTCCAAAACGCACTTCGTCATATTCTTCATAACTTTCATATTTCATAAGCTGCATTCAGAAGGTGGGGGTCGTATGAGAGCTGTAACTGTCTTCTTTCCAGTCAAACAGATGGGTGATGTCATTTTAAACCCTTATAATAAAAGAAGCTGAACTCACAATTTTTTTGTCTACTGAAAGTCGACCCATTTTTCCACGAATCTGGGCTATAAACTATAAGCAGATGGCGTCTCTTCAGTGATCTGCTCTGTAAACATTATTTTTATAAAATAATACAAAGAGCGTCTGAGATTTCTGGCTTTCAGCAGTAAATTGTAAGCATATAGCAATATGTGTGATCATAAAACACATGTTCTGTTAATCTGAGGGGAGTTTTTACAATAAATAAATAAATAAAATAAAATAAAATAAAAATTTACATTCATTTAATGCAGTTACTGAATAATTTGCCTTATGATTTGATCATGAAAATTCAGATGGACAAACCAAAACATACCCTGGAGAATAAGAAGTTAATAAAATCACCGGCAGTTATTAAAATTATTTTGTTTTCCTAAAAAACATCATTTTCTTTTTGCTAAATATGTAAACACTTATGATCTCCTTCACTACACACTAGATTAAGGGTAGCTTTGCCAGCTTCTTGTTCATATTTTCCCGTTCCACCTTAAATGGTGCAGCAGTTACGGTCTCAGCCTCAGGGGCCACAATGTAACTGCTGCACCATTTAAGGTGGAACGGGGAGATTCGAACAAGCAGCTGGAGAACAGGAAGCTGACTTCAGCCTCGTACTGGAAATGTCCAGCTGTCATAAAAAGCCTTAAACATGACACCAACAGGTCAGAAACATTAGGTAAACTACTCCATAATCCGCACCAGCCGGAGGTAAACAAACAGCACCGGCACCAGTGACTGAACTACAGCGGCACAAACAGCGTTAAATTACCTTTTCCCTCTATTTTTAACCTCCTGCACGAACTCTAATGGTGTCTCAACACACTCGTCCCCATCCAGATCGATCCACGGCGGTCAAAAAGATGTAAATATGCGTTAAATCCACTAAATTTACACTAAAATAGGGGTCAGTTTTGGAGACCGTAGCCAGCCGCTTTAGTGAGCTTCTTCCGTAACACGCAGGCTTGTTGAGTTGATCGCCGAGAGCAGGATGAGAGCACGAACGGGACCTGGAATCGAATGCCGATGAAGTCGTTCCGATGTTTCAGTCTTTCTTTCAGATCAAATCAAAACGAAATCAAATCGAGCTTTATTACAGACACACACGGCATCTTGGACAGCTTGGACATCTTTTCTGCACTTGGCATCCAAAATTGAGGTTCAGAATGATCTCATTCTGTCTCTGCCAATGATGGTGATGTGTGGTGAGGAGAAGTTCTCACAGTTCGCCGGTAGGTGTCGCTGTAAGCCTGTAAATCAAATACATGAACCCAGCGAATTTGTAGAAAGGAGAATCAGCGAAACCGGTGTCTCAAACGCTAGAGGGCGCTCCCGAGTGAGTCCAAAATGAATGGGTTGATATGGAGCATTTGAGTAAAATCATAGTTAATAAAAGCTTAAATATTTTTAATGTAAAATAATTCGATCATTTACTGAACACAGAGCAGCATAAAACATTTTAACACTGCTGTTATATTTTTAAGAGCTTTTAAACTCGAGTTATAGGAGTTTAATGACGTCAGTAGGCGCGAACAGCCAATCAGCTGCTCCGATCGCCAATCAATCAGCACTCAGTAGCAGTAATGCCCGCCTCCTGCTGCCCAAAACCCGTTTGCTGTAGAAAAAAGGAAACACACAGGTGAGATTTCTTTGTTTTTTTTTAGTGAAATCCATCCTTCTACTTTCTAAAATTAAAGGAAAGTTCTGGTTCAGTGATTAGAAACTATTTTAACTTTTCGTTTTTAACCACGTAGCTCCATTAATTCCAGCTGAAGGATGTTACTTCGTAGTTTTAATGCTGGTAGTATTTTTAATAAAGTGATTCAAGCTATCAAAACATCCTACCGAGAGGTTTTACGTACTGAGCTACTTATAAATATGCGTGTTGATGTGACATTTCGACAAGGTAACACAGCTCATCATAACAGCTGCCTTACTTCTGTGTAGCTCAGTGACGTCAAACTGATGTGCGGTAATTAATTTAACATTAGCCTACATGTCGCAATATTAGTATTTAGGCCCAATCCCATTTCACCCCTCGCTCCTACCACTCAGCCCTTACCCCTCCGTTTTGTGCGTTCAGGCCTAGGGGTAGGGTGTCCCGATCTTTGTTGAGATGGGGGGGGGGTGAAGTGTTAGAGCTGCATGGCCCTCCAAACAAAGGCTTTTCAGAGACACTCCAAACAGAGAGTTATGAGAAAAAAAAGAAAAGCCAGCAAGATGAGCGACCAAAGAAACCCACAAATGTGTTAAAATACCACAATAACCAGTGTATTATCTTAGTTTAATGTCATTTTCAATGTATTATGGTCCTTTTCTTCATAACTAGCATAAAAAAATCTTAGGGACAGCATCTTATGAATAAAGTTATTTTTATTATTTGCAAATTAAACTCATGATAAATCCAAATATTTCAACTTCACTTCACTCACAAATATATATCTTAAAACACATTGAACAAAACATCAAAAAATGTATTATTTCAAATTTAAGTGTAAATTTAGAGGTTAGAGTTCGGGACGAACACCTCCCAATAGAAAGTACCCTGTAAATAATGATTTTATATAGATTTTGTACATATTTAGCTCATTTCTATCTCTCGTAAGGCCTTTGGTTTAAATAGACCATATCATAAACACTGTAAATACCTAAGGTCTGAAGACTTCACTGTGTTTTTAATCAGTATTTTTACTGTGGGACTGCAGTTTGAGCTAATTCAGTGGAATGCTCCATATACACATTGTTTACCATCACATGGGGGCTGTAGATCCCCGAACAGCCCCTCCCCTCATCAACACCTCGCTCGTGCTGTCTTATACCATAAACACAGCCTGGGTTTCTCAGTGTGAGGGAGAAGCGCTCGCACTGACATGAGCAACATGTGAAGCTTCTTCAGTTCTTTTTTTAACTTCCCAACTACACGACGTCTGTAGTTTGAATCAGGGTGCAGTGACGAGATGTGGCTGCGTCTGTAGTGAACTGTAGGGTTTTTTCAGACTTTGAAGAAAACACAGGAAGGTAAGACACATTTAACACCTTCACATGCATGACTAACATGTGTAGACATCCTATACATACATCCTATACATACATCCTATACATACATCATATACATACATCATATACTTACATCCTATACAGACATCATATACAGACATCATGTACATACATCCTATACATACATCTTATACATACATCTTATACATACATCATATACAGACATCATATACATACATCCTATACACACATCATATACATACATCATATACAGACATCATATACGTACGTCATATACGTACATCATATACAGACATCTTATACAGACATCATATACAGACATCCTATACATACATCATATACATACATCATATACTTACATCCTATACAGACATCATATACAGACATCATGTACATACATCCTATACATACATCCTATACATACATCTTATACATACATCATATACAGACATCATATACATACATCCTATACACACATCATATACAGACATCATATACAGACATCTTATACAGACATCATATACAGACATCATATACATACATCCTGTACAGACATCATATACAGACATCATATACATACATCCTATACAGACATCCTATACAGACATCATATACAGACATCATATACATACATCCTGTACAGACATCATATACAGACATCATATACATACATCCTATACAGACATCATATACAGACATCCTATACAGACATCATATACAGACATCATATACATACATCCTATACAGACATCATATACAGACATCATATACATACATCCTATACAGACATCATATACAGACATCATATACATACACATAACCAGTCAGGATCCTTCTGTGTTTTTAGAAAACAGTTAAAAGCATTTTTCTCTACTTTAACGTTTAACTAGTTTTTGTATTGTTTCCTTTGTTTTTACTGGAATATTACTATTACTTTTATGTTCTTGTTAGTTGCATTATATATATATATATATATATATATATATATATATATATATATATATATATATATTATCTTGTGCTTTTTAATTGTAATTATTAATATATCCCTTTTCTGCTATTTATTATTTGTTTATTATATTTTGTTTTTATTTTTGATTATCTTTTTTCTCTTCTTCCTCTGTTTTGTTCTTCTTCCTCTACTTTGTATTGTTACAGAGCAGCGCTGTTAATGAAGTAATGTTTTTTTTTATTTATTTATTTTTTTTTATTTGAGGGTCCCATTTCGTAGGGAAAGATTTCAACCACTACCCCTTGTAACTCCGTTCCAAGGGGTTAGGGTGACACTCGAAAACAAGGGGTAGGGGTAAAAAGAAGAAATGGGATTGGGCCTGAATATACATAGAGTGGGATCCAAAAGACTGAGAGCTCTGCTGAAAGCTCATCTGCATTATACATGAGCTTCAATGGATAAGACTAAAAATAAAGCTGACCATTTTGTAAAAAGTCCATAGCATAGTCAATATCACAGATTTTACTTGTCGCAACTTGCCAGATTTTGAATTGAATTCCACTCAGAAATTAAAGACATTGTATCCTACTGTAATAATGCTATTTCAGTCTTTTGGACCCCAAGTCACTGATATAGAGTAACTATAGTTTTTATTTATTTTGTAATTATTTTTCTACAGTGCATCAGTGAGCTGGAAATTATTACACAAATCTCTAAATCTTCGCTCTCTGGTGTTACATGAACATTTCCAACTTTTAGCCTCTAACCACCTCCAATCAGCCTGCAACTGTTTTATTTGATTTTAGTTGACTTTTAAAATGATTTTTGGTATGTTTTTAGTTATTGTTCCATTTTTATTATGCTGTTCTTATTTATTTTAACATCGCCAAACTATTGTTTTACATCTTTAATTTCTTTATTCATTTCATTAATTATATTTTTTTATTTATCCTTATTTTATCTTATTTATTACTATATTGTTGTAATTTTAACAGTTTATTGATTTGTTTTGTTTTACTACTATGATTATTGTTTATTTTTAGCATTTGTCATGTTTTTACTATTTAACTTCTCAATCCCTGATTTCTATATTGGCTCGGCTACATTGTAAATGAGGGTCTCCCTCAATGTACTCTGAGTTTAAATGTAGGTTGATTGATTGATTGATTGATATGTTGGTTAGCAGGGATGTTAGTAGGGATGCACTAAAATAGTTAAAATAGCACTTTGAACCAAAAATGTTGTGTACATCATGTACTTATTAATGACATCCACCCGTGCTCCTTTAGATGAAGTCTGCAGGAGTGTGCGAGAGCCTTCTCTTCACGGAGTCGTACTGCAGCATCTGTAACGCTCAGCTCATCTCCCAGTCACAGCGCATCGCTCACTACCAGGTACCACACACCCACACGGTTCTAACAGTTCTTATTAAAATTGAAAGATGTAGAATTACTGAGTCAGGAGGAAAAACACACTAAAATATGGTGAGCTTGAGTCGCCCTGTAAAGCCTGAAATAGTCATTTAAAAGTCAGAGACATCGAGTCGGGAGTTTCTCAGACCATGTCTCTATGTATTAACATCACACACAGCCTTAAAAAGATGGTCTGACTTGATGTTTAGGTCTCAAATCCTCAGAAGACACGTCCTTCACCGAATTTTGACTGAGCTCTCTTTAAATTCTCTTTGAATACGTTCACAATCATCAGATTCCTCCACTCAGGGAAGGGGTCCAAGCACAACCCAGGTTACAGTTGCAGTTTCCACCAGGCAGGTGGACAACAACTGCTAAAAACAGTTTTCAGAAAATAAAAGAACAGAACTCTGATTGTGTTTAAAGGGGGCTCACATCTCTTTTATTAGCTAAGCTGCCCCTGTGTACCTTGTAATTCAAATTGAACTACACTTGGAGTCGTTTTTTCCCTAAACTATCACTTTATTGAGGTTAAAATGCTTGTTACCCGGGTAATAAGAACTGTGTGCATATTATCAACAACATTCAATGTATATAATACAAAAACTGCATGTAATAAATCTGGGACATGCTATTAAATAGGACATATTATTGCTTATTAGGTACTTACATACAGGCTATGTAATTACCCATAGTACATGCTTTATACATATAGGCGCTTACATATATACTATACATATGGGACACATTATTATTATATGTAGGTGTTTACATGCATAAAATACACACTGGACATATTAGTACATATAGAAAGTTACATATATATAAAAATGAAAAGTTAAATAAAATAAAATAATCAAAAGCATATTAAGTTGATATTTTGTGTGTGTGTGTGTGTGTGTGTGTGTGTGTGTGTCTTACTCTTTCAGAGTAAGAAGCATGCCAGTAAAGTGCGTCTGTTCTACATGTTGCACCCAGAGGACGGCGGACCCCCCTCGAAACGCCTCAGACCAGACAACCCTGTAAGAATGTGTTTTTTTTTTTTCAGAACCAAAATGTCCTGACTCTATAGGAAAACCAGAGAAATTACACTACTAGGTACTACTACTAATTGTCCATTTTATCAGCTCCACTTACTATACAGGTGCACTCTGTAGTTCTACAGTTACAGACTGTAGTCCATCTGTTTCTCTGCATACTTTGTTAGCCCCCTTTTACCCTGTTCTTCAGTGATCAGGACCCCCATGGACCCTCACAGAGCAGGTACTATTTGGGTGGTGGGTCATTCTCAGCACTGCAGTAACACTGATGTGGTGGTGGTGTGTTAGAGTGTGTTGTGCTGGTCTGAGAGTGCCTCAGTGTCACTGCTGGACTGAGAATAGTCCATCTAATAGAGTGGACAGTGAGTGGACACAGTGTTTAAAAACTCCAGCAGCACTGCTGTGTCTGATCCACTCGTACCAGCACAACACCCAAATAGTACCTGCTCTGTGAGGGTCCATGGGGGTCCTGACCACTGAAGAACAGGGTAAAAGAGGTCCAACAAAGTATGCAGAGAATCAGATGGACTACAGTCTGTAACTGTAGAACTACAAAGTGCACCTATATAGTAAGTGGAGTAAATATATATTAGAATGTTTGTCCTGACAAGGTATAAAAGCAAATGTGCATGTGGTGTGTGATTTAACTGTTGTGTGAAAATGCTTTTAGCACTCTCTCTCTAAAGTGACCCATTCGTCATGCATTGTTTATCCAGAGCTAGACCACTGGACCATCCCTAAAACCACGCAAGCAATCTGACACAGTCTCTCTCTCTCTCTCTCTCTAGTTAATTGCTAAATTTCCTAAATTTCTATCTATCTATCTATCTATCTATCTATCTATCTATCTATCTATCTCCCACTCTTTCTCTTTCACTGTTTCTCTGTCTCTCTCTAGTACTGTACTTTTTGCCCTGTAAAATGGAGTCCATAAAAGCTCAGTTAGTTTTCTCCAAGCATGTTGAGCTGAATAACGACATGTTAGCAGCAGTTTGAAAAGAATTGCTGGGGCTCTATGAAGCACATGTTAGCCTTCAACCTTCCAGCTTGTGGGGCAACTAGCAATGACTACAATGGGGGAGAAAACTTAGGTAAAAAAGATGGTGTGCATGATTTGTGCTGTGGTGGCATCAGACCTCTTTTATGGAGTGGTCCTCTGGGGCAGACTGCTGACAGGAAGAGAATAGACAGACTCATTAAGAGGGCCAGCTCTGTCCTGGGAAGCCCACTAGACCCAGTGCAGGGGGAGACAGTAGCATGTTAGCCAAACTAGCATTCTTCTTTAGTGATGGGCTGCTTTACCCCAAGTGTGTGAAGGAGCGCTATCGCAGGTCCTTCCTTCCTGCTGCTGTTAGACTGTACAACCAGCACTGCTGCCAGTAGAACCCCCCACAACCCCGTTAGACCTCACACACCTACAGAAGGTAATCTGTGAATTCATCACCATTTCCTGTGTGCAATATAATCAGTACTTCATGTGCGAAATTCCATGTGCAATACGTGTGAAATGTCCTTACAGTGTAAAGATATTTTGCTCTTTTATTTATAACATTTATTTTGTTAATTTTGTGAAGGATATAGTTTGTATTTTTTGATTATTATATATATTGTCTATACAGTAATGAGTAACAGACTGTCACCTTGTTAAGTAATAAATAAGGTTAATACCAGAGAACTTGTAGAGAGGAGAATTACCACTCTGCAATGTCTTTCAGGTTTCTCAAACACTAGAGGGCGCTCCCGAGCGAGTGAATGGGTTGATATGGAGCATTTGAGCAAAATCATAGTTTATAAATGCTGAAACATTTTTAATGTAAATGAATTCGATCATTTCCTGAACACAGAGCAGCATAAAACATTTTAACACTGCTGTTATATTTTTAAGAGCTTTTAAACTCGACTAGTTTAAAATGGCACCTCATGTACATTCATGACGTGTGTGATCGCGAACAGCCAATGAGCTGCTCCACTCGCCAACCAATCAGCACTCAGTAGTAGTAATGCCAGCGTTCTGCTGCCCAACAACCATTTGGTGTAGAAAAAAGGAAACGTACAGGTTAGTTTTCTTTGCTTTTTTCTTTGCCCGCTGTTGTTGCAGTCCTGTTTTGATATAACGGGGGAAATAGGAAGTGGTCAGGCTCCTCATAGACCAGCTCTGATATTACTTATTATTACTTATCTTATCTTATCTTATCTTATCTATCTATCTTATCTTAATTATATTAGCTTTTATTACTGTAGATTTTTAGTCACTCTGTGTTGTTAAACTTGTGATGTGGTAGTTTGCTGTTTCACCATGTCTACAGTCGTATCGTCATTCTGTAGTCAGCGTTATGCCCATATTAAGAAATCTAAGCTGATTTCTCTATGGCCGAAAATAAACGCCATTTTTGAAAAATTTCTGCTAATGCTAACTATTCTAAAGCCAATAAGTTGTGACCTCTCAGATAGCAAGCATATATCAGTCGACTGGCTTGATAAGGTCAGCACCCCTGCTGACTGTTTGCCACTGTTAGTCCACACTCGGACTACCCAGATTATTTGACAGATATAAAATGACTAGGCCTGATTTTACAGAAAATGTAAATGCTGAAACTGCACAAGATTAAAATGATTTACTAAACGAATTTACAAAGTATTACTAAAGGAAGGAAGGAAGGAAAATTAGTAAACTGCCAGTGGACCACCAGCTTTGCCATCAGCAGGCCGACAGTGGTCCACTATCCTTTTGCTATCTGGGCTGTGCATGTTTTCTCTCTGAATGTTGCTGGATCCTCTGAATGACGAGGTTGTTAAGGAGCTGAAAGATGAATATTGCTACATGCACGCTAACACTGCTGAGCCCTGACATCTTCACCAGAATACCCCACACAAGCCAGCAAGTATGGTGGTTAAGTTGCGTTAACTGTAGTAGAGGACATTTGGAGCGGCTGGTGTTGAAAATTAATGGTAGACTTACTTTTATGCGTCATCATTTCAGTGTGCAGGAGCGTTAGCTTGGTGTTAGCATGTATGTAGCAATATTTGTATTCCCACTCCTTCCGGGTTTGGAACATTTTTGTTTACCGCAGGGTGCGACAGCGGCGGTTTTTGAAGATCACATTCATTTTTCTCATAGAGAAATCCACTTAGACCCTGAGTTCCTAATAAAGGCATGACGCTGACAACAGAATGATGTATGACGCATGATTTCTGTCTCGTCAGCCTGTTTTTGCACTTTTATACTTTTGTTCCATGTAAACGCAGCTCTATTTGGCAGGTTGTTGTTAATGAGCTGTATTTGTTTGTCTGTTGTAGCTGTTAATAGATCACTTTGCTCTTGGCGTTCTGCCTCTCGGGGTTACTGCGTCTTATTAGCATCTCGCTAACTGCTAATTATAACCTCACCGGCGGCTCCCCGCAGGGCCAATGAGGGACTTCAGTCATCGGAAAGTTCAGTTTTGAGAAAGTTTCTGTCTTCGCTGCCCTTGTTCAGTTACGTTTATGGACTGAAGCTTGTGTGGAAAGCTTATGTTAGCCTGGAGCTATGATGTTGTTTTTCTGTTAGTGTGGCTGCCCTCAGGGGGGCTAACAGGGTACAGAATGATTGACAGTTCCCTCGCTGAGTCTCTGTGGTGCTGTACGTCGCACCTGAGCCTGCCAGGAGAGACACTGTCCTCGTTTTTGGAGTGTTGTCAGGCCCAAATGTGAATGTGTTTGCTAATCTGTGCTAATTCCAAGTGTTCAGGTGTGTTTATGTCTGTTTGGCTCAACACATCGGCTCATTGCGCCCTAGTTTGGCGTGAAATGACATTTACACAGAATTACCAAATGTAGACATGTTTGGTGTCTGAACTTTAGTTTTGCAATGGAGCTGTGTTAAGGGGAATTCTGACTTTTTTCCCCCAAAGATGTCTGCATAACTCAGTTGTTGAGATGTAAACAGTCATTCAGAGTGGTCTGATTGTAGAGAAGCGATGTCTTTACAGTGGTGCTGATAGGAACCAGGGGTCACAATGACTTCAACACAAATATAGCCATTTTATTTACTATCCAAAACCACCAGTGAACCCACACGAGTCCTCTGAGTCTTTATATGTGATGTTGATGATGGTAGAATCTAACAGTTTACCCCATGGGTGGGTTAACTATAACAGACAGAGGGTCAGTTTAACACCTAATAGAAAAGTCTGAGGAATTAGTGCAAACAATGTTCATTCAATATAATTCTGTGCTATAAGAAACAAATATATTTTCCAACCATACTGCATTATACACCAGCTAATATCCAGAGGAACCGCCGTCTGCAGCACGGACAGCAGCTAGACAGGCTGGGAGTGACTCAGTAAGGCCCTGGTAGGTTGTCACAGGTATCTGGAGCCTTGCTGACAGCAGTGCATCCCACAGCTGCTGAAGGGTGTGTGGGGGAGGATCCATAGAGCGAACACGGCGATCGAGGTGGTCCCACAGATGCTGAATTGGGTTCAAGTCTGGGGAATTAGAGGGGCAAGGTAGTACTTGGAAGTCTTGGTGATGCTCTTCCAACCAATGTCTGACGTTTCTAGCCATGTGACGTGTCGCATTGACTTGCTGGAAGATCCCAGAGAAGACAATCAGCATGTGTAGGTGTACGTGATCTGCCAGGAGGGATTCATACCCAAATCAGTTGAGAGTGCCTTCCACATGGATGAGTGGGCCCAGAGAATGCTGCGTCACGTGACTTCCATCATGAGCTATGCGCTGCTGCCGTCGATAGTAGGATGTGGTCATAATAATGTGACTCGACTGTGTATGTTATCATCAATAAGACAGACAGACAGATCAACTGATAGATACACACACATTAAATTATATATGAAAACGGACATGAGACTGTGTGTCAAACAGTGTGAGTGTCCAGTGAAGGACAGCAAATAAAAACATCACACATCAGTAAAATATGGAACATTGTTCCTGAATAACTACAGTTGCTGTCAATTTCATTCATTTACTTATTTAAACCAAAACACTAACATCTGAAAGACACTTATAAAGTAGAAGAAAATCCCTGTTTACAGACTTTTTCACTTTTTCATTTTAAAATCTGTGTAAACACAGAAAAAAAGACAAAATTTTTCTTTATTTGTCTTAGTTCACTAAAGGTGTCTTGGCTGTAACGTTGTGTAACAACTAACCCTGCAGTATGGAGGCTGTACTTAAGCCTAACTAGTGCTTGCTGTGAGCTTGTCAGCTGCTATAAGGTTGGATTTTGTGATTTACACAAACAGCTCGGTAACCAAAAACAACTTGTGTCGAAACCACTCTTTGGCACAGATCTCTATAAAAAACAATCGTGCTAAATTTTGGTGGGAGACTGTGGCTAGGAAATGTGGTAATGTGGCCAGAAGCTCACGGCGCTTGACCTTCTTTAACAACGTAAAACGTCCATTTTAATTTATGCCCTGCGTCAGGTTGTTCCCAACACTCTCGTACATCTCTGCCATGAATGGATTTTAAATAAAATACATTTCAGGCCAAAACCTTCTCAGAACTGTCATAAAACAATGTCTCAGGCATCAGTGTATTCATAACCTTTTTATACAGTGACTTTCTGTGAGGGTATTTTTAGCGCTGTTAAACTCTTCAGACGTTCGGTTCCTATCACCGCCACTGTGAATTCTGACTCTGTAGGTTCAGGTAGAATGGTGCATTCCACACAAAACCACTCTGAATGACTTTGTTTACGTTAGGGGTGGGGAACCAAAGGCCAAAGTCCAGCAGGAAAATCACCAAACTGTTGGTCCTCGAGGACTGGAGTTCCCCACCCTGCTTTACTCAGCCATTTAATCATACAGAAATTTTAAGAAATTGTTGGAATTACATTTTAAGGAAACTCCAATAGGCTTGATTATGTGGTTTCTGACTCTGTATGACTGTATCTATAAACCTGAACCTATAGATGACGGCTGCTGCTGCTGTTTTTAGCTATGCTAATGTACATTATATATATATATATATATATATATATATATATATATATATATATATACACATTACAGTATTTCACAGTGTCAGAAAGCACATGCAGGTTTGAGGCCAGTATGTGATGATTCAGTTGATGCAGTTTGCCCCTTTTGCCCTCCAGCGACTCTTTTGCTTGTATTGATTAGTTATTGGAAAAGTATTTAAAAGGTTGGTGCAGATATTTTGTGTTTTCTGTTAGGTTGTTAAGACAGTGGACATCAGCTCAGCAAACACTTTCTCTCTTTGTTCACTCTCTATTTCTCTCTTCCTCTCTGTCTCTCTTTCTCTCTCTCTCTTTCTTTTCCTCTCTTTTTCTCTTTCACTATGTGTCTGTGTTTTTCTTTATCTTTCTTTCTCCCTCTCTTTCTCTTTCTTTCTCTGTCTCCCTCTCTCCGTATATCTTTCTTTATCTTTTTTCGCTCACTCACCTTTCTCTCTCTGTCTGTCTCTCTTTCTTTCTCTCCTTTTTCACTATCTCTCCTCTTTTTTCACTGTCTTTCTGTCTGTTTCTCTCTACTTTTCTGTCTTCTCTCTATCTCTCTGTCTGCTCTCTCTGTTTTCTTTCTTTCTGTTATCACTCTGATTGTTCTCTCTTTATTTCTGTTCTCACTGTCTTTCTCTTGCTTTGATTTTTTCTCTATCACTCTCTCCCGTTCTCTCTCTCTCTCTCTCTCTCTCTCTCTCTCTCTCTCTCTGTTTTGTTTCTCTATCACTTTCTCCCACTCTTTTTCTCTCTGTTCTCTCTCTCTCTCTCTCCCTCTCTCTCTCTCTCTCTCTCTCTCTCTCTCTCTCAGGACAGTACTGAGGAGGTGGATGTTAATAAGTGCTGTATTCAGTGTAATATGTTCTTCACCTCTCTGGTTGTGGCTCAGTCTCATTATCGTGGAAAAACACACACCAAGAGAGTTCGTCTAATGCAGGGAGAGACAGAGACCCCCCAAGACCACCACACCCAAACAGGTACTGCAGAAGACGGTAGACTGAAGATTTACTTTACTAAGAGGCAGTCGTGGGCTGGAGGTTAGGGAACCAGCCTTGTGATGCCTTGTGTGCCAGTTTGATTCCCTGAGCCGACAGTACGTGACTGAAGAGCCCTTGAGCACTTAACCCCCAACTGCTCCCCGGGCGCCGAGGATAGAGCTGCCCACCGCTCCGGGCAAGTGTGCTCACTGCCCCCTAGTGTGTGTGTGTTCTAGTGTGTATGTGAGTGTTTCACTGCACAGATGGGTTAAATGCGGAGGTCTAATTCCTCTGTGTGCAAACACACAGTTGGTCAGTGGTTCTGAATTATATAATTACAATTTCTGAATCAGAGAATAAAAATCTCTTTATGTCTCTTTCTCTGTAGTAGTTACTGAATAATTCATAGTAGCTACTGAATAATTTATAGTAGCTACTGAATAATTTATAGTAGTTAATGAATAATTTATAGTAGTTACTGAATAATTTATAGCAATTACTGAATAATTTATAGTAGCTACTGAATAATTTATAGTAGTTAATGAATAATTTATAGTAGCTACTGAATAATTTATAGCAATTACTGAATAATTTAAAGTAGCCACTGAATAATTTATAGTAGTTACTGAATAATTTATAGTGGTTACTGAATAATTTAGAATAGTTACTGAATGATTTATAGCAGTTTCTGAATGATTTATAGCCGTTTCTGAATGATTTATAGCAGTTTCTTAATGATTTATAGCAGTTTCTGAATGATTAATTACTGAGTAATATTTGTTGTTAAATATGAAGTCTGAGTAGTGTATGAAGAACTGAGCAGTAAGCCTGCAGTTTAAGAGTAAATCAGAGCCGTCTCAGCACTGCCTATAACAGTGTGTTTTTAATGTTTTGACAGACCCCGCCCCTGAGCCCCCTCACTGCACCGACTCTCCTCTGGCTCCGCCCCCTGTGTGGTCCTGGTGCAGCAGCAGCGCTGAGTCTGTGCGGTTCTGCTGCCTGTGTGGAGCATGCTTTAATAACCCCCTGATGGCCCGACAGCACTACGGAGGGAAGAAACACAGCCGAAATGCTGCCAGAGCACAGTTACTACGGCAACTCACCGGGCACCTGGACACCCTGGCAACCACAGGTCAAGGACAGGGTGCCTGCAAGGGATGAGTGTCATACATTGTAGATAGGTCCATTCAACAGTGACCCACAGTCGCCGTGGAATGGGTGCCATAGCAACAGCCAGATTCTACAACTCTAGGACACTTTGATCTTCCTCAACTTTATTTAATCACAAAGACAGAAAGCAGCAGAGCTACTGACACAACAGTGGACATAACACAGAGGACAGTGGACAGGAGGGCAGATATCAAATAAGTGTGGATGTGTTTCGCTACAGGCCTACTTGAGATGACTAAGGCTGTTTTTCCTGCACATTCAAAGACAAGAACTGACCCAAATGGGAACCAATAGAACCCACAGTTCTAGTTCTAGTTCATCCTCCTGCTTGAGGCAGCTGCATTCCCTCCATTAACTATTCAATTGTCTTTTTTGGTCAATTTATGCTACTCTAAAGCATGTAATGTGGTTAATTAGCTACCTTGCTTAATAGTTAGCTTAAAGGGGACCATATCTCCCATATGCTAAATAATTATTCCATTTTATTTTCCCCTCTGAGGTCAACTTATAACATTTTTATGTACCAAAAACTGTCATCATATCAATTTAACATCATTTTCCAACTTCTCCTTATCCCTTAGAATTCAACAGGTTGTTACTGCGTCTTTAAGACTGACACAGCCAATATCAGTTTTCCAGTGAAAAGGAGTTCTTTACATAGAACTTAAATATGGCATTTGTCTGCAAAGTGGAGGTGAACAATTTCTTTAGCATATTCAAAAAGAATAAAACATAAAATATTAAATCGCTGTTGTCGGAAGAAAACCTCATATCTCCAAAACGGTAACTTTACAGGAGAAGGAAAAAACCTATCTTACTTTTCATGTAAGTCAATGGAACCAGACTTTTTTCGAAGTCATTTTGGGCTGTTCCTTTTGGTCCATTCATCATGAAATTTACACACAATGTAAAGAGCAAAAGGCATTTTCAGATTATATCAAAAACTGAAAAACGACAAAAATGGAGAGTTTTGTTCCGACTGCAGTGAAATGTGTCATAACTTTTGCACAGACCACATTTTATTAAGTTTATTTTTTCCTATGTGTTAAATTCAGCAAATAAACAGTAACTGTGCATTAAGTGTGCAGATGTTTGCCCTCTGTAGAGGACGTGTTGACTTATTTTCACTTATAAAATTAAAAAAAAAGCTCTGTCCTGATTGGCTGCCCAGTACTGAGCCTTGTTTAAAAAGCAGGCCAGGCTGAAACAGTGGGTGGAGCTAAACTGCTGTAGACTGAACAGGCAGATGCGTATAAACATGATGGTTTGTGCACCATCACAAAAGCGATGACACAGGCTTCCATCTTTCCGTATATGGACTGTATGGACTGCTGAGTGAACGGTACATTTTCAACATTTAACAATGTTTACATTCGGAAAATTTTATCGGCTGATACGACAGGATGTACTGCAGTGCTCTGCGCTCACAAACACTGCATTTTGTCTGCATTTACACAGAATCAGACAAAGCTTTGTTTTCTGTGGAGACGTTTGCGTAATAGCGTTAGCTTCCTAACTAGCACTATGTCACTATGTCAAACTCTCAACAAAGTAATAAATCTCTAAGTAGCAGTTACTGAATAATTTATAGCAGTTACTGAATAATTTACAGTAGTTACTGAATAATTTATAGCAGTTACTGAATAATTTATAGCAGTTACTAAATAATTTATAGTACTTACTAATAATTTATAGTACTTACTAATAATTTATAGTACTTGCTAATAATCTATAGTAGTTACTGAATAATTTACAGTAGTTACTGAATCATTTATAGCAGTTACTGAATAATTTACAGTAGTTACTGAATAATTTACAGTAGTTACTGAATAATTTATAGCAGTTACTGAATAATTTATAGCAGTTACTAAATAATTTATATTACTTACTAATAATTTATAGTACTTGCTAATAATCTATAGTAGTTACTGAATAATTTATAGCAGTTACTGAATAATTTATAGCAGTTACTGAATAATTTACAGTAGTTACTGAATAATTTACAGTAGTTAATAAATAATTTGTAGCAGTTACTAAATAATTTATAGTACTTACTAATAATTTATAGTACTTACTAATAATTTATAGTAGTTACTGAATAATTTATAGTACTTACTAATAATTTATAGTACTTGCTAATAATCTATAGTAGTAACTGAATAATTTACAGTAGTTACTGAATAATTTACAGTAGTTAATGAATAATTTATAGCAGTTACTAAATAATTTATAGTACTTACTAATAATTTATAGTACTTACTAATAATTTATAGTAGTTACTGAATAATTTATAGTACTTACTAATAATTTATAGTACTTGCTAATAATCTATAGTAGTTACTGAATAATTTACAGTTGTTACTGAATAATTTATAGTAGTTACTGAATAATTTATAGCAGTTACTAAATAATTTACAGTAGTTACTGAATAATTTATAGCAGTTACTGAATAATTAACAGTAGTTACTGAATAATTTATAGCAGTTACTGAATAATTTATAGCAGTTACTAAATAATTTATAGTAGTTACTGAAAAATTTGTAGCAGTTACTAAATAATTTATAGTACTTACTAATAATTTATAGTACTTACTAATAATTTATAGCAGTTACTGAATAATTTATAGCAGTTACTGAATGATTTACAGTAGTTACTGAATAATTTATAGCAGTTACTGAATAATTTATAGCAGTTTCTGAATAATTTACAGTAGTTACTGAATAATTTATAGTACTTACTAATAATTTATAGTACTTACTAATAATTTGTAGTAGTTACTGAATAATTTACAGCAGTTACTGAATCATTTATAGTAGTTACTGAATAAAACACTGAAAACACCTTAACACAGAATCAGACAAAGCTGTTTTCTGTGGAGATGTTTGCGTAATAGCGTTAGCTTCCTAACTAGCACTATGTCATCTATGTCACTATGTCAAACTCTTAACAAAGTAATAAATCTCTAAGTAGCAATCAACACATGAACCCCTTAAAATCTCAGGCTTATTACATACTAAGGCTTATTATTCAGTAACTACAGGGACTTCAGTGCAAACTGTCTGAGCTATTCTTAGCTTATAGAAGTGTGTAATATAACTCCGGGCCTGTCGGTGGGCCCACGGCCGGTTAAGGGGTTAACATACCGTTCTAGTATGTACTGCAGTGGAAACACTATAAATGTTCTCAAATGTGTGGTACTGTGGAAAAACCCTGATGTCCTTTATGCTGATCCTCCATGTGTTTCTTTTGTGAGTTAAAGAAAAGGAGGAAATACGTTTCTTCTGACTCTGTGATGATAACATATGCACTGTGTGTGTGTGTGTGTGTGTGTGTGTGGACTTCCAGGTCTCAGAGGCAGCTTCTCCTGCAGTGTCTGTGCGGTTTCTCTGAACTCTGTAGAACAGTACCACGCTCATCTCCAGGGGTCCAAGCACCAGACCAAGTGAGTATCAGCCCCTACTAGGGTTGGGCGGTATCCACGTTTTTCCTACTTTCTCCAAGTTGGTTATCGTTGTGCAGGTCATGCTAAAGTGGTCTGTGATTGTTTTGCATGTCAATCAAACGGCCCTTGTCTATCACGGCTCCAAAAGTCTACTATGTAGTTCTGTGAAGTATTTTCTCACTCATAAAGAGCTTTGGGATTTGGGTTATAGTGCAGTATTTAACACCGTGTATTTCACAGCGCTGACTAGTGGTTCTATTAGTCACTTAGGCCCAATCCCATTTAACCCCTCGCCCCTACCACTCAGCCCTTACCCCTCCGTTTTGTGCGTTCAGGGCTAGGGGTAGGGTGTCCCAATTTTTGTTGAGATAGAGGGGTGGGGCGAAGTGTTAGGGCTACATGACCCTCCAGATGGAGGTTTTTCAGAGGCTCCAAACAAAGTGTTATGAGAAAAAAAGAAAAACACCAAGTTGGCTGAACAAAAGACCAAAGAAACCCACAAATGTGAGAATTTTCTCCGTTAAAAATGACGATAACCATCATATTATCTTAGTTTAATGACGTTTAAAAGTATTATGGCCTTTTTTCTCCATAACAAGCATAAAAAGTCACTAGCAGTTTGCTGATGTCTCGGTAGCTAGGTACTAAAATTTCATGTTCCACCTTAAATGGTACAGCAGTTAGATACATACAACCTCGGGTGTTGGAACTGCTGCTCCAGACAGACAGACACAGACAGACAGACAGACAGACAGACAGACAGACAGATAGATAGATAGATAGATAGATAGATAGATAGATACTTTATTGATCCCGAAGGAAATTTAGTAGCCAGTAGCAGTCACACAGCACAGTTATAATAATAAGGGTGAAACAATATAAAAGGAGGAACATACAGGCTCAGCAAAATTGTCAGTTATAAATAATGCTGTCAACTATAAATAATTCTATCTCGCTTATTACAAAGAGGCAGGAATATATACAAAAATCCTATCTACAGGCATATATACAACTAGAAATATACAAAAATATGCCATCAAGATCCATCCTGCGCAATAATGAATAATCAATGTACAGGAGGCGCAGGTAACAGCATATAATGACAGTACTGAATAAATATGTGCATGTATTGGTACTGAAATAGTGTGTAGGTGTGGAGTGTCCAGATGTGCAAGATCTGCGATAAGGTGTCCAGATGTGCAAGATGTACAGTATGGTGTCCATAGATAAAGATAGATAAAATAAACGATATGATTTAGCTTAAATCCCATTTAAGGTAGAACTGGAAACGAAAAATAAGTTGGTGAATATCTGACTTCATATCACTGAAGAATTAGGGGTGGGTGACAATGAATAATTGCCCCCCCTCTTTGAAGGCATATGATGCCCTAAATGTAACTAAAGCCCAGGAAGTCTTGAAATAGAACTACACATGGGTGTCACCTGGCCTGGTTTTCGGGGGAAATAACTCTAAATAACAAGCGCCTAACCTTATAATGTTACACATGGGCTTGTTCACCTACATCTCAAACTCAGAGAGAGAGGGCGCCGGAGGGGGTAGTTTAGCGATGCTGCGGTGTGGTTTCTCACATGCTATAGGACGCTTCTGACTGAGCTCTTATGGAGTTCCTATAGAGCTTTTGTGCAAATCATAGTTTGTAAATGCTTAATTATTTTCATACAGAAAAATGCGTTATTAAAAAAAAATCATGACAGCATAAAATACTTAAAAAAAGTGCTTTTAAACACTTCTAACACTTCTAACATTGACAAAGTTCTTACAACTGTCCAGTGCTTACAGACAGTTATTTTCAGTCAGACCTGGGGTCGTAACTCTGAAATCTTATCTGTTTTGTCACCATGACAACTTCAGTTAGAACTGAATTTAGGACAGAACCTATTACAGAACAACAGATCTTAAGTTCATAATCTTATCCATTAATTCCAGATGAAAAACCAGTATTACAGAAACATCCTAACTAGACTAAACCTCCTAAATACTGTACTAACTTTAAGACAAACCCAGATGGTCTTAACTTCTGTTTTAAGCTTCTGTTTCTATTGTTTTATGCAGTGAAAGGCAACACAGTTCTCTATAACCAGCATAACGACGTATGTATACATTTGTCTACATTGAAAATGGTGCTTTGACTTATGAGATTTTCCAGCCAGCAAACTGTGAGCACGAGTCGCATCGCTCAGCCAATGAGCTGATCAGCTCACCAACCAATCAGCACTCAGTAGCAGTAACGCTGGCACTATACTTCCCAAAATTTGTTTGCTGTAGAAAAACGGAAAGATACTGGTAAATTTTCCATGAGTGTGTTTAAATGTACCGAATAATCCGATAACTGCAGAAAATCAGATTTTGTCAGTAATCTAATCAACGCGTTTATATGCACTTGGGTAATCAGATAATGGGAAAACTCCACATCTACATGAGTCAGACGGTAATCAGATTTCTGCTTTGCAGCCAGCCAATAAACTCACAGAATTAGACGGGACGCAAACGTAATGTAAAACTCAAACTTCATGCTGCAGCTTTTTTTTAAACATCGCTCCACTTTACCTGAAACTATGAACAAACATCATCTAGAAGATGAAGAATATTTAAATCATTAATTTTATCAAGCATGCATTTGGTTTCACTGTTGTCCCAAAAGTATTTTGCTGCCATTTTGCGGTAACGCTGCTCGCTTGTATCTGGCACCGCTGTCTAATCTCGCATATGTGCAGACTGAGAAATCTGAAAGAAATCAGAGTAAGAGTTCACATGCACTGAGAAATCTAATTACTGAGTTAAAATTCAGCTCTCCTTATCAGATTTCTTAATCAGATTTCTAGATCTTTCTCCGACCTAAGAAATCAGAGTGGCTGTTTACATGACCATTTGAATAATCAGATAGCTGCAGAAATCTGATTATGATCGAATTATTGAGTTCATGTAAACGCACTCCCTGACTTTGTTAATGGAATACATCCTTTGCTTTCCAAACTTGAAGGAGGTTCCTGCACAAATGGCTAGAAACATTCAATTTTCCGTTTTTAGCTGTTTAATATAGACTCTATAACCTTCAGAACACTCTGATCTTCTCTGAACTTTTTTTAAATCTTAAAACTAGACAGCAGAAGAGCCTCTTACATAAACTGGTCTTTAGTACCAAAGAGAACAGATACCGATGGATATTTCAGCAGATGAAGTGACAATGGAGAAAACATTATCCTCCATTTCTGTGGGAGTCGGTTCTGAGGCTACGTTGAGTTCTGAATACAAACAGGGTCACCAAATCAGTCATGATATGGTAAAAGAGCTGATGGCATCCTGCCGACTGAACTGGTCTGCAGAAAGCTACTCAGCAATATTACCTTTAACGTAATTAATGTTGTGGCGTCCGCAGACGGAGTGGGGGGTTATTACAGTATCAGCGGGCTTTTATGAGGACTTCACGTTTGGATTGGATTATTCTCACTCAGACTTGCTTGGTCTTCAATACTGTCATCTCTAATGGAATTGAACTGTGGGGGGAAAAATGAGGGCAAAGCATTATTGTCTTCTGTTGCTCTCTCTCTCTCTCTCTCTCCCCCTCTGTCTTTGTTACTCCCTCTCACTCTTTCTGTTGCTTGATTGAACTTTCAAGGAATGTAAAGTGAAATACACAGAATGCAGAATGTAAAAAACTTCAACTAGCTATTCACTCACTTGCCAATTTATTAGAAACCCCTACCTTGTGCTTCCACTCACTGGCCACTTTATTAGAAACCCCTACCTTGTGCTTCCACTCACTGGCCACTTTATTAGAAACCCCTACCTTGTGCTTCCATTCACTGGCCACTTCATAAGAAATTACCTCACTTACTGGCTATTTTATAGCATCACTATCCCATCTGCTGCCAATGCAAAATAAGCAGTGTTTAAGTACAGCCCTGTTTCCAAAAAGTTGCGATGCTGTGCAAAATGTAAATAAAAACAAAATGCAATGATGTGCAAATCATTTAAACGCTATATTTAATTGAAAATAGCACAAAGATAATATAACAAATGTTGAAACTGAGAAATTTTATTGTTTTTTGAAAAATATTTGCCCATTTTGAATTTGATGCCAACAATACGTTCCAAAAAAGGTGGGACGGGGGCCTGTTTACCACTGTGTTTCATCACCACTTCTTTTAACAACACTCTGTAAGTGTTTGAGAACTGTGGAGACACTGCTGTAGTTTTGAAAGTGAAATGTTTTCAGATTCTGGTTTGATACAGGATTTCAGCTTCTCAACAGTTCAGGGTCTCCTTTGTTGTATTTTTCATTCCATAATGTGCCAAATGTTTTCAGTGGGTGACGGGTCTGGACTGCAGGCAGGTCAGTTTAGCACCCGGACTCTTTTAATATGGAGCCATGCTGTTGTAATACATACAAAATGTGGTTTGACATTGTCTTGCTGAAATAAGCAAGACCTTCCCTGAAGCTGTATATGTCATTCAGCTTTAATGATGCCTTCACAGATGTGCACGTCACCCATGCCATGTGCACTAATGCACCCCTATACCATCACAGATTTCAAATTTTTATTAACCAGACCACAGCACACTTTTCCACTTCACCTCAATCAATCTTAAATGAGCTCAGGCCCAGAGAAGATGGCAGTGTTTCTGGATCCTGTTTTTGGTTTCTTCTTTCCGAGTTTTAACTTGCATTTGTAGATGCAGTGATGAACTGTATTCGCAGACAGTGGTTTTCAGAAGTGTTTTTGAGCCCATGCAGTGATTTCCACTACAGAATCATGTCTGTTTTTAATGTGGTGCTGCCTGACGGCCCAAAGATCACGGCCAACTAATATTGGTTTTCAGCCTTGTCCCTTGCATAAAGAGATTTCTCCAGATTATCCAGAGAATCTTTTAATGAAACTATGCGCCATAGATGATGAAATCCTCATGTTCTTTGATATTTTACGTAGAGAAATGTTATTCTTAAATTGTTGCACTATTTACCCACACGGTCTTAAACAGAGTGGTGAGTTCCTCCCCGTCTTTACTTCTGAAAGACCCAGGCTTTCTGGGATGCTCTTTTTACCACGTGTTTTCAAAATGGGCATAGATTTTTAAAAAAAAAGAACAATAAAATTTCTCAGTTTTAACATTTGATATGTTGTCTTTGTACTATTTTTAATAAAATATACGGGTTTGAATGATTTGCACATGGTTGCATTCTGTTTTTATTTACATTTTGCACGATATTCCAACTTCTTTGGAAGCAGGGTTATAGATTCTCAAGATATTATGAGACATTAACCAGTCTGGTGCTGTAACTCCTATTTAAAGCAAATGACTGAGGTCAGATGTGTGTCTGATGTTTTTCAGCCTGAAGCAGCAGCAAAAATGTGATTCCAGCAACATGTGACTGCTATCCCAAATGGCTGGAAAACCTCCAAACACTACAGTGATTGGAATGGTTCCTGAGGGCCTCTAGATGTGGATCCAGAGACATCGGAAACCTGGGGTTCGTCTGCAATGGAACAATGCTGCTTACTCAGGCAGTATTTGGAAGTCATCGAGTTCCTGTTCTGGTCCAAGATCTGCATAAACTCTTCCTGCTATGGTGCCAACATCTGGCTAGTTTTTGAAGACAGTGTATGTATTCTACATTCAGTAAATGAATTGCACATCTGCTGTACTGCAGTTAGTGAATAAATGGACAGTTAAGGTAGCAGCAGCAACACAGCGAAGAGAGGCCAGTTTATGTAGAAATGCTGTTTCAAACTCACTAGTAGAATCAATACAGTGAGTCTTTGATTTTATTTTTTTATTTCTTCATTTATTAGAGCTGGAGATGCTTCTCTCTGTCGGCTCTTTGCTCCCTAAAACAAAACGAAACGTTAGCGTACATTTTGCTTCAGACTACATTGGCTTTTTTTAACATTTGTATTGTTAGCTATTCTACTCAGTTTAAACCCAACACTTATATATTTAAAAGTGTCTCCTAAGCCGCAATTCGCTCATCTGCTGACGCTACTATGTTCTCGAATCCTTGCCGGCATGCAAGGATATGTTGGCTGGCAAAGGATCACAGAAGAAGGACACATTTCTCAGCTGCATATGAAGGAGCCTTCGAAATGGGACAGCTTAGTCGCGTCGCTGTGATGCAATCGGCCTGCAAATGCAGCCTCTGAAGGACGCAGCCCCTGAATTGGGACACAGCGTTAGATTGTTCAATTCTATACTGGACTGGCTGTGGAATATAGCTTTTTAATATATTTTATTAGTATATTTATTTGTTTATGCATTTACTGTTTGATTATTTCATTCAATTAATTGATCGATTGTATTAGGGAGTATCCCACCAAGTTTAAAGCCACATTTTCAGGCTGTCTACAATACACAGCTGTATACAATACACATTTTGTGAGTTCAGACCATGCCTTCAACATGGTGGTGGTAGTATGAGGGAAGACTAGTTGAGGGATGGTGGAATTCTGAGAACTTGGGCTGGAGTTCTGGGCAGATTCTGCCAGACCCCCTCATAGCTGTAGTAGGACTGATGTAGGACTGAGGAACAGGGAAGAGATGGGGTGGTGGTGGGGATTGAGAACACTTCGTCCCAGGAATGGAAGGTGAGGATGTGAATTTATAGGACGTTAGACTGAAAGAAGGAGGGGTTTCAGCCATGCTCCTCCCCTCTAAACTGGCCAACATGTATACAGTGCATGAGCAAAACTCACACAGTACAGATCTGACAATAAGCATGTAAAGTTCACTTTAAACTTATACAGTACTATTTGGTATGCATGTCTAATGATTAAGCATGCACATTATTTCTAAGGAACATTATTAGATTATTAGTGCTTTCCATTTCTGACATGTGTGAGTGAACAAAGATGACATATACAGTCTTTCAGAGTGGTTTGATGTGAAATGGTTCATTATGGAAAAGCTTCTTTACAGCTTTCTTAGCAGTAGTGATAGAAATTAGGATGTATTAGAATGTCTACAACTCAAATATAGCCAAAACCACCAGTGAACCTACACGTATCTTCTGAGCTTTGATAAGTAAATATAAATACTACATAATAATAAAAAAGTGGTGAAAACGTGAAAAGAAAAAAAACTTTGGGGTCTATTTTGCCTTATAACGGCCTGCATGTACCTCTGCACTATGAATGGATTTGAAAGAAAACATTTCAAGCCAAAATCTTCTAAATCAGCCAATTTTAAAACAACGTTTCAGACATCAAGCTGGCTATTCATAACCATTTCATAATAACTATTGTGAGGGAGCTTTTAGAGGTGGACATCTGGTTCCTATCACCTTCTCTAAAGCTGAGAATTGCACATCAAACCACTCTGAATGACTCTGATAACATCTTACTGGTTAACATGTGCAGACATTGTGAAAAATCAGTGAAATTTCCCTTTAAGACTGGTAGACGGAAGACAAAGTGGTAGTAAGGTGCACAAAAGTACTGAAGATTTTGATATCATACGCAGTGTTGGAGGACTCTATGTAATTTTCTGTGAAGTATATGTCTTCTGATTTCTTCCTGATGCAGAAAAATGAAAAACCTGATACTTAAAGGCCCTTTTGGCTGGAAATGAAATGAAGGAAATGGTAGTTCCTGCCTTTTACACTGTACTGTATTCTGTATGTTTTTACATGAAGAGAACTAAAGCATGATGTTAACTGTCTATTAATTGCAGTATTTCTGCTTTCTATTTGACCAGTGAATGTTAGTTTGAAGATAAGTAGGAAATCCATCAGCAATAAGGAACCGAACGGCACTAAAATGTTGTGGTGGCCGCATTAATATAACATCCCCACAGTCCATGACTGACAAGAGCAGGTGATGAAAAAGTGACCACACTGCTGATACAGCGGAACTGCAATATTACGCCTCAGGTTGTTTTCCCATGACCCGGGGCTAATAAATTCAACCAATTCATACGGGGGAAACTTCTGTGGCTGCCTCCAGTGGATTCTGCATAAATTCTCAGTGAAAAACAATAACACGTCTGCGGTATCTGTTCGGTATTAAGGCAACTGACCTGCTAAAGTTAAGTGAGTGTCACCTGGACCGACATACTGATAGGGGTCAGTCTGTCTGTTCATCATGATTCATAAATCACAGCAACATCTACTCATATTCATCAGATTTAGGGTACAGATTGAGCAAACCTGAAGAGATTATTTATGTATGTATTTATTTACCTACTTACAATAAGGTATTTACAAAGCTCTTTGGTGGCAGGAATATATATTATAGCATCCTGCTACCAGGTCATTTGGCTGTAGACACGCAGAAGCACCACAGTTATCGCCATGGCAGCAGTGAGAGAGACTTAAACATGTAAATAAGTTGTTGTTGTGGCTTAAAAGCTGTTATATATGCGCTTGTTGGGCTAATCTGTGTTGGGTTGCGGGATTAGTTGCGCAGTGTTAGTGTCTACCATCACGAGCGGCAGGTTTCCCCTGCTGCATGTAAGTAAAAGAGCACTCATTCGCTATGTTTCCTGCATTACAATGATGCCACAGTGGTGTCAGAAGTGGGATCACTGCCTATCTGCTGGGGAGGATGCCTGTCCAGCGTGGTGAGGTCGGAGCTGGTGCAGGAATATGTGATCATGGGGATGGCGCCATATGGCTAAACGCCATGTACATGTTTAAGCCCCCGCGGGCCCAGGGATTCTTGGCTCAGACGTCGTCAGACTTTGTGGGGTTTCCCTCCTCTGAGGGCCGGAGCAATGTATTATCCTACTACCAGCTTGTTCGGCCATGGATGTGCAGGAGGCATGGCCATGTGGAGCGGTGAATGCAGAGTGGTGAGAGAGACTTAAACATGTAAATAACTTGTTGTTTTGGCTTAAAAGCTGTATATATGTGCTTGTTGGGCTAATCTGTGTTGGGTTTGTGGGGTTAGTTGTGCAGTGTTAGTGTCTACCGTCATATAGAAGTGTGTGGTTATTGATGACCTGTCTATCCTGGCTGTTCAGTAGCGCCGATGTTTTTCAACTGCTGCATGTAAATAAAAGAGCACTCGTTTGAAGCGTTGTTTCCCATGTCTTTTTCTTCTATGCTGATGCCACACTATATATGTTTATATCATATTAACAGTAAAGCTGAGCTGAATTTGAGTGTCTTCTAATAAAACACAATCTCCAAGTCCAGTATGCTCCCTGTAACTCACACATTAAAGAGCCCATATTATGGAAAGCTGAACTTCGATTGCTTTTGTGATATTTAGTCAGAGTTTAGAGTTTAATGTAGTATTTTCAACATTGCTGAAGTTTCAAAATGTGCCACTTACTCCCAATCAGGTAAAATAAGCTGCAAGGACAGCTCATGACTTTTGCCACAAAAAAACAACACATTTACATATATCCGGCTATTCAGCACACAATCTAGGTTTGGAGATCGGTGAGGTGAAAATGAATTGAACAGTAATTATGACTGGGTACATGTAACCACACAAATGTTATAGAAAAGAACACATGAAAAATGTAGGATATTGCCCCTTTAATGGACATGTAATTCTGCAGGTTTTATCGATTTCAATTTAGCAAGAACAAACTTCCACTAATGATTTGGGTTCCTCTCAATATTCATATGCGATTATGCGATATTCAACCATTGAAGACCTAGCAACTTAGGCCCAATCCCATTTCACACCCCGCCCCTACCCCTTATCCCTAAGCCCTCCGTTTTGCGCGTTCACATCCAGGAGTAGGGTGTCCCAATTGTTGTTGAGATAGAGGGGTGGGGTGAAGTGTTACGGCTACATGGCCCTCCAAACAGAGGTTTTTAAGAGGCTTTAGTGTTATGAGAAAAACTGGCAAGATGGCTTCGCAAGTGACCAAAGAAACCCACAAATCTTAGTTTAATGTCATTTCAATGTATTATGGTCCTTTTCTTCATAACAAGCATAAAAATCGTTAATAGCATGCTGATGTCTCGATAGCTAGCTAGCTAACTTTCCTGTTCCACCTTAAATACTCGGCAGTTCTGACGCCTGAAGTGCAGGAATGTATCTGCTGCTCTATTTAAGGCATAACGGGACAATTCGAAGCTTGATAATATCTGACTTCAGCTTCATATCACTGAAGAATTAGGGGTGGGCGACAATAAATAACTGCCCCCCCCCTTGAAGGCATATGATTCCCTAAATGTAACTAAAGCCCAGCAGTGAGGAGCTGAACTTTACCCTCCTCTGCTGTCACTGCAGACTGGCAGGGTCACCTACAGAGCAGCGCTAGTAGCTGTTAATGAAGTGATGCTCTTTTTATTTGAGGGTCCCATTTTGTAAGGAGGAAAAATTAAGCTGAGCTTGTAAGGGAAATACATTTGTGTTTGACCTTACAAGTCACATCTGTCTTGTTTTGCATTTACTCGTGATGGTTTGTAGTAGATTAAGTCTGTCAGATACACTCCAGAGCCCGTGGGTCCTTAGGGAGAGTTTCAGCGCAGGAACCAGATAGAGGAGCTCTAGGGACTGTTTTGTGTGATAGTGCGTCTCTGTCAGTTCCAGAACAGAAAGAAATTCTAAACTCTCAAATGCATCACTTTGAAAAGTTGTAGACGAGTAAAAGCTGCAGCTGCTCTTCGCAGCTGTTGGTGGGCGAGTTTTGCCTTGAATGCTGCAGTCCCAGGTGACTTAAAGACAGTGTGAGAGATGTGCTGTCAATAATTTAGATGGAAAAAGCTTCACTTCTAGATTTTACTCTGATCATAACTGTCCCACAAGTGAGCCCCTCAATAGCAGCCAACTTTAACTCACAAAAGACGATTTTGTAAATAATAGTGCATCATTTTTGGTATTCAGTTATTTGATACAGGCTTATGCTTTAGTGGGGACAGGCTTATGCTTTAGTGGGGACCATCTCTGCTTCAGGACCCCCATGGACCCTCACAGAGCAGGTACTATTTGGGTGGTGGGTCATTCTCAGCACTGCAGTAACACTGATGTGGTGGTGGTGTGTTAGAGTGTGTTGTGCTGGTACGAGTGGATCAGACACAGCAGTGCTGCTGGAGTTTTTAAACACTGTGTCCACTCACTGTCCACTCCATTAGACACTCCTACCTTGTCGGTCCACCTTGTAGATGTAAAGTCAGAGACGATAGCTCATCTGCTGCTGCAGTTTGTGTTGGTCATCCTCTAGTCCTTTATCAGTGGTCACAGGACGCTGCCCACAGTCGGTTGGTTGGTGGACTATTCTCAGTCCAGCAGTGACACTGAGGTTTTTAAAAACTCCAGCAGCTCTGCTGTGTCTGATCCACTCAGTACCAGCGCAACACACACTAACACACCACCACCACGTCAGTGTTACTGCAGTGCTGAGAATGACCCACCACCCAAATAGTACCTGCTCTGTGAGGGTCCATGGGGGTCCTGACCACTGAAGAACAGGGTAAAAGGGGGCTAACAAAGTATGCAGAGAAACAGATGGACTACAGTCTGTAACTGTAGAACTACAAAGTGCACCTATACAGTAAGTGGAGCTGATAAAATGGACAATGAGCATAGAAACAAGGAGGTGGTCATAATGTTATTCCTGATCAGTGTATGATAGCTTTATGTTGTATAATAAAAGGTTTTAATGCATCTTTTTTTCCATCCATACTTCCTAGTGGACTGACAATTAGTCTAATAGCTACATAACTAAACTCTAAAAACATGTACATTGTAATCTTTGCAATAAAATCATTAAAAAATATGAAATAAAATGAAAATATTGTCTCCTGACACATTTAAATATTTTAAAATTTAAAAGCAAACCAATAACATAGTACCAATTATAACTGTATTGTGATGTATGATCCATATATTATGCACATATATGTTCACTCACCAATCAGACGTGCATGTATGATCCATATATTATGCATTTATGCCTGACCCTTTTATGATATGTGTCCGTATGGGGAGTCAGTTCAGGTTCCACAGAGCAGGCCTTCAACCACCAAGGCACCAGAGGCCCTGTGTTTCACCTGTAGAAAACAACAGATCTGTTTATCTTGTCCTGTCCATCTCAGCCAGTGGTGAAATATGATCATGTGTACTTGCATAACCTTCATGCTCACCTTATCAGCAGTGAATAGTTCAGATCTGTCAGTGTTATCTGACCCCAGGCATTAAAGTTATTGCCGATATGAATATTTCAGACTGTGACCCAATGTGTGACGTGTGAGCTGAACTGAATTAAACCTCCGGAAGGAGATAAAACAGTCTGAACTAACCATTATCCGACCTTGGGCCTCTAGGGAATAATGAGATCACCCTGTTTAATCCTGCCCTCTCCACCAATATCAGATTTATAGTGGGCTCCACAGCGGCTCCTATCGGCCCTCTATGTTAACACATGACCTTGTGTGACCTATAATGGGATTCTTGTGTTTTCTTGGTCTGTTAAACTCAGCTGGGGGATTTATATGGGAGTTTTAGCTGTAGAGGGGCTATTTACAACATTTAAATGAGGAAAAACAACCCAAATGTGCTCTTATCTTGTGTCCTGTCATGCCATTGACAACTTGGCTGAGCTCCTTTAAAGGAGAACTTCACCAATTTTCAAAAATTCTCTATAATTAAATGGTTAAGGTGTAATCAGAGTCATGCAGAGTGGTTTGGTGTGAAATGCTCTGTTCTATAGAAACCTACCGAGTCAGAATGGTTCACAGTGGTGGTGATAGGAACCAGACGTCCACCTCTAAAAGCTTCCTCACAGAAAGTGGTCACATGAAATGATTAAAATGATTATGAATACCCTGCCTGATGACCGAGACACTGTTTTACGATAATGTTTTGGCCTAAAATGTATTTTAATCCATTTATTTTAACCCATTCATGGCAAAGGGGTACAAAGAGGGTGTTCTGAGGCAAAACAGTCCCAAAAGAAAACTTATTTTTTTCAGATTTACCGATATTTTACCATCATTAACATCACTTATAAACACGTGTGGGTTCACTATTGGTTTTGGATATGTGTTGTGGTCATTGTGACCCCTGGTTCCCATCACCACCACTGCAAAGATGCCACAGTCAGTAAGTTTCTCTACAGTGAACCATTTCACACCAAACCACTCTGAATGACTCTGTTTACACCTCAAGGACTGAATTATTACAAAATCTTAAAAACCTGGTGAACTTTCCCTTTAAGGAGCTGGGCAGAAGAAGCAAACTTGTACGTCACTCTTCTGTAAAATAAGATTAAAATCTGATTTCGACGCAAAGTCCTCTTAAAAACCTGGCTAGCTGGTCCTTCTTCACTGGTTTTGCTCTGCTAAATTATGCCTACGTCCCTACAAGCGTCTCTTATTGACGTTCTTACACACTGCACACTGGAAGTACAGCAGCATTGACGTCAATGAGAAACGACACCTTTTTTTTCAGAGGGCTCCGCTCTGATTGGCCAGAAGGGCGCATAGGGCGGGCCTTAGCGTCCCATCGCGCTCTCCCATTGGCCGACGCGGTACTGTACGTGTACCTTGTGAAACTGTTTTTTTCTCTAGCGTGATCCGTTGTCACCGGTGGGGCATAACCACTCGAAACCGTGCGAAACTGCTCAGGTTGGGCGTTTTACAGCGGAATTTGACCGTTTATCGATGATACCGAGGGCTTAGAGAGCTTCCAGACCCACGGAGAGGATCTGAAGGTGAGCTGGTGAGTGTTTGTGCCTCTTTTCTTCTGCACTGCGTTGCTCAAATGGTCCGTTTGTGGCTCCGCGGTGGGTCTTAAATGGAGAGCAGGTCGCCGAACAAGCTCGAGCAGACATTAATACAACCTTAAATACACACATCCTCTCATATCTACCCATATATTACATTATTATTACTGCATTCAGCCATTCGGATTCATTTAGTGGCGTGCAGTCCGCACTAACGCTACACATGGTTCTTCAAGGGTTCTTTGGTGAAGAGAACGGTCCTGTATAGAACCTTTTGCATGCTTAATTGGTTCTTTGCATGGTGAGGTTGCTCTCCAGATTGATGGAGGATGTGTTGTGTACAGCTGGAACCCTTTTGAGAATGGTTCTACATATATATAGCACCAGAAAACAGCTCTACTATTGTTTCTAGCTTGACATCATAACAGTAGAACCCTTTTTGGTGCTACCTAGAACCATTTTCAAGGTTCTGTACAGAAGCATATAACGTTACAACACGTTCTCCATCAGTCTCAAGACTCATTTCGCCATGCAGAGAACCGTTTGATCATGCAAATGGCTTTATAGAACCATTTTCAGAATGGTTCTATGTAGAACCACATACAACACGTTCTGCATCACGTTTTTGCATGCTTAAATGGTTCTTTGCATGGTAGAATGTGTTGTATGTGGTTCTATGTAGCCCCAAAAAGGGTTCTTCTGTTGTAACAGGCATGTTACAAAACCCCCCTTTGGTGCTATATGGAACCATTTTCAAAATGATTCTATATAGAACCATATACAACACATTCTCCACCAATCTGAAGAACCATTAGTATACTTATTTAGCACCGGAAGACAGTTTTACTATTGTTTCTAGCTTGACATCGTAACAATAGGACCCTTTTTAGTGCTGTGTGGAACCATTTTCTAGGTTCTGTATAGAACCTTATAACGTTACAACACGTTCTCCACCAATCTGAAGAGCCATTTACCATGCAAAGAACCATTTAAGCATGCAAATGGTTTTCGATAGAAGTCATGGTTCTAAATCGAACCATTGCCTTTACTAAGGAACCCTTGAATAACCATCTTTTTTAAGTGTGTATATTACAGCACAAAAAGGGTTCTACTATTGTGTATGATGTCAAGCTTGTAACAATAGAACAATTTTTGGTGCTATATAGAACAATTTACAGAAACGTTCTGTATAGAACCATATTCAACATATTCTCCATCAATCTTAAGATTCATTACACCATGCAAAGAACCATTTAAGCATGCAAGAGGTTCTATATAGAACTTATGGCTCTAAAAAAAAAAAGCACCAAAAAGGGTTCTGAGACTGTGTATGATGTCAAGCTTGTAACAACAGAAGAACCATTTTGGTGCTATATAGAACCATTTACAAAAAGGTTCTATATATATAGAACCACATACAACATATTCTCCAATCTAAAGGATCATTTCACCATGCAGAGAACCACTTTAGCATGACTTGGCTCTGCGTGGCACCAAAACTGGTTCTTCAGACTGATGGAGAATATGTTGCATGTGTTGCTATATAGAACCATTTACGAAAAGGTCCTATATAGAACCATATACAACACATTCTCCATCAGTCTGAAGAACCAATTCACTATGCAAAGAACCATTTAAGCGTGACATGGTTGTATATACAGCTCATGGCTCTAAGTAGAACCATTGCTTTATTTAAGAACTTTAAAGAACCACTGAGGAACCATCTTTTAAGAGTGTACGTTCTGCAGATTTACAGCCATGTAAGAAGTCTAATGCTGCATGTTTGGCTGTACAGTGTGTCTATATATACATACAGTGATGTTCTGCAGCCCTGTGCAGCCCCAGTGTTGCAGAAGCCTGCAGTATGTAAATGAGCCCCTAATGAATCACTCGGCCTGTTTACTGGGTGCTGCGGTCTTCCTGACCACACGTATGACATTAGTGTACGTCAGGTGAGTCACGTGGTCGGTCACGTGAATAGTTTTGGTCAAAATAGTGCAAGACTGTCTCCTGTAAGCTCTCTGATGTGACCAGGCATCAAACCATAAGAGGAGTCAGTTAACGCACAGGGCACATACTGCAGGTCACAGCCTACACTCTTAATAAAGGGGTTCTTCCATTCTTTATAGAACCGCGATCACTTAAACCGTTTGCATACTTAAATGGTTGTTTGCATGGTGGAATGGTTCTACAGATGACGAATGTGTTGTATATGGTTCTATACAGCACCAAAAAGGGTTCTTCTTTTGTCACAGGCATGTTACAGAACCCTCTATGGTGCTATATAGAACCATATACAACATATTCTTCCTCAATCTGAAGATCTACTTTGCATACTTAAATGGTTCTTTGCATGGTGGAATAGTTCTTCAGATTGATGAAGAATGTGTTGTTTACGGTCCTGTATAGCACCAAAAAGGGTTCTTCTATTGTCACAGGCATGTTACAGAACCCTTTTTGGAGGTATATAGAACCAATTCTATATGGAACCATATACAACACATTCTCCATCACTCTACCATGCAAAGAACTATATATATATAATATATATATATATATATATATATATATATATATATATAACCCCTATAGCACGAAAAAGGGTTCTTCTTTTGTCACAGGCATGTTACAAAACCCTTTTTGGTACTACTTAGAACCATTTACGAAAAGGTTCTATAAAGAACCATATACAACACGTTCTCCATCAGTCTGAAGAACCATTTTACTACGCAAAGAACCATTTAAGCATGCAAATGGTTCTTTGAGTGTTCATATAAATTCCTACAGAACCACTGTCTTTACTCAAGAACCTTTGAAGAACCATCTTTTCAGGAGTGAACAGCATTGTTAAACATATTAAAGTAGGATTTATGGTGATTAAATCTATATATCAAAAAATTCACCCATGTGTTTTTAATATGTTGCCTTAGCCAAACTGCAGTGGCCATTTCACTGCTGTCGGATCAAAACCTGGTATCTCCAAAACAGTAACTTTACAGGAGAAGGAAAAAATATGCTCTACTTTTAATGTAAGTCAGTGGAACCAGACGTTTTTACAAGTCATTTTGGGCCGTTTCTTTTGGTCCATTCATCATGGAATCTACACACAATGTAAAGAATGACAGACATTTTCAGATTATGACATAAACTGAAAAATGACAAAAATTGAGATACGAGGTTTTGTTCTGACAGCAGTGATATGCTGCAGTATATTCACAGGATTTTGTATTTTGTAGACCAGCTTTTATCTCCCCTGCTTCTCTTTGCTGTAGTCGTTGTTCTGTTTTCTTTTGTTGCAGTAAAAATGGGGGTTCCTGCGCCACTGTGGCACGTTCTACCATCAGAACTTAGATCTGACGCTTTACTGCATAATAATAATCATTACAGTAAGATTCTTAAGGCCAGACGGGACAAACACGAACAAACAAGAACATTTTGTCTGCACTTGTCCTTAAAATGTTCAGACAGAGAGCTTGAAATCAACTAGAGGGAATGGAAAAAGAACATTCTTGGGTCTTCTTGCGAATAGAGATGGACGTTGTGCTCGTTTTCTCGTTCAGTACAGTTAGACATGGTCACATGAGGGCCAGCAGGCTGTTTAAGTGTGTGAGAGTGTGTTTTGGTTCTAGGGTGGCATTAATCTCAGGCTTGAGTTGTTGTTTTGCAGGCGAAAGGCTCTGGCACTCCATCTGGGTCACTAGGTTAATGATTTGAGATGCTGCAGGGCGTAATGGCAATAGGTTTTTTTCCGCTGACACATGCGCTTTCAGTGCAACTGAACACAGTGCAATAAAACAACAGGGTCTGATGAGGACAGGTGGCATCAGTAGTTGGCTGTACGAACTGAGACGTGGCACAAATGGGAAGAAAGTGAAAGGAAACCCTTGTTATCATGTTTTGGCATCAAAAAATCCAGCTTGCTGGAATGTGAAGGACCATAATGCTTAGATAAAGGCAGTGGTTCTGTTTAGAACCATGAGTTCTACATGGAACATTTTGCATGCTTAAATGGTTTTTTGCACAGTGACACGGTTCTTCAGATTGATGGTGAATGTGTTGTATACAGCTAGAACTAGGGCTGGGCAATAAAACGATGACGATAAGTTTCGCGATATAACTTCCCTTGATAGAGCGATAAAAAATGTTCGATAAATGTTCGATATAATACACCATTCTTACACTTCCACGGTCAGCGACAGCCCTGGTGGCGTTTTCTACTGCAAGGAAAGCGACACTACTCTGCAGTCGCCAGGAGGGGGCGCCATTCCGAGTTTTTTTGACATGATTAGAGAGGGAGGAGTTAAATATACTTTAACAACGTCTGAAACGCGGAGTTATACGTTCCCTGTCTGAGTGGAGCGACCGGCGATCTGCTCTCCTGTGACTGAATGTGAGTGACGAGGTCAGTGGCGTAGCTGTACTGTCCTACAGTGAACTCACCTCTTTACTAACATCCTAACTGTGATAGGCTCTGACATGGATGTGGTAGGACTGATGGCAGTAAGGCGGTGTGATCCATCGCTGACGTACCGACTCAGCTAATGTTTGCTGTTTACAGTTTAGCACTGTTGTTGGCCACTTGTTTAGCGTTTGTAACGGGGTAGCCGAGCGCTCGTCACTAGACAGATAAAAATAATCTGTTTCATTTCTTAAATTATGACTATTACAAAAATTACAGCTGTGCTTTTCCAGCTGGTAAAAACAGCTAATCAGACACTTTCTCCCACTGTCCCATGACAGATGTGTGAAATGTTCCTCCGTTAGGGGAGTGTTTGTCACGTTCTGACCATAAATGATAGTTTAAAACAGCGATTAACCACCCAGGAGCAAAAATCAGCCTTCAAACTTGAAAGAAATAACGATTTGACATTTATCGCGATATGTATCGATATCGAACGATATGAATTTTGTTTATCATTATAACGTTTTTGGCCGTATCGCCCAGCTCTAGCTAGAACCTTATTGAAAATGGTTCGATATAGCACGAGTGACAACAGAAGGAATGTTTTCTAGCTTCATGTCATAACAATAGAACCCTTTTTAATGTTGTGTAGAACCATTCTCAAGGCTATATATAGAACCTTATACAACACATTTTCCATCAATCTGAAGAACCATTGCACCATGCAGAGAACCATATAAGTGTGAAATGGTTTTATACAGAAGTCATGGTTCTGGATCGAACCATGACCTTTACTAAGGAACCCTGGAAGCACCATGTTTTGGTATCTAGAAAATCCAGCTTTCTGGAATGTGAAGGACCATAATGCTTAGATAAAGGCAATGGTTCTGTTTAGAGCCATGAGTACTACAATTTGCATGTTTAAATGGTTCCTTGCATGGTGAAATGCTTCTTCAGATTGACAGTGAATGTGTTGTATATAGTCAGAACCTTTTTTGAAAATGGTTCTATATAGCACCAGAAAACAGTTCCTCTGTTGTTACTAGCGTGACGTCATAACAATAGAACCCTTTTTGGTGCTGTGTAGAACCATTCTCAACCTTATACAACACATTTTCCATCAATCTGAAGAACCATTTCACCATGCAAAGAACCATTTAAGCATGAAATGGTTTTATACAGAAGTCATGGTTCTAAATCGAACTAAGAAACTCTATTTTCGCAGAAAAGTTTCCTGACTGAGATGTGAGAAAAGTGGCTATAGCTTTTAGGTTAAAGCAAAGTAAGTCTGTGTTTGTGTTTTATATTATATTTTTAGCCTTTACTAGCACATTAGCACATACTGAGACATATTTACAGCTAAGATGGTAAAACGGACATTAGATGTTGTGGCTCCCAAGGTGGTTTCAGTTTTGTTGAAAGGACCAAATGGCTCTTCTTTACATTTCGGTTGCGACCCCTGAGCGAAGCCTACTAGTAAAGGGTGATCAGCGCGTGACCGTTTGCTTGAACTGTCCACGACTCAGTCATTACTGCACAGTTGTCACCAGCCAAGTTAACGACCGCGTTCTGTGGTTCAGATTTAGTGCTGATTGTCAGAAGCCTGTAGCGAAAATTATCACTATAGCTACACAAAAAGTTGTAGGCACTACAGCTACTAGCTACGATTCATAAAACTAGTGGCTACAGCTATTAGCTACAAAAATGTGCAGTTAGCTACAAAAAGTAGCGCGCTACTAAGCTACTCCCCCATCCCTGATCAAAAATATGCATTACCATAATGCAGATTGACGCCTCTATTTCATACCATCTTATATGTCCTATAGTAACAAATGTGGCACTAATGTTTATAGTAATAACGAACGTGCAGCGCTTTGGAACAACAGTTGTGTAAAGTGTTCTTTAAAAATAAGTGTCACTTCTGTACTTATTTACTTATTATTGGTGAAGTACTATTTTGACATACTGTTTAATATGGTAGTTTGGTAGAACTGCATACTAATGTACTAAATAGTATGTATTATACCATCAATAGGAGTGGATTCTTGTATGCTGTATAGTAGAACATGGTTTTGGGTTGAACTATTTGACCCTTTGACTCCTCAGAGCTGCTGAAGATGGAGGAGGTGGCGGCCGCCCCCCCGGCCCTGCCCGGACCATCCCAGCCCACGTTCTGCTGGCCCACGGCCCCCGACCGCCGCACCCGCAAATCCGGCTCTGCAAACATCTTCCAGGGCGTGAACCTGCGTCAGCTGCGGCGCCTGTTCCGCTCGGCCGGAGAACCCGACGCCGAGCAGAGGGCGCGAGTGGTGTGGGGCGACTGGAGAGCAGGCGAGGCGGAGGGCGAGGACGGGGAGGAGGAGGAAGAGGAGGGAGAGGATGAAGAAAGGCTGGCACAGGCGCTGGTGGGGCTCAGGGTCCGGGCGCGAAACCGCAGTGGGATCCGTGCAGAGCCTCATCGCAGCGAGGCCGCCATGGCAGCCAGAGGGGTCCGAGCGTTTGGTCATGCCAGGTAAGAGACAGGTTCTGCGTTAGTGAGGTTCCCCTCGAACATGGCGAGTCAAATAATCTGATTCTTAACTGACTTACAGCTTAAAAATCAGGCCAAACATCTCGGTCAACCAGAAAAATCCTTAATTAGGAACAGCCTCGCATTTCATCCAGGGTCAAACTGGGATTTAAGAGGCCGGGGAGCCACTTCTTTAATGTGCCAACTAGAAGTGGCAGCAGGGCAGCTGTTTTGGATGAACATGAGTTTGACCTCATGCTCTCAAACTTATAAAAGTGCCTGTTATTCTGTTGTTTATGCTGTAAGATTTAATGAGACACTTTCAGAGTTGGCTAACTGGTAGTGGATCATATTCATGTGATGTTTTATGATGTTCTTGGTTACTGTTCTACTTTGTATGACTCATGTTTATATTTTTCATGTCCTGACTGCAGCTTTTGTCCTATTCCAAGGTCGTGACACTCAGCAAATGCTTCACAGCTCTGGTTATTACTTGAAATGCAAGTTTGATTGGTCAGAATCAAAATGGAATTTTGAATATGTCACATATTTAGTTCATTTTTGTCGTTTTGATGTATTTATTAATGTTGAAGGGTCCATATCCTACATTTTTTTTGTAATTTATTGTTTCACTTGAGGTCCATGACTGTTTTTTTTTTTTACCTCGTTATACCTTAGAATTAAACAGGCTTTAAGATTGATATGTAAACGAGCTCTGTTCTGATTGGCTGTCCTAAATTGTGCCTCATTGACTTTTTAGTGTGAATGGGTGGGGCTAAAGCTGCTGTGGGCTGAGTAGATGTATATCTTTTACTTTTACCCTTTATTAGTCCCACAACAGGGAAATTTCACCTCTGCATTTAACCCATCCGTACAGTGAAACACCATATACACACTAGTGAACACACACACACTAGGGGGCAGTGAGCACACTTGCCCGGAGTGGTGGGCAGCCCTATCCACAGCACTTCGGCAGTTGGGGGTTGGGTGCCTTGATCAAGGGCACTTCAGTCACGTACTGTTGGCTCAGGGGATCAAACCGGCAACCTTCCGGTCACAAGGCTGTCTCCCTAGCCTCCAGCCAATGACTGCCCCATCACAAGATAATACGTAAATGATCTTGTGACATCACAGAAACAATCAATCCTATACAGGCTATTTTTGCAGTGTAATTTTTATATATAGGCTTTAATATTGAAAAAATATTTTGGGTGGCCCTGTGGCAAAAGTGAGTGGGCCTTGCCCCACTGGAACCATCACTAGTGGCACAAGTGTTTATGTGTTACTATATGGAGTTCTCAGCACTGATGCCATGGAAATGTGATTCAGGACTAGTTTTGAATAAATGTTTTGAGTGCATTTAGCAACAGACAGTCAGTAAAATTGTAACTATCATAATTAAACTAGTTAACTCTCATATATTCTACAAAGCCATTCATTTGAAATAGGCCTGTGGTATGAAGGCATGTTTGATGTAGACACCTACACTCTCAGAAATAAAGGTACTAAACTGTCACTGGGGCAGGACCCTGGGGTGGGACCCTCAAGGGTTCATCTCAGTACCTTTAGTCACGGAACATAACTGTACCATAATCCACTGAAATTATATTTTCTAAGATGTACTGACTCCACACACCCCGTCTCGTCTCCAGGCTTTTTATTTTATTGTTCTGTTTTAAAACTTTCGGTTATTAAAACGTACAAATTTGTACTTTTACCTGGAAAAACTTATTTAAGGCACATAATTGGACCTCAAAACCACTGTTGTACCTTTGAGGGCACATTTACACTGTTTGTATGTTACCTGCACAGCGCCTTTATTTCTAACAGTGTAGGTGGTGACAGTTTTATCTGGGTATTTTTTGTTTTGACTGCAAAACATAAATTATAAATAAATGATCATGGGGAGTTAGAAGTAGAGAGGCTGCGGTCAGCACAGTTAATCACTGATCACTGATTGATGAAATGGATTTCACGAAAATTGCTTTAGAAGTGATTAACGTTTCCATCACATTACTGTACAGAAGCTTAGCTTTGCTCGTCTCTCAGATGAACCAGGTGTGCTCTGATCTTGTATAACCCAGCATTGCACAACCAAGTAGTTCTGGTCTGTTTCTAACACTAACAGTGTCCTTCAGTGGCTTCACGCTGCGTAATACTGATTACAGTAAAGCTGAATCAACACAAGCCTAAACGGAAGTACAGCAGCCTTAATTCTCACCGAGCTTTTACAGAAACAGGCCTATCTGAGGAGATGAAGGCCAGGGAATAATAAGGCACTTATCAGAGACGCACATATAAAGTTACTGTATTAGGACACTTTATGAACATTGTCCAGCAATTTTGTACAAAAAACATGTTATTTGTTCAGGGATAATAATGTGATTATGATCCATATAGTAGAATTGTGTTGTATTTGTATTGCACTGATTGTGTATGTTGTACTAAAAGTATGTTTACCTGCCGAGCGACTGCTAATGGAAAACAGCAAGTAGCTAAATTTGGTCCATAGCATCTTTACTCAGTTGAGATTAAAGCTTTCTGTACGTGGGTAATTCTCACAAACACGACAAATACTGTTGAAAAGTTAAAATGACTAAATTGTAACTGTTTTCTTTCTTGGAATATAAAAACAAGGATGTCTGGTTGAAATCATTCAAAATAAAATTGAATTATTTCATTGATTTTAAATGGATTTTTAGTTTAATTTTCAATCTAAGTGGCCACATTCTCATCACCCAACACAGCAAAGTTAAAAAATAAATCTATAAATATATTTTTTGCAAGTTTCTTTTCACAACCTGTGCACTGTTGTTGTACTAAATATTTTAAAACTAATTATTAAAACAAATATATATATTTTTTAACTTGTGCTTGTGTTTAAAAGGAAAACAATGTTAAAGATTCAGCAATTAAACCTATTAAAACTTGTTTTCTTAATAAAAAGAGAACAAAAAATCACGCACTGGTAATGAGAGACATGTGGAAACATTGCAGTAATGAGAATTCGGGTAAAAAATGGCAAAAAAAAATTTAAATAGAAAAATTAATAGCAAAACTTTTTGCTATACTGGGCTCAGAACTCAAATTGAGCTATTAAATTATATGAATATTGATTATATGTGTGATGCTTATAACACTCAAATATTTATGGATATGTTTTGAGGTGGTTTTGTGAGAGTGACCCACAGAGTCACTGATATGATAAATATTAATAATCTAATACTAAAAAACAAAAAAAATGTTGAATTCAACAATTGAGCAATTAAAAAACAGTATTTGTGACATTTTTTTGTAGAAATCATATAAACATGGTATGACATTGTTTGATGCCCTGGATTTAAAATAAAGGGGTCACTGAAACGTTAATAAATGCTTCTTATTATAAAAGGTTGTACAAAATAAGATGTTTTTTGTTGGAGGGGGCTTGTATTGTTCTACATATTTTTGTGTAGTAGTCTTGATGGTAATGTATTGACTTGATATTCCCATCTATGTTCCATTAGAATCAATGAGCGGCCATCGGGACAACCACCTGAAGCCCCAGCTGAAGATGATGAAGCTGCTTTAGGTGCCTGCGGGGGGCAGGACCCTCTCAAGGCTGGGTCATGTGACTCAGGGGACTTCCTATATGAAGAAGAAGAGGTGCGGGGCGCTTGGAGCCGGAGCGGTGCTGTGGAGAAGGATCCAGAACGCTACCTGCACCGCATACGACACTGATGGTGGAGCTGGCCAGGCGGAGGTGGAACGTTGAGAGATTAGCGCAGACCAAGAGAATGGGATTAGACCATAATCTCGAAACCCTGTCTGGGTCTACCAGGCCACAGCATTACTTGCTCACTAAATATACACTGGGTGGCTTTTTATTAGAACCGCCTGCCTTGTACGTACACGAATTGGCCACATTATCAGAAACACCCACCCTTTAGGTGCACTTTGTAGGTCTAGAGTTATGGACAGTTTGTCACTGCTTTACTGAGAACGGTCCACCACCCACATGATATGGTGGTCCTATGGTGGTCCGTTTCCACTGATGGGTGGAGGCAAGGGGGGCTCCACAGATGGGCTACAGTCAGCAATTATACATCTACAAAGTGCACCTATGTGGAAGCTGTACTTGCTAAAAATGGCAAGTGCATGTAGGAAGGTGTGCATAATAAACTCAGTGTAGATACATAAATAGAACAATACAGCTAATAACACTATACATCATGTACCACAAGGCAAAAACTACGACCTCGCCGAGGCGTGGGATCCAGCTACAGCTGAGAACGTGGAAACTCTACAACACTGTATCAGCGAGGCACTACAGGGCGAATAACTGCTGGCCCATGTGTGCTAGCACGGGACTCTTATTATATTCTTATGAAACAGAATAGTTTGGCTGGAGATTGCTAATGTGGCTAACGGTGAACAGCTAGCAGGCCGCAAAGTCAGCAGTTCCCATTTCCTTCCCTTCAATAAGAAACAGCATCTACCTTTTTAATTTAGCTTCCATTCGCTGAGGGACTGGAGTTAGCTTGTCCCAGTTAGCTTCCATACACTAAGAGATAAGAGTTAGCTCGTCCTTGTTAGGTTCCACTCTGAGAAACAGGAGTTATGTCTTTATTAGCTTCCATTCACTGAGAGACAGAGTTAGCTTTTCCTAGTTAGCTTTTTCCACTGAGAGACAGACTCAGCTTGTCCTTGTTAGCGTTCAATCACTGAGACTGGCATTAGCCTTTTCTAGTTAGCTTCCATACACTAAGAGACAAGAGTTAGCGTGTCTTAGTTAGCTTCCATACACTAAGAGACAAGAGTTAGCTTGTCTTAGTTAGCTTCCTTTCACCGAGAGGCAGAGTTAGCTTGTCTTAGTTAGCTTATTTTCACTGAGAGACACAGTTAGCTTGTCCTAGTTAGCTTCTTTTCACTGACAGACAAAGTTAGCTTGTCCTAGTTAGCTTCTTTTCACTGACAAAGTTAGCTTGCCCTAGTTAGCTTCTTTTCACTGACAGACACAGTTAGCTTGTCCTAGTTAGCTTCTTTTCACTGAGAGACAAAGTTAGCTTGTCCTAGTTAGCTTCTTTTCACTGACAGACACAGTTTGTCTTATATAGCTTCTTTTCACTGACAGGCAGAGTTAGCTTGTCCTAGTTAGCTTCTTTTCACTGAGAGACAAAGTTAGCTTGTCCTAGTTAGTTCTTTTCACTGACAGGCAGAGTTAGCTTGTCCTAGTTAGCTTGTCCTAGTTAGCTTCTTTTCACTGACAGACACAGTTAGTTTGTCCTAGTTAGCTTCTTTTCACTGACATACACAGTTAGTTTGTTCTATTTAGCTTCCATTCACTAACAGAGTTAGTTTGTCTTATTTAGCTTCTTTTCATTGACAGGCAGAGTTAGCTTGTCCTAGTTAGCTTCCAGTCAGAGAGAAACAGAGTCTGATATGTCTTTATTAGCATCTGTTTACTGAGAGACGGGAGTCAGTGTGTCCTTGTTGCCTTCTTTTCACTACAAGATAGTTAGCTTGTGCTAGCTGGCTTCCATTCACTAAGAAACAAGAGCTAGGTTGTCCTGTTAGCTTCCTTTCACTGAGACAGTAGTTAGCACGTCCAGGTTTGCCTCCGTTCACTAAGAAATGAGTTATCATGACATTACTAGCTTCTTTTCACTGAGAGACAAAATAGTTTGTCCATGCTGGCTCCAGCAAGATCCAGCAAGCAACTGCTGCCCTTCCTGTCCTGCTAACTTTGATTTACTGTTAGCCATGTTAGTGTTCTGGTCTGAACCGCCCTTTTACACAGCACAGCTTACAGACAAGACTGACAGATTCACTACAACCGAAAGACACCATTGCACTAACGTGTCTGTGGAAGCAGCATCGAAGTTTATCCCAAGCAACAGTCAAGCTTTCAAAGCCTGCATCTTTACTGAGTCTAAACGCAGTGTTTTTGAGGCCGATTAGATTAGAAGTCGTGTAAAATACTTGACGTGAAACATTACATTGTAAAGGCTGCAGATGTTCGCATTGCAACTTGTTTGGCTTGACTGTGAGAGTTCTTGTGAATTTTTAATCAGATTTTCTGGACTTGTCTTAAATCTAGCAGACCTCCAGTGCAACCTGATGGTTTTTTTTCTCTGAGCCTCACATATTTTGGCTCGGCTCTGATCATATGACCGGCCTTGTGGCAGGACTGGACGCAAAGTAAGCTGAACTGTTGTTTAGTCAAGGTAGAAACGAAAGGTCCCTGCTAGAGGAACTAGCATAGACTGGAACCAGCAAAACCAGCATATCGCTGTTGTTGGAACAAAACCTCGTATCTCCAAAATGCTAACTTTACAGGAGAAGGAAAAAACAAGCTTTACTTTAAATGTAAGTCAATGGAACCAGACGTTTTCCCAAGTCATTTTGGGTCGTTTCCTTTGGTCCATTCACCATGAAATTTACACACAATGCAAAAGGACAACAGGCCTTTTCAGATTGTGAAAAACTGAGATACCTTGAGATACCTGGTTTTCTTCTGACAGCAGCGATATTTTGTGTATTGGCTGCTGGTTTACCTGGTCACCCATCATGGTCATGCTGGTTGACCAGCATACCAGCATCGAAAACACAACTTATGCTGGTTTTGCTAGCAGGGACCTTTCTTTTCTACCTTGACTAGACGCCAGACCAGCGTAAACCAGTTTAGGCTTTATCTGGGAGGGAGCACTTTTTTACCCCAAATATAATCAATCAGCCAAGACACTGAAGTTTGCTTCTTCTCACTATTGCCCTGGAGCTAAGAGGCTAACAGAAAGATGCTGGGTGACATACACTTCCATTACTTGTCAGCTACGTTAGCCACTTAGCGCCAGGTTAAAACCAACGAAGCAAACCTCAGAGGTCTGTTTGATACTTCAGATATGTCTTGGACAATCAACTACATTTTCCATTAGAGGATAAACGTGTAGATCTCATGTTTCGGTGAACCACTCCTCTAAAATAGTGTTAAAATGTTAGGTTCTTCTTATTGTCTTCGTTTGAACGTATAGCCGTGTAGCTTGAGGCAGACTGCCTGGTAATACTTGAGATGCTATGCACATGGTCTTACTCAGTAGCATGTTAGCAATACACGCTCCAAAATTATGAAGCCTACATAAAAAACCTTGAAAGAAAAAACCCTGAAAGATCTACAGTAAATATGCATTACAAAAACACTTTCGTTGTTCTTCCACATTAGTGTTGATTGCTATTTGTTATCCATCCTGGAAAGAGCAAATGTTTTATTCAGTAGATTAGGATTATTAGAAAAGTAAGAAATGCCTTTAGACTCTTTCTTCAGACTAGATAGTGTAGATTAAGACAGTAATTCAGGAAACAAAAGCATTGAAGTTGTTATGAAAAGGAATGTAGCTGTAATATTGAAATCAGTAACACTATTTAAAATGCCTTAGAACACCTGTTGATTCTTTGTATTCGTTCATCTGTTGTCGGAAGAAAACCTTGTATCTCCAAAATGGTAACTTTACAGGAGAAGGAAAAAACCTGCTTTACTTTTAATGTAAGTCAATGGAACCAAACGTTTTCCCAAGTCATTCTGGGCCGTTTCTTTTGGTCCATTCATCATGAAATTTACACACAATATAAAGAGCAACAGACATTTTCAAATCATGTCAAAAACTGAAAAACGACAAAAATGGAGATACAAGGTTTTTCCCCCCCTGACAGCAGCGATACACATGCTAGTGTGCAAAAGTTTTGGCACCTATGGTCAAATAATGTTTTTGTAGTGTTTGTTAGTGAAAATAAGTCACAGCATCCTCTACAGAGAACACACTTCAACATTTCAATACACAATTACTGTTTGCTATATTTAACAGAGTAGAACAAAACTATAGAACATAAAATGTGGCCTCTTCAAAAGATACGGCACGTTTATACTTCAAATATTCGTACTACGTTAAAATCAGCAAATAAACAGAAATCGTGCACTAAAATGAGTAGAAAAGTGTGATATCCATGTTTGTTCGCTGTAGAGGATGTGTGACTTGTTTTCATGTTAAAAATCAACAAAAATGTCATTTGACCAGGGGCGTGCAAAGTTTTTCATATGCTACATAAAATGTATTTTTTTGTGTTGTAATGGTCAGAAATTCTGATTAAAGTGTTATTTTTTAAAGAAAAGCAGCTTCTCTGTTTTAATTGAATACGGTGCTGTAATAGCTTATCTTTATCAGTAAATACATTACATACAATTTATACAGTGCATTGCCACGAGACAGGTTACATCAGTTCTGCTGACATCAGTAAATACATTGTTAATAAAAAAAATAATTAAAGAAAAATGGAACGAAAAAAGACAATGCAGCAAGGTAGGGTAAAACAGAGCTGTACCATTATGCCCCCCCTCCATGTAGAGAATGGATCGCTCCAGTGTTTCTGCACATGCTCAGTTTAGTTCTGTACCCTCCTAACAGGCTGGACTGATGCAGGTGCATTTGCATGACACATTACGAACGAGGCTGAAAATGCAGTGGAGATTTTTTTTTCCTAAGCAAGAAGAAATGTACAAAAATGATTTTTTTTTTAATGTAATGAAATAAAATGAAAAAAGAAAATACAAACGAGGCTGAAATGCATCAGAGTGAAGAAATGTTTGAAGATTTTGACCCAAAAAAATAGTAACTCAAACAAAATTAGAAATAAAAACAAACTAAATAAAATCAAAACAGAAATGAGCCTGAAAATGATTGAGATTTTGCAACCGAGATGAAAAAAAAAAAACAAAAATAAACTGAAAATGTAAAGAACCTTGGAGATCTTCCAACGGAGAGCAGGTGTACAGAGGTGTGGAAAAAACCGAAACCGGTCCAGTGAAGAGACGGACACAGAGAGCGAGATCGAGAGCGAGACTCTAAGATACTCGTAACTGAGCGTTTCATTATCAGCTGCGCGGCTGCACCGCGTCTGTAGTGGAGGCACAGCGCTCAGCTCAGTATAGACATGCAGCTTTGTTTGTTCTCTATGGAGTCTTTGCAGCTCCTACTCTCACAGCCAGGTGGCGCCAAAGCGCAGGTGAGCGAGCACTGCAGCATGGGAATTATACAAGGCTGAAGTCAGCTTCTTATTCATGTTTTCTGTTCCACCAGCAGTCACTTTTTCAGAAAGTAAGAAATAAAGGGAGAAAAATAAAGGGGGAGAGAGAGAGAGAGAAAGAGAGAGATTTCTTTCACCTTGAAAAGGTGCAGCAGTGACAGTCAGGGCACTGTAGAGTGAGAGAGAGAGGGAAAGTACGGAGTCCTGCTGGGGACATCCTGTACGAATAACCGTAATGCACTGCCATGCCATATTAACGCGTGGGAATGAGATCCTAAATCGTGGCCACAACTTAATTATCTTGTGCCCATGCCTTACGAAGTTGCGGCCACGCATTATTGTTATTTAAACAGATGTCACCAGCGGGGCTCCTTAGGAAAGAAATAAAAGAGGGAAAGAAAGAGTGGGGGATGGAGCAGGAGAGATAGAGACAGAACGGAGAGAGAAAAATAGAGAGGGAGAGAGAATTTTCTGCCTTAAATGGTGCAGCACCTGTACAGAAAGAAAGAGAAGGAGAGAAACAGAGGGATGAAGACAGAGAAAGAGAGAGAGAAAGAGCAGAGTGACAAAGAAAAAAAAGAAAATTACGAATTCCACCTTGAACAGTTAAATTCTGGAACCTGTACAGAATGAGAGAGAGAGAGAGAGAGAGAGAGAGAGAGAGAGAAAGAAGATATGAGGGAGAAAGAAAAGAGAGAGAGAGAGAGAGAGAGAGAGATGAGAGGGCGAGAAAGAGTGAGGATGAGACAGAGAGAGAAAGTGAGGATGAGAGAGAGAGAGAGAGAGAGAGAGAGAGAGAGAGAGAATTTGCTGTTCCACTTTAAATGGTGCCGTATGAATGTAACTGCTCTACCATTTAAGGTGGAATGACTGATTTGCTAGAATGTAACTGCTGCACCATTTAAGGTGGAACGGAAAATCGTAAGAAGCAGCTGGTGAGCAGGAAGCCGACTGCAGCCTCGTGATGGTGCTCACGTCCACTGCAGGTCTGTCTACGGTAGAGCAGCTCCTTCTCAGAGCTGTAAGCGGCGAGTAGTTCCTATGGTATCTTTATCTCCTTGAAGAGGAGCAGACAGTGACTGATTCAGAAGACAAATACAGCTAAATGAAGCGACCCTCTGCTGCGCCTCCTCCACCAGCTTCCTCTTCATTTTCTGTCATCTGTCCACGAATCCAACCGGTCAAATCCAGTCCAGCGCCTCACCGCGGTGGTCTCCGCACGGCCTTCACCACCACGTGAAGAACGGCCGTCTGCTCTGGAAACTCTGTGTGTACGACTCGGTGTTGGCGCGCTGCGGCGCCCGCGCCGTCTCCACGATGACGGGGGGCATCTGAACGAGCTGCAGCGGAGTTTTACCGTCCTTCAGAGCCTGACTCAGATTCAGAATCTGAGAGAGGGAGCAAGAGTGAAAAGACGAGAAGCTCTTTATATGTGAACTGTGAAATATGATGAAGTTAAATCTAGAGTCAGTGCAGTTGGTCAGTGTGGGTCAAAGGGACTAAACATCTGGAACAGTTAGTCCAATGTAGTAGTGGACTCCCCTACAAACAAATACATACTTAATTTGAGTAAGAACCAAATCAGGACCTGCAGAACTGAAACTGTAGCTGTAATTTTACAGGAGAAGGAAAAAAGGCTCTTAGCTTTGAATGGAAGATAATGGAACTGAGTTTTTATCTAGTCGTTTTGGACCATTTCTGTTGGTCAGTACGTCATGAATTGTTCACATAAAGTGACAGGGACACTTTCAGGACGGATGGTTTATCAAATACACAGCAAAAAAAATGGTATCTTGTCAAGAAAATTCTTAAATATAGTCAATAGATATAATATTCCTCCTGGTGAGAGTGTTGTAAGCTTAATGTAGGATTATTTACCTAATTTAGTCATTTTTTACTCATTTTAAGTCATTTTATTAGGTAAAATTATCTCACAGTACTGGCAGATAATTTTGCTTGTTTTCAGAAATGTGCTTGAAACCAGCAATATTACATGCCAGTATAGTGAGATAATTTTACTTAATAAAATTATTTAAAACAGGTGATAAATGTCTACAAATAAGCTAGATAATCTAATTAAAAGTGCACAGCCATCTCAAAGTGGGAAATATTAGAGAGATCGACTAGATTTAAGATCATTTCACTCGACAGGAAGCCCTTTTTTGCAGTGCAAAGTAAAAAATGAAGACAAATTTTGTCCCAAACTTCTTCCCAAAAACGATCAGATCACAGATAGGGACAGCAGTACAGTACAGTCTGTGAGAGTGAGAGAGAGCCAGTGACTGACCTGTCCCCTCATCACTGAGATCTGCTTGTGGAACTGCCCTCTGTCGAAACCTGGATCTTTCTGTAGGAGACGAACACAAACGTAAACAAAGTCAGCAGACACCACCTCACTGCTTCAGAGCGAATTCATCCTGTTTGATTTCCCTATAAACACTACTGATGGTCGAAATTGGCATCATCACATATTAGATTCACCTCCTCCAATCAGATTTATATCTGATTACTACTGTATCCAATAATACTCAGATAACTCTGTCTTTATTACTGTGTTTAAATAGACAAAGCACTGAAATTAACAGCCAGAATTTAAAGGCGAATTCCACCAATTTATCATAATTTCGGCAAAATTTAGTGGTTGAGATGTTTATTGTGGAAAACATTGCACACTCTGATCTCTTTACAGTGGTGCTGATAGGAACCTGGGGTCACAATGTCTACAACACAGATATAACCATTTTATTTACTATCCCAAACCACATAAACCTGCATGTGTCTTTTGGTTTTACATGTTAAAAAAAAAAACAAAACAAAACAAATAATGATAAATTTGAAAATTGCATTTTCTATATCTGTGTTGTAGTCATGGTGACCCCTGGTTCCTATCAGCACCACTGTAAAGAGATCTGAGTCAGTAAGTTTCTCTACAGTGAACCATTTCATATCAATGAATGACCTTGTTTACATCTCAACCACTGAATTATGCACAAATTTTGAATAACTGGTGGAATTTCCCTTTAACTCATTGAAGCCAATGTCATTCATTCTTTTCAGTTTTTAAATGGACCCAACACCTGATACACATCTCAATCGATAGGCAGTGTTTGGAGCTTTTTTCAGCACCTTAAACAGTTCGTACAGGTCCTCCTCCAGATCTTTGACGAAGTTGGGGTCAGACAGTTTGGGCAGAACGAGCTCACGGATCTCCTGAGAAAACGGCACCTTCGCCTGCGCCAGCCACGCCCAGTAAAACGGATCTGCAGTGAAGAACCGAATCAACAGTAACGTTTAGTGTAAATACTGTAGTAAACACAAACACAAACGTCTAAAGAAAACAAGTTAAAAGGTCTATATGCTAGATTTCTCCTGCATTCCACTTCTGACACTTGTACGTTTTTATGTACCAAAACCGGTCATAATTCATTTTTATGTGACCATTTACCAACATCTAATTATCTCTTAGAATTAAACAGGCTGCTTTTGTTACTGGGTCTTCAATATGAATGGGTGGGGCTAAAACGCCATAGGCTGATAGCACAAGAACATGTGCTAGTTTTAGTGACATCACTACAGTTTAGTTTGTATATATGGACTGTTTGGTAAATTTTTAAATATATGTATGAGATATGGAAGAAAACCTTGTATCTCCATTTTGACATTTTTCAGTTTTTGACATAATTTGAAAATACCTGTTGTCCTTTACATTGTGTGTATATTACATGATGAATGGACTAAAAGACATGACCTAAAATGACTTGGAAAAAATTCTGGTTCCATTGACTTACATTAAAAGTAAAGTAGGTTTTTTCCTTCTCCTATAAAGTTACCATTTTGGAGATACAGGATTTTCTTCCGACAACAGCGAGATAATTACTGTTCCATTTTCCATTTGTTTCCATTTTATCATGTCAGTAAGGTTGCACATGATTGGTCAGTAAGATGCGAGGTGTGTGTGAGGTGAAAGACTATTAGCTTACAGGCTCTCCAGGAGTCAGGGTGTTTTAATGGAAAGGCCAGGCCGTTATCAATGGCTGCTATTTTAATGATAGGATCCTTTACTACCACCCAGTCAGTGTCCTGCAAGATACATACACAAACACAGGTTTACTATACTCAGTATCCTCAATATTAAATTTACACAATTTCCCACCGGCCCTTAGATGTGCACTTAGATGTAGATGATCAGCTCAGACATGTTAGGAGTCCAAACGTTTCTGCTTTAGTTTAGAACTGGAGCTATGAGGCTAATAAACACTAGAAGTCAATAGTCACTCAAATCCTTTCTGTAAATACATCCTCCAAACTTCTTACAACCTTCTAAACTACATCCACGTCTTCAGTAAGGTCACCCAGACTTGTTGATGTGGTTTAGGACACAGTCCGACTTACTGTAAACTATAGAAATGTACAAAATCTTGCTGTGATGCCAAACACAACGGGTAGCTATAGACAACAGTGTCTATTCACAAACCAACAGTGCAAATCTAGAATCAGTTTTAGTGACAATGACCACCATAAATAAACAGGCATATGCTAAAGTTTGGACACCTAATCATTTTGCTGAGTTTAACATACTGAAAAAAAAAACAAACATAAAATGCACCATAACTTTTGACAGCACACTTTTTTTATTTATTTTTCCTTCCAAGAATGTTAAATTCAGTACACAGTAAACGGTAAACAGTAATTGTGCTTTGAAATGTGCAGAAGTGTGTTCTGTGTGGAGGATGTGTTCACTTATTTTCACCTAGAAAAGCAACAAAAACGTCATTTGAGCAGGGGCGCCCAAACTTTTGCACATGACTGCTTTGTGAATACCAGCCCTAGAGCCGTCCGAAAAGGCTGCTGGTAGAAATGAACTTCTCTTCATTTTTATAGTTCACAGTAAGTCATACTGTGTCCTAAAGCACAAGTGTGCAGCATCTTAATCAACACGGGTTGAGAGAAGTTTTGCATTTGGCTGCGTCCCAAACCGCACACTGCTACACTTTACACACCATACTAATGAGTGCATATCAAACAGCGGGGCACTGTTTTTACACACATTATTTAGTGCTGCAGTCTGAGATGTGGCCATTGTAAAAGATTTGGGTGACTATTGACTTCTATTGTTTATTAGCAACTTTAGCCTTGTAGCTTCAGCACAAACCTAAAGAAGCACACTTTGGATTCCAAACATGTCTTGGCTGATCTGACTGCATCTGGAAAACTGTGTCAACTGGGTTTTTCGCCAAACTATTCCTTCACTATACAAACACATCAACATACTGAAGTTAAATATATTGACTGATCTATCAGGTTTCATATGAACAGGAACAACGAGACGAGCTTAATGTGTCACTTCAAAGGTGTAAATCAATCAATCAATCAATCAATCAATCAATCTTACCCTGTTGCCTGATGTGTCCATAGGACAGTCGTATTTTATAAGCCAGTTGTCGTTGCCTCGATCTGCAGGAACCATAAAAACATCATTACATCATTCACTTATTAGACTCTAATACAGAAACTGCTCTGAGATGCTCAGTAACCTTCAGTGTTTGTAAGAGTTGGTTATCATGCTGTAATTTTACATGAATTATTTCTTACTCATAGCTCTTTGAAACAACTGGACAATCCAGACCACAATAAGTAAAAAAAGAGGACATATTTATTATGAATTAAATTTGATGAAAACGTCTTCTTGTGTGTGTTTGCCATGTTTGTCTCATTTTGACATCAAACCAGACAAAAAGAAGTTGAAGACTTAAACCTGTCATAAGAGAATGTAAATAAAATATATGTATGATTCATTGTGTAACCATATATATATATATATATATATATATATATATATATATATATATATATATATATATATATATATATATATAAATATTAATTGTATAACTTTGTAACAACATTTATTTCTTTCTTTATTTTTTATGTATACACCAATTATGCGTAACATTATGACCACCTGCTTGTTTCTAAAAAACTCCAGCAGCACTGCTGTGTCTGATCCACTCGTACCAGCACAACACACACTAACACACTACCACCACATCAGTGTTACTGCAGTGCTGAGAATGACCCACCACCCGAACAGTACCTTGTTTTGAAGAAAACGACCATAACACACTGAAATGACATTAATCTAAGGTAATACGATGGTTATCATTATTTTTAACAGAGAAAATTCTCACATTTGTGGGTCTCTTTGGTCGCTTGCTCAGCCATCTTGCCAGTTTTCTTTGTTTTTTTCTCATAACTCTCTGTTTGGCGTGTGCCACATGCAAAACAGAGGGCTAAGGGCTAACTGGCAGGGGCGAGGGGTGAAATGGGATTGGGCCTAAATTTCTACGTTTGCCTCTTTGGCATGTTGCTTTGTCCATAGAAATGAACTTTACAACCTTCCGTAGCTTTAAAAAGCCTGAGGATTCTAAATTTGAGGGGATGATGGTGTGTTATGATATGTATGTGATCGGTGTGATCTGTGCATGGTTATTGTAAAACGCTGAACCCGAGGACAAAGTGTGGACATTCTGAACAGGAAATAAAGACCAATTCTCTGGACACACGGCTGAGCATCCTGGTTCAATTCTTCATTCACCAAGAGGGTCCAAAGTTCTACAAATTTCTGCACAGTTTGTTAAAGCGTGTTGGCTGCCATGTTCACCTGTGTTGCGGATGATGTAATCCAGCACCACCAGTCGTTCAAACTGCAGCTGGAGCTGCCGGTTCGTGTTTTCCGGTAACGGTTCTGCCTCAAACCGCCGCAACCAGAAATCAGCATCTTTATACCCGTCTACGAAGAGCTGGAATGAGCCGACCTGTTGCAAACAAACATGAACACAAAGAAACGTCAATGTGTGTTCATTCAAAACTGATGAAACATCTTCCTCCACACCAGCAGGTGGAACTGGCAGGCCCACACAGCTGCACCAAAAAAATAAATAAATAAATAAATAAATAAATTTATATATACATATATATATACACATATATATATATATATATATATATATATATATATATATATATATATATATATATATGATGATGATGATGATGATATGATATATATATCAAACTAGTTCTTAAAAAATGTGCACTTTTTTTTTATTAAATAAATGTATAACAATTTAAGTAAAAAAATATATTCACAGACTTACAGATAATAATATACAGTAATATTTATACATATTTACAAGGATTACATTATGATTTAACCGAAATGGTAATAAGCTAAATATTTACATAATCATCATTTATCATTTATAAGGTACTTTCTAGTGGGAGGTGTCTGTCCCAAACCCCTCACCTCTACTTTTACACTTGTGAAAATAATATGTAAATCTTTTTGTAAGTGAGTTTGAGGGATTTTAGGGGGCATTCAGACTTGTCAGATTTGGTTCTATTAAAACAAACCCTGGTGCAAAAGCTCTGTTGCTGCAATTCATTAGAACAAGTGAGAAAACAGCCATCTGAACTCAGCAGAACTTTGGTGTGGAAAAGAAAACAACATGGATCAGAGGTGCAAAAACTTTTTGCAACTGTAGCTTGACTGTAAATAGAGTACAGTATATTATAATTTAATAACTTCGCGTTGTTCCCAAAATACTTGACACATTGAAGAAAAATAAAAGAATCTTAAAATTCTTTCTGGAGTCTAACTTATAACCTTTAACTGTAGATTGTATTCATTATTCACTGAATATGAAATGTTAAATATTATGTTAAATATTATGCAAATGTTTTGGCACCCCTGGTCAAAAAAATGTTACTAAAAAATTTATTTTTATTAAAAAAAAATTTAAATAAAACCTAAAACGAGGAGTATGCAAAAGTAATGGCATATTTCATGTTTTTTTTTCCTTAATATGTTAAACTCAAATAAATAGAAACTGTGCACAACAATTTGCAGAAAAACGCCATATTTAAGCGTCTTCTCTGTAGATAATGTGTTCATTTAATGTTACTTAGAAAATCAACAAAACTGTATGTGTTCGCTCATTAAGAGAAATGAATAATGTGTTTAACATGCTTGGTGAAATAAGCCCGACTGATTCTGATGATAAAGTAAAACCTCAGTTGCCCCCCTACCCCCCAGCCCCCCACCCCCACTCCATTACTCCATTTTCATTGTAATCTTTCACCATTTCATTTATTAATTTTGGAGGAATGGTTGAAAGCAGTAATCTGTGATTATGTATTAAGAGTACTGCTCTCTGATTATGAACCACATGGTCTGTGTTCACATCTGAACGTTTGAAAACCAGTACATATATGAAATGACTAATAATAATAATAATAATAATAATAACAATAACAACAACAACAACAACAACAACAACAATAAACGTTGGGCAGGCTGACCTTTGGCGGCAGGCCGATTCTGTGGAAGCGCTGTCCGACCTTGGGCACTTTCTCCAGAGCGAGCCTTTTACCTCGAGACTTCACTCTGTCTATGGCACTGTAGTTAAACGTGTCACTCGACAAATACACCACCTGCACACACAACACACAGCACAGCACGTTACTGCATATTAGTGGAGAAACTGCAGGTTTAATATTCAGCTATTAATCTGCAGTAACTAGTAGGGGTGTAGAAACGCATCTAAAAAGGTGGAAATTCAAGTGTTTCATTAAAAAATGGAACTGGTTTAACAGTGTAATTCTGCTGTGTAATGTGAGGCTGTGTTTGCAGATATATACATGATCTGAGTGGATGTATATATATATGCGTGTGTGTGTGTAGAGTTTAACAGTAAGTACGAGGAGTTTGGTAAAAAGAAGATCTGACAGGAGGAAAGAAAACACCTTGAAACACCAGCCTACAGAAGCACACACACACCACGCACGCACGCACGCACGCACGCACGCACAGAGATATTACATAAAAAAAATAGATCTATATACATATAGAGAGAGAGATACAGGGAGAAAGATACAGAAGGATACAGGGGGGGGCAGAGAGGGGATAAAGAGAAAGAGAGAGAGAGAGAAAAAGAGGGGGGATAAAGAGGAGAGAGAGCGAGAGAGAGAGGGGTAGAGAGAAAGAGGGGGATACAGAGAGAGAGAGAGAGAGAGAGGAAAGAGGGGGGATACAGAGAGAGAGAGAGAGAGAGAGAGAGAGAGAGAGAGAGAGAGAGAGAGAGAGAGAGAGAGAGAGAGGGGTAGAGAGAAAGAGGGGGGATACAGACTGATACTGACTCTGGTTCGTGGTACTATGTTGAGCTCCAGTTTCTGGTCCACTAAACTGGCTCCTGCCTCAGAAAGGTAGCCCTGATTCAGCACAAGGCAGTCTCGACCGAAACAGCATGGGCAGCAGAGCTTCTGCAGCCATTTGGTCCATTTGGGGTTCAGCTGACCGTACGGCTCCTCGTTCTTCGGCTTAAACACTCCGATGATCTTCTGCAGGGACAGACAGACGAGGCGGGTTCAGAGCGTCTGCTAGTTTCTGTGAAGATTACAAACACTGAAGAACTCGGTCCATCTTTTGTAGGGCTTTCCGTTACGTTTGAGGAACCCAGTCAAGGATGAAGAACCACAACAAAATTGTCAGTGTTCAATAAAAGAAAAAATGCTGTCTGTCTGTCTGTCTGTCTGTCTGTCTGGCTCGTAGTCTAACTAAGGGGTCGGCAACATGCGGCTCTTTTACTGCCCTGTTGCGGATCAGCTGTGCTGATCGTTCAACACAGTTTAAACAATAAATGGTCTTAAATGCTGAAGTTAATGTAGAACTGCTGATTCATCCTTTAACCCTGAAGATCAGCGCAGACTGCTGGTCACCATAGCAACGACAACAATCTCGCCTAGCTAGTAGCAACGAAAAGACAAACAGAGCGGTTTAAGATGAAGATCGATAATCTGGAGATTAATGGACTGATCTGGGTTCATAATCACTCCAGCTGGTTCCTGATGCGTTTAATCTGCAGCGAGGAACTGACGAACACTGAACCGTCGCAGAGCTGGAGTCGGTTTCTCCTTCTAATTGTCCCGTTCCACCTTAAATAGTTAAACAGCAGTTACATCCGGGTGCCTCAGGCACCATTTAAGGTGGAATGGAAAATTTGAACAAGAAGCGACTTCAGCCTCATAAAAAGCCAAACGTTGAGAGACATTTTACAAGAAACTGTTCTAATTTTGAGGAAAAGTTTCCTGCTGGAGATGCAAGAAAAGCAGCTATAGCTGAGCTAAAGCTTAAAGCAGAGCAAAGTAAGTCTGCGTTTTGCTTTATATTATATATTTTAGCCCTTACTAGTACATCAGCACATACTGAGACATATTTACATATTTACATGGACATAGTATGTTGTGGCTCCCCAAGTGCTTTGATATTTGTTGAAAGGAAAACATTTGGGTTGCCAATACCTGGTGTAACTGTTTTTACTTTTCAGGTGAGTATAAAGCCATGAATCACTAGTACATGACCAGCAAGTGCAGGAGGATGTACACTGGAATAATAACGACGTGTCGATTGGTATTTATATAATAACCTCTTTGTAAAGTGATCTGAGTTTGCCAAATGTAATGTTAGCTAGCTCGCTAGCACCTGTAACATGTATGCTAATAGCTGGTGATCGAGTGGGTTTGGCTCATATTGTTACACTCTCGAGAGATGTAAAGACTGCTTGACTTCACACATGATTTGGGCTAACTAGACATTTGTGCAAGTGTAAAAATCAGTATCAGTGATACCAGAGAACTTCTGGGAGGAGAATTACCACTCTAATGTCTTCAGGGTTTCTCAAACACTAGAGGGCGCTCCCGAGCGAGTCCAAAATGAATGGGAGCAAAATCATAGTTTATAAATGCTTAAACATTTTTAATATAAAGAATACATTCATATTCTGAACACTGGATAGCGTAAAACATTTTAACACCACTGTTATGTTTTTAAGAGCTTTTAAACTCGAGTTATAGGAATTTAAAACGGCGCCTCATGTACATCCATGTCCCAAGTCTGTGAGCGCAAAATGAAAGGAAAGTTCTGGGCGAGTGATTAGAAACTATTTTAACTTTTCGTTTTTAGCCGTTGAGCTCCATTCACTCCCATTCATTGAGGACTCGCTCGCAGGGCGCCCTCTGCTGTTCAGCAGTCCTGTTTTTTGATATAACGGGGGAAATAGGAAGTGGCCAGGCTCTTCATACCGGGCTCTGGTAGTACTATGGTGGAAAATTTCTGACTGGTAAAACTTATGCATCCACCAAACACTGTGACTGACGGGCTTCACCAGACACTGTGACTGAGGGTTTTATACAGTGCAGCCAATGGCGGTCCAGCACAAAAAAGCCTTGTCTAGCCTTGTTATGGCTAAGTCAGTTGAAGTGATCGGAGGAAAGCACAAGAGATAAATTGTTTTTCTTAGAATTCATGTTTTTATATTAATTGTATATATGTAGTGGTAATGTAGAAGATATATATCTGAGCATGACGAAGGTTTCACATTATTTATTTATTTATTTATTTTAATATTCCAGATGGAACTTCAATGACTATCTAGGTGGATGTGCTGATATTCCTAAAAAAACAGAAATAAAAACATACTTTTCTATGCACTGTTGTACGATGAATAACCTTGAAAGACACTTACTAGCGGATATTTGTCCCTTATACACCGCATCAAATGTCATGGACTCAAATGTCTTTAACATGTCCGCTCGTTCAGCATATCATCGCTGTCCAAAGAAAAACAAGTCTCTCCAAAATAGTAACTTTACAGCAGAGGGCAAAAACACTGTTGCCTTTCAATGTAAGTCAATGTAAAGAGACTTTATCCGAAGTGATTTTAGAGCATTTCTACTGGTCCATGCATCATGAATTTTTTACACAGTGTAAAGGACGGCCAGTGTGGTGAAATGACGTAGAAAAATAAAGACCAACAAAAATGGACATACATGTTTTTATTTGGACAGCGACGATATTTACTTTTCATTCACTCTCTTTTATGCGAGCTGTAATGCTGCAAGGATCTTTGATCCATTTCAGCTCTGAATACACTGGAGGCAGTTAATTAAGACTCGCTCAACACTGATAACCTCAAGCGCTGAATTAGGACCTAAAACAATCCTGGTGTTTCTAGAAGACTCACTGTGTGAGAGGAACTGTAGTAACCCAGCGTGAATTCCCGCTTCCTTTTCAATAACAGATCAAAACATCACGTGTGGAGAGGCAGGTCATCTGGATCACAGAGCAGATCGGCCCCAATAAACCCTCAGTCACTGCCTGATTAGACTGGTGTACTGTAGACGTGTTGTGGTAAACACACAGGTATATTTGACTGATCAAAATGGCACAAAGGCTGAAAGTAGGGGTGGGCAATATGACATTTTATCATTATTGTTATAAAGTATGTCACAGTATGCTTTTCTGAGCACATCATGGACACTGTCAGTGCTTAAAGAACACTAAATACATGTCAAAATCACTGTAAGTATACATGTATTATTATGATTATGATTATTATTATTATTATTATTATTATTATATCATCATGTCAGTGCTTAAAGAACACTGACTAACTACATTACATATAAATACTGATTAAAATCACTGTAATTGTACATTTATTATTATTATTATTGTTATTATTATTATTATTATTATTATTAGTAGTAGTAGTAGTAGTAATTTCATGTGTGGCACTACAGGTTCCATTTCATCTGTTCCAACTCATTAAATCTCAGAAAAACAAAATATGGTGATACTGTGTATCATGAAAATGTCTTGAAATATCATGCTCTAATATTTCTGCCATATCGCCCACCCCTACCTGCAAGATACAAACAAACAAATAAGTACTACTCTTAGCAGTGGGCAGTACACAGGTTGAAATTCTTCGTCAGGTATGAGTTTTTCAGAACCGTTATACCTGTATGCCACAAATAAATACAGATGTGATGTACAAACAGTGCAAATCACGCTAACGTTGTCCCGTTTAGCTGAGCGTCAGAGTCAGGGAAGTTTCAGTCCTGTTTAAAACGAAAGTGAAAACAGTGCAGACTCTCAATCACCTCCTGCTGTCCAGTCATGTGACAAACTACTCCTTTTTGGCTGATGCCAGCAAAAGAATCACAGCCATGATGTTGTTCGTGATAACACATGACCTTGAACGTTCTACTGCTTAAACAACTCAGTAGCTTTTAAAGCTTGGATCTTATCGGTATCTCACTGGACCGTATCAGCTGATACTCAGGGTTTCAACATCTGGATCAGTATTAGTATCTGTAAAGAAAAAGAAATTTATATTGTGGCATCTCCAACTGAAGCAATCAACAACTTTTTCACTTGTGAAGGTACCACATATACTAAAAAAACAAAAAATACCACATACTCAAGAATTATAGTTTAGTACTCCGCTAGGACGCAACCTGACTACACACAATCTGGACTCTCATTTCCAAAGCAGGTGTGGCTAAATAGTAAAGGCGAAGGGGTCATCTGTGGGCTAACTGTGACAATGTGGTCAGAGAGTTTGTCACAAACCACATGACAATGATTTCTCAAGGAGTTCACATTTTTTCCTCATTTCATGGTGACTCTGCGAGTGAGAGGGTAAATGGAAGGTAATTGTATCTGGCCTGTTGAGGGGCTGAATATACTTACTGAGGATGACCATATATATATATATATATAGCTGTTGTTGGACGAAAAACCTCGTATCTCCAAAATGGTAACTTTACAGGAGAAGGAAAAAACCTACTTTACTTTTAATGTAAGTCAATGGAACCAGAGTTTTTTCCAAGTCGTTCTGGATCGTTTCTTTTGGTCCATTCATCATGAAATACACAATGTAAAGGGTAACAGACATTTTCAAATTATGTCAAAAACTGGAAAACGACAAAAATGGAGATAGGAGGTTTTCTTCCAACAAAAGTGAAGCTTATTACTATTCTCAGGAATGTACTTCCATTTCTTCAACACTCACTTAAGGTTCTGCTAGGCAGCACATGACCCTGCAGCACTGGCATGCACACATACTGGTCATTAAGGCCTAAACAGCGATGTGTGGTGAAAGGGGATTAGTCTCTGCTGCTTAAACTGAACCATAGTACCCAACCCTGTAGCTCTTTAACACACACACACAGTAGACACGGTACAGCCTCCACGCTAAGCTAATGCTCAATCCTAGCCAAACCCAAAGCACAAAAGGAACTTTTAGAGCAAAAGTCACTTGAACCATCTTAGTGGTTTTGATTTGATTAGCCAAAGCAGCACGATTCAAATTAGCCTATCCCAAAGCAGACTGACTCACGCAAAGGCGTCTGAGTTGATCTCATTAAGGCAGCAACGACTACGTCTTAAATGATGCTTCTCTCTTCCTGAACTGGAATTTTAGATTATACATAAGGCCACCGCACAAAGACGACCAAACACACATGCTCAGGTGACTGTGCCATGCCTGTGTTTG